AACTAGCGAAGTTAAGGCCAAAAAGTGTTTTTCTCTCTGACCGTTCTCCGCGTTTAGCGTACTCTCTCGGTGGCAAAGATCGTTCAATATCTCGGCTGCTCTTGCAAAGCGCGAGCTAAAACTTTCAGCAATTGATACTGCAAAAATTAAAGAAAATCTGAGCGTCGCACTTGGGGTACTTCCCTTGTTAGCTGGAAGGATAGTAAAAGTTTGAGGGTCATTTAAAACGCGGCATGCTGATAAGCTAGCCGAAATTAGGGCATTTTTAATTTTTTAGGCTCATTATATTTTTAGGCTCTATTAGAAATGAGATAGACAGGTAAATGCCTCGGCTAACACTGTAGTTAGTCACTGTTAAATTAAATATTTCGCAAAAATTTATGATTTTAATGAGTTTATTAGGTGGGCCAATTTTGGCATGAAATCCTTGTTTTAATCTTGAATTATGTATGTCCTTTATACATTATCCAAATTTTGTTTTTTTCATGGTCTTATCTATCCTATTCTTCACGATCCATTCCAAAGATCCCAATTTTTGACCCTTCATTTCCTTTAGACCTCAAATCTCCTCAAATTAAGCCTCAAAAACCAGCTTAATCCCTCATCTCCCCAAAATCCCAATTATTCCCTCACATCCCTCCCCGATTTCCAAAGCCTTGCCCTTTCTTCGAACAGATTCAAATTCTTTTCCGTTCCGTTTTCGGACATCCATTTAGAATCCCGAGGACCTCTGACCTTCACAAAACAGAACCCCCTCGATTTTTATGACGATCCATTTTTTCGGGGTTTTTCTAAAGAATCAGAAAAAAAGAAGTCATTTTTGAGGTGGACGCCATGTGGAATTACCTTGAAAAATGACGCGGATCGGAATTATGTTCGGACTTTTTGTCGGTAAAATGCGCTTACTTCGAATTTTACGGATGGGGATATTATTTTGGGCGTTTCCGAAGTTATTTCGTTATTAAGCACTGTGCAAAAAATGAGTAAAATTCTGCACTGTGCGGGGTTTTCTTTTTTATATTTTTTGCACGGTGCAGTGCATTAATAAAATTTTTTTTTGGCATTATAAAAATTCTTTGATTTTCTTCGCACTACGCAAAAAAAATAATTTTTATCCGCTCGTTGCATCTACAATTGTCACTAATTTTTGCACCGCACCGTGCAGTTCCAAATATTTTTTCTATCTTTCCCTTCCGAAAAATTTCAATTTCAAAATTCCTGACGCATCAGGGACATCCTTACAAACAAAAATTAAGCCCTGCTAAACCCTTTCAACCATTTTGATGACCAATCTATACAAAAATATCTTCTCCATGACGAGAGTCGTTCAGTGATTTAAAAGTGTTTGCAATCGGTTGACGAGTCCATAAAATGGGATGATTCATCAGAATAGGCCACGTACAGGAGGTGAGGCTACTGATTTATAATTTGTTTGGTTTATTGGAGCTTTATTACATGTTTTCATCATTTCTCGGTGCGATATGTAAGGTGGTTTATTTTTATAGAGAAATTTGAAGTCCATTACAATTCTTTGCGTCAGAAATTCAGATTTTTTTGTTTTTGGTTTGAAACAGTGTTATTTACAACAAAAAAAAGTTTTTTTCGAGAAACCTGCAAAAACTGGTTAGCAAAACGTTTACCTTTTGCCCGACATCCTCTTTTGTCGTACTCTTTCGTACTAAAATCATTCAATTTCTTAGACGGGCCTGCAAAATACAAGCTTAAATTCTTTTTCCGACATCAATACGGCTTATCTATTAGACTATGATTGCCAAATTCGTAGAAAATTTTACACTTGGCCCACTTCCCCTTTTCAAAATACAATCGTGTTCTGTGCATCTATATATAAAATAAAACACACTTCGCAATCGGATTCGTCACGTCAAAAAAAGGCCCTTTTAATCCGCAACGCATACTTTATTGTCTGATCAATATTTAGCCTTGTTCTTATCACCCCATTTGGATCATATGAAAGGGATATTACGCACCTTTCGAAATCATTTTTTGTTTTCGTTTTTTGTATGACCAGTGAATAATAGAGGATGTGATTTAAAGCCTGGAGGGTCCTATGGTAGTACTTCATTTTGTATGATTTTTGAAATTTTGGGAGGGCTCTTTTTACTATTGGTATGTCTTATTTGTCCTAAAAAAAGTGAAAATCATAGCAAGTGGCGCTCATAACTTCTGCATTTATACGGTCAGGTACCTGATCCAGTGACAAAAAACGTATCATTTTGCATCCGGGAAGTACCAAAAATGTGGCAAAATACCTCACTCTACAATTAAAAAAAACTCCGTTTTGAAGGGCTTCTCACAAAAAGTCGCCCTTTCCCTCACAAAAGGAGTGGCTGAAATCGGCGTTTCTTCACTCGGGAGGTATTTTGCTGCATTTTTTTATACTTCCCGGATGCAAAATGGTACGTTTTTGGCCAATGGATCAGGTTCGCCACGGTACATTAAACTTTTTTTTTCATTGCTTCCGCAATGCAAAAAAAGTGATTCATTTGATCAAGGCGGCCAAGTCTATTTTAAATTCTTTTCGTCTGTTTCGGGACATTACAAAAAACTCTTTACAATACTTCTTTGGCCCCGAACTTTGGCCAAATTTCAATGGATTTTTCTGGCAAATAAAAAAATTCTAGATAAGATCGGATAAGAGACGGGACGATTTTCGAATTTTTGTAATGTTTCTAGAAATTCTGAATGATTCCGTGGAGGAGTCGGAAGCTTTTCAGTAGCACATACTGATCAAAAACCGGCTCCAAAAATGTGTTTTTTATAACAAATTAGCCAGTGAATTGGATTGTTTTCCCTCGGATGTAAGAGTTTATTGATCGCGCACTTGTTCTACGGCGGTTTTATTGGTTTTTGAACAGTGAGACTACTGGTTTTGTACCGAAAATACATTGTAGTAGATCAGGTGGTGGTGAGGTAGATTTTGAAGTAGTCTCCAATTTTTTTGCGTTTCAAAAGGCTTAATAATCCTAAGTTTTCTTTGCGCAACCGTTTAGAGACATTTTTACCCGATTTTACATGGGTTTTTTGAATTTTTGGTCTCACCACGAAAACCTGAGATATCCCTAAAATGGTTTCTTTTGATGATAATTGATGTAAAATTGCATTATAGCCCTTCTGCAATGCATTTTACTGCTATTTCTGCCATCTACGTCATATTTAACCCCTCTTTTTCCGCATTTGTCATCATTAATCTCTTCCACATAGACTACTGTCAGAAATTGCTCGGAATTTGCCAATCCTATGCACTTTTCAGCCCTCCGTCCCCTTGTTTTCGCTTCTCCTCAGATTTCACGCAGTTATCCTATTGGTCATGACACTTATTTACAAACAACCGCATATTACCCTTTGTGTTTATGGCAACCATCGATTGTGTTGGGGGGATTCGGGAAAATGTCCGACAAGGGTTTGACCAAAATTCTGAATGACAGCCCCGGCTTTATGACAGTCCGAGGGCCCCGAGGGAGCGCTGCGCGTTTTTTATTGGCTACAGCGCATTCTCGAGTAGGCTAATTTTTGAACCGGCCGATTTTGAAGCCGTTTTCGGAGGCGAAAACTCATTGCCGACAGGACTGCAGGAGTTTACCTTGACGTTTTACGATCTAAATTTGAATTTTCAAGCCATTTCGAGCTATAAAATACTGGTAAAAAATCTCAGGACCGATTTTTCTGAACATTGTCCATTTTTAGTCTAAATCAAGATAGTTTTCTTCAATTTTACCTTCGAATTGCCTTCAAAATGCGCTAAACTGATGGCCCATCCAACAATCTCGTCAGTATTTCGCAAAAATCGGTCATGATGACGGGTTTTCGGGACTCCTTTTTCCATTTTCCCCTAATCCTTCGGATTTTTCGGATGTCGTGTTATTTTCGGCGTTTTTATGGCCGAATTTTAAACGGTCTTACGCGAAATCACCGTCTCGAGACGACCGCCTCTTATGTTCCTTCTGTTTTTGTCCAAAAACATCCAAACTTCCGCCTCTTCAGCGAATTTTTTTTTTTTCTTTTTCAGAAACTCTTGTCATGTGTAATATAATTTTGACGTTTTGAGAGCAATTAACATGAAATTCCGGGAAATTTATAGGTGTTATACAGCTTTCACAGCTTCCCCAAGAATATTATCAAGAACAAAATCAACTTCTTCCCGGAAAATTGGGGGATCCGGCAATTTGCACCTTATTTTAGGTAATTCCTCCGAATTTCCTCAAATTTTATGGGATATTTTTGTCGAATCCGCGGTGGATTATGTTTCCTCTTGTGATAAAGGTCGCAGCCGCCGAAAAAATGCAAATTCACCATACAAAACACCCCAAAACGTTCAGTTGTTGTGTGTTTTTGGGATTTCCCCAACAGAAATCGGGGATCTGCATAATTTTCGCTCTTCTCGATTCTTCCGTTTCACCATGACAACGACATGGAACAGGGCGCTTTACGCTGAAATTTCGAGATGTTTTGGGCGGAAAGGGACGAGACTTTTTCGGGTTATGTCATTTGGGCGTTACGTCGGTTTTTGGTTGCACTTTTGCAGGATTTTTTATATTCTTGTACTTAGATTTTGCATGGAAAAACTTGAGATAATTTTTGGAGTTTAAATTTCCGGATTTTACTTGAATTTCGCAAATTTTTGGATGTTGTGGTCATAGATAATATAATTTTTGTTAATTTTGTTGGGTTTTCTGATATTTTTAATTAGATTGGCGCACATTCTTTCATTTATACTACGTTCTACCATAATTTTTTGAGATTCTGTGTAACTTTCACATCGATCTTATGTATAATATAATTTTTCTCGTGAAACTTGCGCTATCCACTGGATTGTTGAATTATTAGATGGCCTGTGCTTTGTTGAGTCTAAATTATGCATTTTCCAGATTGTGAACCACAGAACGTATCCAAATTCAACTTTTTTCCTGCAATTTCTTTGAAATGTTGATGTAAAGTCGAAGAGAACAACAAAGATTAAGCAACTTCTCGACAAATCCACAATGCTCACTTTGATCGAGCCCCCAGGCAAGAAGCGCGGCCATTCCAGAGCGGCCAACAGATCTGGCCAGCACTTGTTGAACTTCGGCGCGCCAAACGATGAAGATCTCGAAGAGGAGTTCGAAACGGTCAATCCAGAGCCATTCGAGGCGAGAAATGTAAGTCTTTCGGCTTTTGTTTTTGGGTTTTAGGTGTTCGACCATTTATTTTTGGAAGGTTTGCGGCAGTTCTTTATGCTGTAGTAGACCGACATTCATGTCTTGTTCAAAATTGAATATTTTTTGAGGAAAACTTGATGTCTAACAATCTAAAGTCACAGTATGGTCCCTAATGGGGTATTTTTTCAGTGGATCGAAGAGAAACTCGTCGGTGGGACCAGCTCGTCCGATTTTTCGACCAAATGGAAGAAGGATTTCTCACAGCGCCCGACCTTCTGCGATGCCGACCTCAGTCTCCAACAGATTCTCAGGGTAAGTTGTTGTATTTTTTTTGGCCTCTTTACCTCGTTTGGTCTGTTCTGTAAGTCAATTTTACCTTGTTTTATCTCATGGATGACATAAAATTTTTAAAATTTTTTAGGGAAATGCCAAAGGAAATATGATTGCCTTGTATGCGCGATGCCTTGTCCAGAAATGTTTGTTCAAGCTGGGTGACTTTGCCCAGAATCATGCCCTTCTTGTCATCTTCACAGTCTTCTCGTTGTTCTCCGTCTGTTGCATTGGCCTGCAATATGTCCGAATTGAGACCGATATTGTCAAGTTGTGGGTGTCTGGTAAGCTCTTTGTCACTTATTTTTGTGTTTTAGGTAATGAGCTTGCTCAGTTGGAGACGAATTTATATTATCCATGAGAGCTGATGTCAAATTTTTTATCGAATTTTTTGTATACTGTAGAGCGAGAGCAGGTGTAAAATGGCTTCCTAAGTTCATTTAGCTTCTGATAATGGAGTTTTGGAATAAAAAAAGCAAATTTTTTTTTCACCTGCTATATTATCCTTCACAAGTCAAAACTTGAAAAATAATGTAAAAGAAATCGACCGATTTTCCAATTACAGCTTATAATACTCACATTTCAGAGGGTGGACGTCTCAACGAAGAACTGAAATTCTTTGAACGTGTGCAAGATCAGTACGGCGATTTGAATTGGACCTTTTATGATGAGAAACATTTTGTCCGCGAATCCCGAGACCCTCTTCTAAAACAGATCAAAGAGGATGAAATCAAAACCAGCGATTATCAAGTGCTCATCCAGACGGTTGAAGAAGAGGGACAGAATTTGCTGACAAAAGAGGGACTTCAACAACACGTTGGACTCCTCGAGACCATTGTTAATCTTCAGGTTACTCATTTTGGAGTGTAAGTTGTGGTTTTTTGTATGTCATAGGATTTTGACGGCCAAACGGAAGTCTAAAAAATGAATTTTGGCCAGTTTGCGAGGATTTTTTGAGGTTTTTTTTAGCAAAAAAATTTTTTTTACCTTGTTTTAGGTGTAGTTGACGAAAAAAATTAAATTTTTGATTAATTTTACGACTTTTTTTGATACTTTCAACTGAAAAATTTTTATTAATGTCTCGTTTTAGAAACTGGACCCTCGCCGACATCTGTTTCAAGCCCGGCGCCCTGGATATTAACCAAGATTCGATCGCGTACGGCATGAAACCGGTCCTCGAAAGATTGGTCCCCTGCATCTGGATCACCCCAATCGATTGCTTCTTCGAAGGCTCGAAGCCAATCGGACCAAATCCTCCCATTCGAATCGGTGATCTTCCACTTGGATCGATCTTGAAAATGGCGGTTCCGGAGCTGCAAGATGACACAACTTGGGCCAATATCAACCCCGAAGCGGTGGTTGCCAGCTTGAAGGACAGCTTTGATATCGGAACAATGGCGAATTTTTTCTCTAGAGTAAGTTTAAATTCGTTTTTGGAAGCCTTGAAGCACTTTTGGAATGAAGCTAGGGCGCAGCTCGCCAAAAATTTAAATAGGATTTTGATGACTTTTTTCAAATTTTTTGATGATTTATGAATTTTAATGCATAGTTTGATAAGATTTTGATTTTTTGGAAACGTTTCCTGGCCGCAGCTCGCCATTTTTTAAACTTTTTTTCATATTTTTTTTGCAGACTGGAATTGGCAAGGGGTATCTGGACCGACCATGTATCGAACCACTGGACCCGGCGTGTCCAGAGCAGTCTCCAAACTACTATAAATCCTGTGGACCCATGCAAATGCTTCAAATCCATCTGAAATCCCAAAATCGCACAGTCCAGGAGGAGTTGGCCGCTTTCCACGAAGCTAAAGCCGATTCTGCAACTGGTCTAGGCGATTTTTTGGCCGCGTTCATGGCCTCAGAACCTAAGAAGACAGAGAATCAAACAGAAGACAGCATGTGCAAGGAGTATCGAACTGCTTTCTTGAAGTGGATTCAGGCCGATAAAGCGAAGGCAATCCGAATTTTGGGAGAACAGGTGAGTTCAGGTTGATTGTAAGGGAATCTGAGGGATTTTAAAGAAGTGGGGGCTCTGATCTAGTGGCAAAAAATGTACCATTTTGCATGTATCAAAAATGTGGTAAAATGCTTCCTCTCCAAGTGAAAAAAACCGTTTTGAAGGACCCTCACAAAAAGAGCGGGTGCGCTTTTGAAAATCGGAGTTTTTTCACTTCAAAAATGTGGCAAAATCCTTCCCTCTCCAAATGAAAAAAAAACTCAGATTTCAAAAGCGCGCCCGCTCTTTTTGTGAGGAAAAAGGGCGCGCCCTTCAAAACGAGGTTTTTTCACTTGGAGAGGGAGGTATTTTGCCACATTTTTGATACTTCCCGGATGCAAAATTGTAATTTTTTGCCACCGAATCAGGTCCCCCGCTGCATTGGAAATTTCCGTGGCGGAATAAAATTTTATAAAATTTCAATTTTAGAATCTCCCACAAGACGTGGACTACGGCAACATCATGCGCAAAGGCTGTAACGGCTTCGCCCGCGACGTCATGAACTGGCCGGTGGATATGATCCTCGGCAAAGCCGAGGACGACGGCGAACACTTCCAAGCCGAAGCCCTCCAATCCGTAATCCTGGTGGCGTCGGCGACCGAAGTCTACAAACGATTCAGCGGAAAGGACAAGCTGGAACAGCTCCAATTTTTCAACAAAACAACCGGAGAACTGAAGAACATAACTGGAGAATGGAGCCCGTTGCTGGCGAAAGAAGTGGTCACTGCATGGCAAAGAGCGTTCACGGACTCGATTTACAATCACCCGTTGAATTTCAAGACTGTGAATGGAAGCTTGGACCCGGTGGAACATCGGATTGTCCATCCATTGGCCGCCACGAGCATCAGTGATATGTTGGCCGAGTTCTGCGACTTTAATTATGGAGTTATTGTCGTGGGATATGTGCTTATGGTGAGTTTGAGGAGTGAATTTTTTCTGGGAGAAAGTTTGGAGGATTTTTTTTTTTTTTTTTGAGGTTTCGGAGGTCGGAATTTTTATTTTCCAATATTTTTTCCAAGGAAAGTACTTCTATGGGGTATGGAGTTATAGGTAGAGACATATATCAAAAAATTTACGAAATTTTTCTGATTCAGAATGTGTAAAAATTAGCTGCCTAGTCTTGGTTTGTATGGGTGAAAAAGTCCTCTGAACTCTTCTTGCAACACACGCAAATGCCTTTTTGACCGAGTTTTTACCAAATCAAATGCTTGTTTTTGAGCTAAAGCCAACTCTGGTATCTTGACAAGCCTTAAAATATCAAATTTAATTTGGTGTTGCAAGAAAGTTTCAGAAGATTTTTCACCCTTACAAACCAAAATTAGGCAACTAATTTTTATATATTCTGAATCAGAAAAAATTTGCGAATTTTTTGATATATGTCTCGACCTGTAACTCCATACCCCGTAGAAATACTTTCCTTGTTATATTTTTCTTTGCTAAAGGCTAAAATAACGTTTTTTTTTCAGCTGGTCTACGCCCTGTACTCCCAAATCAACCGCGACTCCTGCTGTTTGTTGGCTGCAGAATCAGCTGTCGGCTTGGCCTTTGCCGGTGTCCTCACGGTCACATTCGCATCAGTGGCGGGCCTAGGACTGGTCACTTGGTTTGGAGTGGAATTCAACGCCGCCACAACTCAAATCGTCCCGTTCTTGACCCTCGGAATCGGAGTTGACAACATGTTTATGCTCCTCCACAATTATCATCGTGTTTTTACGGACGTGAAGAAGAGTGAGCTCGGATTGTTGCTCAAGGAGACTGGAATGTCAATCCTGATGACTTCGACCAACAATATTCTCAGTTTCTTGACTGGAACTGTCCTGCCAATCCCGGCGTTGAGGTCGTTCTGCCTTCAGGTAATTAATAATCACTTCTATTTTAAAATTTTTACTATTTTTTGACACTAATTTTTTCGTATTTTAGTCATCCGTCCTCCTCACTTTCAACTTGGTCGCCATCCTCACCGTATACCCAGCAATCATCGCCATCGATATCAATAGAAGGAAGTCGGCCCGCCGAGACGTTTGCTGCTGTCTGAAATCCTCGAACGCAACCGAACAAGACGTGTACGATGATCCACCATACGGCTATGACCTAACCGGAGGAGTCCCAACTGTCCTCACAACCAAGCCACACTATCATGGACTGATCTCGGTGGGCAAAGGAGACGATGAAGAGGCCGAGGAAATCCAGCCGTGGAGTTTGAGAGCCTTCCTGAGGAATTATTATGTCCCGTTCTTGTCGAACAACTGTGTTAAGGTAAGTGGTGATGAATTTTTTTTTTGGATGATAAAATTTGGTTTTGAATTGAATTTATTTTTAAAAGTCTACATTGGCAAAAAAACGTACCATTTTGCATCCGGGAAGTATCAAAAATGTGGCAAAATACCTCCCTCTCCAAGTGAAAAAACTTCGATTTCAACAGCGCGCCCGCTCTTTTTGTGAGGGCCCTTGAAAAAGGAGTTTTTTTTTCAGTTGGAGAGGGATGCATTTTGCCACATTTTTTGATACCTCCCGGACGCAAAATGGTACGTTTTTTGCCACTGGATCAGGTCCCTCGCTTATTATATGTACAAGTTCATTTTTCATTTTCAGTTCGGAGTAATCGTCTTCTGCGCCGGCCTCTTCATTGCCGGCGTAACCGGCATCAACAAATCCACAATGGGCTTGGAACTTGGAGACGTCCTACCGGAAAACACGGCCCCAGCAGCTTTCCTCAAGGCCCGAGACGCCTATTTCTCGTTCTACCCGATGAATGTGATCATTCGAGGGGAGACGGTGGACTTTGCGGAGAAACAAACGCAAATCGAACAGTTGAGAAATGAGATTGGTAAGGGATTTTTTGTTTGATTTTTTTTGACCACTTCGGGATCCAAAAAAAAATGGGAAATTTTGGGGGTTTTTTTTTGATTTTTTTACAATTTGAAAAATTCATGAAGTTGCAAATTGACAGTTTTGAGTAAAATGCGACATTGGAATTGTTAAATTTACAATTTTTTTGAGCTTAAACTTGATTTAATCAATAAAATTTTAGCGAAATCCCGATTCGTGGTGACCCTGGACAACGGCGAGCCCTCGGAGCGCTACTGGCTCGGCATGTTCCGCCAATGGCTGCGAGGCCTTCAGCAGCGCCTCGACGAAGCCCGAATTGCCGGAATCCTCGAGGACTTCGACAATAACAACGCCACAAAGTCGCCGGAACTCAAAATCGCCTACTCGTTGGCCTGCTCCTACGGCCATAAGTACGATTGCAGTCGAGCGAATCGAATCCGACTGATTGACGACTCGGACACGATTAACACGGAAGGATTCTACAACTACTTGTATGGCTGGCATGAGTATGAGCAGATGTTCTACACGGTCAGTCAGGCCAGCTTCTATCCGCCGCTGAGGAAGCTGAAACAAGGTCCGAAGAACAACAAGTATCGGTTCTTTGTCCCACCCGCCCCCAAGCCAATATACTCGCAAATTCCCTTCTATCTGGATGGATTGACGGACACTACTACGATTGTGGAAATGATCAAGGTAAGGAAGGGAAATTTTTTGGGTTTTTATGGCAGTTCGCGCCCTAGAAAGAGGCGAAGTTTTGGATTTAAATTTGATTTGTTGAGTTTTTGAGGCACGTATAGACTGGAGGTTCTAAAATCTGTCATGTTATACATGGCAGACTGCGCCCACGATTAAAAAAAAATTTTTCTGAAAAACTTTTTTCGAAATTTTTCTTTTGATTCTTTTGATCTGATGACTAATTATAAACTTTACAGGAAATCCGCGCCATCTCCGACAACTACACCCACTCCGGCCTCCCCAACCACCCCTCGGGCATTGCCTTCACCTTCTGGGAACAGTACCTCGACCTGAATCAAACCCTGGTCAAAGCCATTGCGATCATCTCCCTGGCGGTCTTTGTCGTCGTTTCCGTCCTCCTGTTCAACCCGTGGGCCGCCTTCTGCATCGTGATTATATTGTTCTTGATGACGGTGGAACTGGCCGGCTTCCTGGGCTACTACCACATCAAGTTGAACCCAGTGTCGGCGGTCAGCTTGATCACCGCCGTCGGAATTGGAGTCGAATTCACGGCGCATGTGGTGTTCTCGTTTTTGACCTCATTGGGAACGAGGAACGAAAGAATGGCGGCGGCGATTGATCAAGTCTTCGTCCCCGTAATTCACGGAGCCCTGTCGACGCTTCTCGGAATCTTGATGCTTGGATTCAGTGAATTCGAATTTGTGGTCAAGTATTTCTTCCTCGTCATGAATGCCCTGATTATCTTGGGATTAATCAATGGGCTGATGTTGTTGCCCGTGCTGTTGTCGCTGATTGGGCCAGCTTGTGAAGTAAGTGGGGGTTAAATTGAGTTTAGAGAGTGTTTTATAAGTTTTGGGAGGATTTAGAGGGTCTGGAATACGAAATTTTGAGATTTTTTATATTGTAGTAGGTGTTATAAATTGAAAATTTGATGATCAAAAATTCATTTTTTTCCTGAAATTAATCCCAACCTATTCCAGCTGACTCCTCGCGACTGTTCGAACCGCCTCCCAGTCCCACCACCCCTTCAACGTCGCCAAAACCAAAGCTCGGGCGCGAGCCGCCATGGCATTCTTCGCATTACCACCTAAACTGCCGCTGGCCCCCGCAATTAGGATGTTTTTTTTTGTTTTTTCTAATTAGCTACTCTAATTAATTATTTGACCTAAAGCCGGTGAATGTGCGTCTAAAATCAATCTTTTTTCTGTCTTGCATCCTGCATATTGTATTTGGTTAAATTTTGATAACAGATGTTGATAATACCCCTAATATTATGTTGTTATTTCTAAGCTAGAATCCGCTTGTTTGGGCTGGCTTTTCATGGATGCTAAGGACTTTTATTATGTTATACTTGGTACTTAAAGTGGGTTGTGGAAAGTTTTTGGGAAAGTTAGAGAGTGTGTTACAGTGGGGGACCTGATCCAGTGGCAAAAACGTATCATTTTGTATCCGGGAAGTATCAAAAATGTGGCAAAATGCCTCCCTCTCCAAGTGAAAAAACTCCGATTTCAAAAGCGATCTTTTTGCCGGGGAAATGACCCGCCCTTCAAAACCGGGTTTTTTTTCACTTGGAGAGGGAAGCATTTTGCCACATTTTTGATGCTTCCCGGATGCAAAATTGTACGTTTTTTTTGCCACTGGATCAGGTCCGTCACTGAGTCGTGAACTACCCTCCAACCCACTTTACAGTACCTGTTTTTTCCAAACTTTGATCGATTTCTTCCCCAAAAAAAATCCCATTTCACCCGGCCAATTTACAAGCCGCAAGAAACGCCGCCACGAGTGCAAATCGGTATATCCCCACAATCGTGCTTCAACGTATTCCTTTCTAAACTATTTATGTATTACGTTTCTATATTGGTCTCAAAATGCGGGTCTTAAATTTTGAACTTTCTGTCCAAACCATTTGTTTCTGCAACAAACTACAAAAAATCTAGTGAATCTCAGGCTATATTGTAAAATTTTTTCATGTAAAGCGAATAAATATGCGGATAATATTGGTTTTGGAGATTGATTGGGGAAATTTAGAGCCATTGAAACTGATGCCAAAAAATCAGAAAGTCGCTTTGGGAACAAAAAATAATTTTGAAATTTGACAAAAATTGCATGGCTCAGAAAAGCCAACGAACAATTGAATGTCGCTGATTTTGGTTCTACTTTCTTTTTATGGCAAGAATCGGAGATCACTACGCTTTTTATACCATGTTTGTGTGCAGTCTGAAAATTGAGGATGACGCGATTTTGGAGACCATTCCAGAAGTCAACAACGGGTTTGAAAAATCACTGTCCCGATATAATGACAAGGCAACAGAGAGCATATTTTCCACTCGAAATCTTGATGATTACCCCTGCACACGCACAGCCATACGAAATCGGGGGGAGAAGCGCTTGATTGGTCATTACTCTTTCGGTCGGGGCATGACAATTCTGGTGGCTAACAAAGACAAAAAACGTCGAAAAATTTTGTTATTGATATGTCATCGTGTATATTAAAGTGTCTACACTTCCGTATTGGCACCCAATTTTGCAAAAGTTTTGTAGCAGCTCAGTATAAATTGATTCCAAAATTTCGCATTAGCCACTAAGCAGAATGCAATTTGGAGGCACTCTTGTGATCTCTAGGGGTTCTTTATTTGGAATTGTTTTTGTGCAGGGTTCGAAAACAACAAAGTGAGCTTTGAGGGAAATGCCTTACGGGATTTTATTATTGTCTGTAAAAAAATTCATGTCTGTAACTCCAAAAATTCCTATCGAGAAATATTTTATTTATCTTCGTTCTTGTACGCATTCTATCTAATTAGGTGCAGCCGGTTATTCGAGTATAATTCCCAAATTTTTTTGCATTTTTTATTTTCTCCAGGGTCCAAAGGAAATGTTTTTGTGCGAGAAGATGCACCCAGGGTCCGATAATTCGAGAACCGATAAAAAACATCTAGCTCGAAGGATCTTTGTGCAATTCTTGCGTGTTTTCGTGGTGGGACCGGAGTTGGACGATTGGGGAACCGAAAGTATTATTTTTCTTCGATGCAAGTGTCGAAATCAGGATAATCGAGGGAGTTGATTTTGAAAATGACATTCATTTTTTTGATCCTTACTTTTTTACGAAGTACTGTAAAATAGTAATTTTTTGAATTTTTTTCATGAATACTCGATTTAGGGGTTTTCGATGGTTCTGATTTCGAAAATCTTATTCATTCTTTCTGATTTGAAAGCAGCACCATCGAAAACCCCCAAATCGAGTATTTCAAAAAATTACGACTTTACAGTACTACTTAAAAAAGTAAGGATCAAAAAATGAATGTCATTTTCAAAATCATCACCTTCGTTTGTCCTAATTTCGACACTTTCATCAAAGAAAAATAATACCTTTCGGTTTCCCCAATCGTCCTTTTCTCTTTTTCTCCAATCGTCGCAGTTCCCGTGGTATTTTGGTTAGAATGGATGTTATTGGATATAACTGGCTAATTTAGGATATGTACTTTTTCTAGAGTGGTTTATTGAGCTTTCTGGTCTCTTTTAAGATTTTAAAATCCCGCTTTTCGGCAATTACATGTTTTCGTGGCGAGACCCAAACCTACAAAATCAATAACTATAAAGCCCCTTTAAACCATTTTGCTCTCCTGAAACGGCTCTTTTGCCCGATATAACATCGTATTGCAAAACCTGAGACCCAGTTTGTCCCAATCCCCGAACAAATTAGCCCAACTGACACCCAATTTGTCATGTATAATATGACCCTTGGTTGGGTCGACCTTTATCGAATATGCCAACCTACTTCTTCTGAATCATTTATTATCTCACACGCAAAAATTCTATACGATTATTTGCTCAAAAGTATCGGAAAACAATGCCCTAATACATTCCGAATATCAACCAAGTGCAATATGTGAATGTTGCCCAATTTTTGGTCATATGTCATTTGGAACTGCCGTAAATGTGTCGCTACGCCACCATACAGCTTTATAAAAAAATCTGAGCGATCGAGGATCATATTGAGCTAATATTTATTGAGAGAAAATGCGATTTCTCGATGATTTTTTGCTTTTGGTCTTCCTTTTCTGCATATTATTTTTTGCTTTTGGTCTTCTTTTTCTGCTTGTTTTTTAGATCCAATAAACTTTCCCCCCTTCAAAATCCTAAATGGTCCGTCTGTTACATCATAATGAGCCCTTATTGGACTGATAATTTCCGGTGAACCTCAAATTTCATCTATTTTTCGCTTGTTTTTCTCTAATTTCAACCCTAAATCGGCAACCAAAAGTACTCCGAAATTTACTCCTCAACAACTCTCTACTCAATTACAATCCAAAAAGTTGTACTCAATTTACGGGGGAAAGGTCGGCGACGTGTGTATCGGTCCGCTATCCCAAATTTGGAGCGCCGTACGAAAGGCTCCGTAATTAGCGATTAGAAACGCATTTCTTTCTTCCGACTCCGCCCAAGGAGTGGAAAAAAGAAACGCTTCCTCGACTTTTTATCTACTATTACTTTTGGGGCCGAAATTATGTGTACTTGTACAGTGAAATCATGCGCTTATCTGTGGGTTCATCAAGCATAGCGAATTGGGTCTTTGTTTATTGCACTTTGGGCGTGAGTGCGCTGGGTTCGAGATGGGTTGATGGTGCGTTCAGATAGTGGGAGGGGTTAAAACGTGTCATTTTCAATTGCATTCGCATTTTTTTACTTCGTATTTTGCCCTAAAAATACAGAGGGTCCCAAAAAAGTGCATGTTTTTTCCATGGGTCCTGACGCGAAAATCATTAGGTCAGGCCGAAAGATTTTTATACCACTAAAATCTCCGTGTTTTTCCGTCCAAGTTGCTTCATTTTTATATTCATATCGCTTAGCTAACATGCTTTTTTAAAATGTCAAACAAAGGAACTGCGATTTTGTCACCACTTTTGAGCCGTTCAAATTTTTATTTTACTCGGTATAAAAAGAACCTTGTATCGGAGGTAATTTAAGATAATCAAGGTAATTCACAATTTCGCAGCGACAATCCACGTTGCTGCAGGAAAAAACGAATTGTGGCCAAGCGAAATGTCTCACTTGGCCGGTGATTTTCCCGACCCACTGGTACTCTACCATGCAATTAACAGACCAGCCAAACACTATTAATTGTCGCCCAAACCAGTTATTTTACATCCATATAGAACATATGATGACAATACAGAATATTATTATCACATGGCCTGCTTAGGTAAAAATATTCGTGGTCAGATAAAGATGGGTTCAGTTCACATTATTTTTTAAAATATTTTATACTGTAAAGTATGACAAAGTCCAATGAAATGAAATATTCAAGACCTCATAACACCTATTTATAATTACTGTGGAATCTGTGGGAAGAAAACAAATTTTAAAGTATCTTACAAATTTCGGTTATCCCTCAGCTAATTTTTATTTTTTGATGTATTTTCCCCAATTTACACCATTACAAACCCCTTTGTTTTTCGCGTATTTTAGCCCTCTCCATCCTCGGCAACTAATCCGCAATTCCTTACAGTAGTCTTTGTACTTTGCCGACCTTCGCCCCAGATATAAATTGAATAGCACAGCCCCTTTTTCGGCATCCAGACGAACCTACTTTATCACCGCCTCTGGAGATAATTTATTACATCGCGGAAGGAATTGCAGTTTTGGAATTTTAAATCAGAGGAATTTCCATTTCCACGTACCCGGATTCTCGGAGAAAATGCTACGGCTGATTGCAAGGTAAGTCGGCATTTATTTTTGCTTTTCTCCATAAATGATTTATCGTCTAACCACGGTGATAGTGAGAGCTGGACATTCGAGAGTTCGATGAAACATGAGACAGATTGAAATAAAAGTTTCGAAGTTGACTAGAAGAAAAAGTTATAGTCATCGTTTTGCAGAAACTGTCAAGATTTTACGGACGAAAGCGAGAAGAAATTTAGGTTGTCGATCTCTAACCACTTTCGAACAAAAATTGATAATGGTTTCTGCAAATCGCAGGTTAAAACTTTCCCGTATAACTCAAAAACTTCGATTCTAAATTTGGGTCATGTTTCATGATGATTAAAGGTTCTCACTATCACATTACTTTCTACACATTTTACGACCTTTGCAAAATCATCACTAATAAATTTTGGGTCTCCATCGCTTTATTGGCCCAAAAATACAGTGCACCTGATCCAGTGGCAAAGAATGTATCATTTTGCATCCGGGAGGTATCAAAAAATGTGGCAGAATGCCTCCCTCTTCAACTAAAAAACTCCGGTTTGAAGGGTCCTCACAAAAAGAGCGGACGCGCTTTTGAAATCGGAGATTTTTCGCTTGCAGAGGGAAGCCTTTTGCCACGTTTTTGATACTTCCTGGATGGAAAATGGTACGGTTTTCTTTCATAAACCATAAGTCCATAACACCTTTTTTTACTGAAGCAAATCTCTCAAATACTACGAATTCGCTTATAGGTTTTGCACGTTGTTTATCACACTCTCGACCTTATCCAGTTTCCATTCCACACATGAAGCATCAGCACATCCATTATATTCCCCGCATCTCCAGAAGATTGGGGTAGGTCATTAATCCTCCGAATTGCCTACGCGGATTCGGATTTTTTTTGCAAAAATTCGGGTTGAAAATTTTTACAAATTTATAGTTTTTGGTAATTCGTCTCATTTTAACAAAAACCACATACGGTACATATTGCCAATTTTTCTCTGTTTTCCCCCAAATTTTATTCACACATCCGCTCATCCCTCACGTGCTCATAAATGTATAATGCGGAGGGCTGAGTGTATTTACTCTTCGGTTGACGTTATATTATACCGCCGCGGGGAGGGATGATTAGCCCACTGCGTGGGAGAGGGTTACGCGCGCAGTTGAAAAAGTAGCATTGTTAGTTGATGGACGCGGCGGCAGCTACGGTAGAGAGAGGGCATTCGGGCAATCAAAAAGTGAGGATTAGAAGTAGTGAAGAGTAATGAGGGGATCTTGGAGAATTTTCGGTGATCCTTGGGAATTTACCTATCAGTTTGGAGGAGAATCAGTTGGCGCGAAATATTTTGGACGATAACTTTTTGAATTCTGCTTGGAAAAAATGATTTTTTAGGCTTTACTGGGCGGGACAAAAAGTCTTGACATGTTTGCAGAGTGCGTCATCGTGCGAAATTTGGGGTGTCCAGTTGGGTATCAGTCTGTCGGAAAAATAATGAGCACTCTGTCGCATCGAAAATCGCACCGCCGTCGAGAAAATAAAATGTGTCGCGGTAAACAAAACTGTTTTTCACCTCAGCGACACAATCGGGGCAGCGAAATTTTTTGCTCATTATTTTTCCGTGATACCCAACTGGACACCCCAAATTTCGCACAATGGCGCACTCTGCAAACATGTCAAGACTTTTTGTCCCACCCAATAAAGCCTAAAAAAATAATTTTTTCCAAGCAGAATTTAAAAAATTATCGTCCAAAATATTTTGCGCCTAATTTCCTTACATAATTGCAAAACAGATCGTTAGGTATCTCAGTTTTGGCCTGGACCGTTTTCCTTCTCAATAGATCATCAATTTCTCCAGACAATGATCGCAAAAGGTCTTTAACGTAAAGCTTTCATTTAGAGCCCTCACACCCTCTTCGAGACGCTAATTTTACAAATTTCGCAATTTCCCCAGGGCATTAGTCAAATTCGTAACGCAAGCAGAGGAAAAAAAGGATGCGAAGTGACGTAGAGGTAGCTTTCATGAGTAAAAATAACTTGGTTTATCATAGACCGCCCTTTTGGTTAGTTCAAGCTAATGATCATCGATTAATTTTATTTGATGATTTCATCAAATAAAATTTGATGACTTCATCAAATAAAATTGAGGAAATTTTTTGAAAATTTTGAGGAAAAATATTTACAGTACCTAAAAATGGCGATAAAAATTATTATAGCATCTACAGTGAGGGACCTGATCCAATGGCAAAAAAACGTACCATTTTGCATCCGGGAAGTATCAAAAATGTGGCAAAATGCCTCCCTCTCCAAGTGAAAAAACTCCGATTTCAAAAGCGCCCGCTATTTTTGTGAGGGGCCTTCAAAACGAAGTTTCTTCACTTGAAGAGGGAAGCATTTTGCCACATTTTTGATGCTTCCCGGATGCAAAATGGCAAACTTTTTACCACTGGATCAGGTCCCCACTGTAGATGGTATAATAATTTTCATTGCCATTTTTAGGTCTTTAAATATTTTTTCCCAAAATTTTCAAAAAATTTCATCGATTTTATTTGACTCATTTCAGGGTGAAATACGACAAAGTTTAAAGCTAGTGCACTTTCAGGTCTACCCGAAAGAAACGTCGGTTTCTTTGCGAGAATTCGTTTCCGACATGAAATTATGTGAAGATGAATGCCGCTACGAATCGTTAGCTGAATGTCAGCGATGTCTCACCGTGGCGCGATTGGAAAACGACAGTTCTCAACCGTCCGACGACATCATAGAGCATGTTCTGAAGACCCACAAAATCGGCCGGAATTCGAATTCCAAAGGCCTTGAAGTGGCGCTACATGCGAAGCGGATAAACGAACGAGACCTCAACGATCTTCTCCGCAACACCTGGGTGGGGTAGACATTAACAAAAATCGGAGATTCAGCATTTTTTCGAAAGTTTCCACAGTTTTTCACAATTTCCTCCTTTTTTTCTCGTTTCTATAAATTTTCCTCCCAAGATTATATCTGAAATTAATATCCATCCTGTTCCCCACAACTTTTACTATCCATAAACAGTATTTTTACCGTCTTTTCCTAATCTAAACTTTTTATTTCATCAAAATTCGCATGTTAATTTACACTTTTCCCATTATTTCCGTTGGCTTCGGTGCTTCAGAGCAATTAAAGCAAATTTCCGAGCGGTTATTCAATTTGTATCAGTATTGAATTGTGTTCTAGAATAAATGTACCATAGATGTGACGTGATTCCATGAATAAATCGGCGATTTGTCATAAAGAAACGGCCGAAGAGTCGAAAAACATTGGGAAAATCATGTTTTCTTATGTAAAAACATGTCTAAATCGTTTGAATTTTACTATTTACTATTATCACTTACTCTGTTTATCCTGTCAAGAGGTGAACGAGAGAATTATGTGTACTATGGTCAGTTAGAATGCGAAAATTCGGCGGATTATCAATTCAATGAGACTAAAATAACGCTTTGGTTGAAAGGCGCGTGGATCATTCCCAGATGGTGGGTTTGCGAGTAAGTTTATGTTGCAGAGAAGCCTATAGAATGTAGTTGACAATGCTACCAACAAATTTTTCCCAAATTGCCTGAGGCATATTTTACGACCTTTTCAAAATCATCACTAAATTTTGGGTTTCCATCGTTTTTTTGCCCAAAAATATAGTGACGGACCTGATCCAGTGGCAAAAAATGTACCATTTTGCATCCGGGAAGTATCAAAAAGTGTGGCAAAATGCCTCCCTCTCCAACTAAAAACCTCCGTTTTGAAGGGCGCGCCCTTTCCCGCACAAAAAGCGCTTTTAAAATCGGAGTTTTTTCACTTGGAGAGGGAGGCATTTTGCCACATTTTTTGATACTTCCCGGATGCAAAATGGTACGCCTTTTGCCACTGGATCAGGCCCGTCACTGTATTTTGGGGCCAAAAAAGTGATGGAAGTCCAAAATTTAGTGATGATTTTGAAAATGTCGTAAAATATGCCTCAGGCAATTTGGGACAAACTGTTGGTAGCATTGTCAACTACATTCTATAGGCTTCTATTTAGGGCCAAACAAGTAGTGTGAATCCAAATTTTTTAGAAAACCAAACGGTCATCATTACTCAACATTTGCCAGACCCTCCGGCTACTTCAAAGTTGACTGTTATCTATCGTCAAAGTACAAAATCAAATACGACAACTATCTCTACCTGGTGTTTGAGCATCGCTGTACAGAAAGCGGAGGGCAGTCGCAACAATATCTTCAAGTTTCTTGGGTAAATTCAACTTTGAATAGTAAAATACGATTAAATTAAGGTTTGAATTTTGTCGACGCTATAATTTTCCTCCGAAAATCTATACTCCTTTCAATTTTAAGCCCTCCAAAGCCCTAAAAATCTATAATCTATCCTAAACTTGTCCTTTGAAGTTTAATCAAGCTATTTTCAAGGCTACAGAAGTGAAAAACAATCAAAAATCGGGTGTTTTCACCCACAAAATGTTAAATATTTTTATAATTAGACATTTCCAGCGTTGAAGATTTCAATCCAATATCCGTCAGGGTCTTGGATGAAGGCGAGACCCTTCATTTTGCCATCATCGGGCCTTTTCACAAACGGAACGCCAAATTTTTCGAACCGCTCGCTGGCCTTGTAAACGTCCGGCACATGGATTCCGATGTGTCCTGAGATGCAAGACATCATTTACTCCTCAGAAAACGCTCTGATTTTGTTGATCAACCAACAAAATTTTTTAAAATTTCACTTACCATATCCTCTTGGGTCCTTGTTCCCATTGTGATAGGTGAAATTCGGGTCATTTTCGGTTCCCCAGTTGCTGAAATTGCATAACAAGTATTTCAACGGGTCAAATGAAGTCTTACTGAGTCAATTCGATGGTGGAATGAGTTGACAGAGCAAAGTTCCGAGCAGCATGATCGTCAGAAGGGATCTCTTTGGGGTCCTTGTAGCCCAAGAAGAACAAGCTGAACTCGCCGCCAATGAAGTCCATTTGTTTCAGGAGGCTGTAAATAGAGTTGTGAGGCCTTATAAATAGGAATTCAATCAAAAATTCTAGCAAAAATTTTTGGTATTTCGATATATTACACTAGCCCAAAATTTGATAAAAACATCATTTTTTAATTAACATAGATCATAAAAGATAATAAATCCTCAAAATCGGCCTCTTACGTCATGCCCAGAACATTGGTGTAGAATGGAATGGATTTTCTGGGATCCTTGATCCTATACATGGTCTGTTGGAAATAAAATCCATCGGTTTCGGGTGCCTTCTCCTTGATATGAGAGCGGATCTGCAAACAAATTAATTTTTTAAGCCTCAAACTTTATTATTAACATAAGTTTTTGACAAAAACAATAACTTTCCAAGGGAAAATCAGCAACTTATTGAAGTACCCACCTCTTCAGCTGGAACTGGCTGTTTGTCCGTCATTTTTGAGAAACTTCTTGCTGTAAAGACGGAATAAACTTTATAATTGTATAAATAACAGCTTTTCGGATATTTAGAGTAAAAGCGCCTTAGGAAATTCGAATTTCCGACAGCCCCGAACCTTATAATTGAGCTGATCATTGATAATTTCTATAAAAAAACAAACAAAAATAAAAGGTTGACACGAGGCTCTTATCGAAATGTTTCGAAAAACAGTTGTTTACGGACTAGAAACCAGAAGTCAGCCATTCAACAGAGTAATGAAGTGTAAGGTCGGGCGCAGCTCGCCGATGGTTTACGCTGGGAAATTACTTCGTATGCCAGTATAAACTATCCGATTTTATTTTAAAGTACGCACTTCTGGAAGCCTAGCAATACACTTGGCCAAATACAGATTATTTCCCGTCGGGACCCGTGAAATATGAATTTTTTCCCACGACCCCCCTCGAATTTTTTTTTGCTGGCAAGAATAGTTTTCGTATAGCTTTGTTTTGAGTATGTATCAAAACATGGAGTTATCCTTGAATTCGGGTCGAGTAATACGCATCCATAATTTTGGTCGCTGAAACTCGAACCCGTATTAGATTCCCGCTGTTCAGATGGGCGATTCGGAGCCGACTGTCAGGCAAAAGGGCATCAAGGACGGTAAATGCACCCAAGTAAGTTTATTTCGTTTTTGTTGTGTTATTTTTTAGCTATTGAAAAATCGCTGGAATATAGATGGTCGTTATATTATACTTGATCTAACACCTAAATTTTGATCGAACTTTCCATGTGAGAAGTTCACATTCCGTCTTTTAATTTCAAAAGGGCCTATTCTTCATGCCAGCTCTGCTCGGCAGATCTTATACATCTGTATTAGTTAATATGAAAGTTTGACCAATCTTCTTTTAGGTTATCTCCATTGCCCTCGAATCCAAGCTCCATCGATTTGAAACGCATGAAGAAGATCCGTCTTCACCGTGGTCTCCGTCACGCTGGCTTCAAGGGTTCCCCACCCTCGATATATCGTTTTCTTATTCTTTGTGTTCTTGTGAGAATTAGAAAAATAAACTTATTATTACATTATTCCTGTTGAATCTTTCACAAAACTTTGAGGAAGTTGTAATGTATTCTTTTTTTGAAGGTTTTTGTTTAGCATAGATAATAAAAGGTAATGAATATACGTTTAACATGTGTTATTAAAGATGAATGTTAGTTATAGCGATCATAAAGTCTCTCTCAGTGTCAATGTTGCTATTCCTTCCGGAAAGTCGCCGGACTAACTTTTGGCGTTTGCACTTTGCGATAAAGGTCAGGGTGTGAACGACAGCCCGAAAAAGCCTATTGCACGGTGCAAAAGGAAAGAAACTGCACAGGTGCAAAGCAAAGTTTTGTTTTCGCACAGTGCGTGTCGCCGACTCCAGTCCGGCGAATTTCCGGAAGGACTAGTAATAATGAGCTGTTATTAATCCTGAAATCATACCGGCACCTCAAAAATGTTTTACACGCAGTAAGGAAAAGCCGTGAAAAATATTACCGCAAAACTATTCTCGCCAGCAAAAAAAAATTCGAGGGGGGTCGTGGGAAAAAATTCATATTTCACGGGTCCCGACGGGAAATAATCTGTATTTGGCCAAGTGTATTGCTAGGCTTCCAGAAGTGCGTACTTTAAAATGTATTTCATGACTATTCAATCAGTCAACAAAGAATTCCCAAATAGTATGGTTCCTAATTTTTATTCACCATCAATGACTCCTCCGCGAGCCCGGGTAAACCAATTACTAAGTCCAACAAACGCTTTTGTAAACGATGAAACTTCCACAACTCGTTCGCTCTTCTCCTTCTGTTGCAGTTCCTCTAAACGCTCTCTTTCGTCCGCCTTCTGAACCGCTTTTTCCATGTCGAAGGCGACGTAATCACATACTCGTGTCCAGAGGGCTAAATTATAATAAATTAAAAAGAAACGCTGACTTACTTCCAAAAAATCCATCGGGATTGCTGCTGACTTGGATCAGAGCGTAGTTTCCTAAGAAGATCGCCGCCGTGAAACTACCGTAGAGCCACTGAAACAATAAATTTTTTAATTAGATAGGTAACACATGAAGATGAGATTTTACAAAAGCATTGAAAGTAAAAATCATTATTTTGAGGCTCAAAATGTCAAAAAAAACATGATTCGACTGCTGTAATTAGTTTTACCTGAGTGCCCAAGCTAACTTTTGAAGAAAAAAGAATTATATTATCCTTGAAGCCAAAATGATAAAAGCGCCAAAAAAATGATCATCATCTCAAGAGATCCAGCTTTCTCTTTAACATAAGGTAAGCTAAGACCTCCATCCTCCTCCAGAAACCGTCTAAACTCAAAAGCAACAATGATAAATTGACTTACCGGACTGAAATGAGGCTGTGGATAGCCGGGTGGCAATGCTTTGGCTGAAGTTTCGGCCCATCTCTTTCCTCCCTTGCCGTCTGGGACAATTATCCTCCTCAACGGCGTCAATCTCATGTTTTCAACATCAATTAAAAAAATTGTCAAAAAAATGAAAGAATTTTTTCCGAGAAAAATAATTTATTTTCCGGGTTCCACGACGAAAAATTTAGCTTGCAACAGAATGCCAGAGAAAATTATTTTTGCCACATCGACGTAAGCTTCTTGGAATGCGCGGAATCCGCGGAAACATGGCTAATGACACGATGATTTTTGAAATCCGGATATTTTTAGATATTTTTAGGGCCGCTTCTTCGTTGGGGTTTGTGAGATATTGCACTAGGTCTGATTTTTTTTGAAATTTTAATGTTATTCTTTATGCGGATGTTCCTTTTGGTAAAAAATGAAGGTGTGGCGGGAAAATGAGGGCGAGATTAGCCCGCGCGAACCAGGTTCAATGTCGGTAATTTTTGTTGATTATATTACCCTTGAGGTAAAGCTGTTCAAAGGCGAAAAGTCGGGGGGGGGAACGATCGTATTTTTGTTTGAAAGCTTACTGACTCGTAGCTAATAGCATAAGAGAAGATTTTTGTCAACAATTAGATCAGTGATTTACTTTCCAGGCGTTTTAATTAACGAATTTTTTGTACCTCCAATCTTGATGGAGAATATCGGAACACCGGAAATTTTCTCTTTTTTGACATTGATAAGCACCCTCAATCTTCCGCGAATTTACTGTTTGTTTGTTCACCCATTTTCCACTCAAAGAGCGGTCCATTTTTGCAGGGTTTACAGTTTTCGTCTGATCAGCGGTAGCTTTACTACTTGAAGGATAAGAAGATTTGCTTTTCTGCGGCGCCTGAACAATGAATATTGAGATCTCAAACACGAAACAGATCGGGATTGGTCTAACCCTGTTCGGATGCACATTCGTAGGACTCGGAGTGCTTTTGTTCTTCGACAAGGCATTGTTGGCCATTGGGAATGTAAGTTTGCTTTGATTTCTTGGTTGTTTGACGTTTAGGTTTTGACGAAGGAGAAGGAAAAGGCTTTGACTGTCTCATGTTTGAGGTTTCTCAGCCTGAAAAAAAAAATTTTTTTTGCATAAAGAAACGGGTTTTCATTGATCTGGACCATGTGTTATATAAAATTTTCATTTTTTTTGGGTTGAAAATGGAAATAAATGTTTAACATAGCATATATAACGCTGTAAGTAGTCTAATAACTTTTAAAATTGTGGGGTGATAGCAAACTTTAATTTTTTTTTTGTATCTTTTTTATCATGAATAATATAATTTTTTGACTCTTGAGGTAGCCTTTAGAGTGACTGTTTCAAGACAAAATTAAATCCTCACAGTGATTTCTTGATATTGTTTTCATTTCAGCTCTTGTTTATCGTCGGATTAACACTTGTGATCGGAGTTCAGCGAACATTACTCTTCTTTTTTCAAAGGCATAAAATCAAGGGAACGGCGCTATTCTTCGGTGGAATCTTCATTGTTCTTTTGGGATGGGCCTTTGTCGGAATGTGCATTGAAGTTTGGGGCTTTGTACTGCTGTTCGGGTAAGGAGTTTTGTCTAGTGCAATATAATTTTTTTTTTGCTTTTTGGGATTATTATTGTTATATATGGTTAGGAATGGTGTTTTTCAAGGTTATAGTTTCTATTTTCAGTGGATTCTTGCCGTCAGCTGTGAATTTTGCCCGAAATTTGCCATTCATTGGGACCTTGTTGATGATGCCCGGAATCCGACAGGTAATTGGCTAATTCTTTGTGGATTCTGTGTGTTTAGACCGCTTGTTTATCGTTCCGGGTCCTTTGGCGTCTCTGTATTGCCCTCTATCACTTTGCTAACCAATAATCTCGCACTTTTCCAGCTTGTATATTACACTTGCACTAACTAGTCAAAACTTATGTCATAATTCATATTTTTCTTTCGTTTTTAAACTTAAATTGTGTGTAAAAGACTCTGTATGTCTTTGTCTGTGGTTGTAAAGCTTTAAATGTTTATTATTTTTCGTTTTACACGGGTTTTTGTGTTGTAGTAGGTGGTCAAAGGGTTATATTTTGATTTCAGTGCCTCGATCGAATCGCTCCAGAAGCCAAGTATCCGATTTAAGACCTGATTAATGTATACGAATAAATCCGATTACATCAATCCATCCACTTACTGTAATTAGGGTTAATTTTTTGTATTTGTACGGCGAATTTTGTATATTTAATCATTTGTTCATTTCATCCTCTGCAGAGTTAATTTATAGCCTTATTGTTCACTTTCCATATAAAGCACACATAAAGTTATCGCTCAACCTCAGAAACCAAACTTTTGAGAAGTTTTTTTCAACCTTTTCTACATATTTTTGAAGGATAACATGGATTGGCAAGGATAATATAAAAAGTATTCGAAATCTTGATTTTTTACTGATGATGGGGTAGATACAGTGGGGACTGATCCAGTGGCAAAAAACGTACCATTTTGCTTCCGGGAAGTATCAAAAATGTGGCAAAATACCTCCCTTTCCAAGTGAAAAAACTCCGATTTGAAGGGCGGGTCATTTCCCCCGCAAAAAGATCGCTTTTGAAATCTGAGTTTTTTTCACTTGGAGAGGGAGGCATTTTGCCACACTTTTGATACTTCCTGGATGCAAAATGGTACATTTTTTGCCACTGGATCAGGTCCGTTCACTGTAGATACACATTTCTACAATGGCGGACCCAATCTAATGGCAGAAAACTTTCAATTTCGTAATGCGGAAAGTATCAAAAATGTGGCAAAATGCTTCCCTCTCCACGTGAAAAAACTTAGATTTTAAATGCGGTCTTTTTGCTAGGGATATTCAAAAGGGGGTTTTTTCACCTGGAGAGGGAGGCATTTTGCCACATTTTTGATACTTTCCTGGAAAATGGTACGTTTTTTTCCACTGGATCAGGTCCACAACTGTAGATGGCTAATCAAATGAAAGGCTCTCTCGAATGTCGGTAATATGCGAATCCAACCGTTGCAACGCTCTTTCCAGGCTCGCGAAACTGTCGTCCGAATCATTGTCCACAAGTTTTTCCTGTTGTGTCTCCGGCACCGCGAACGATACGCTCCTTTTCTTTTTGGGATCCAATGAGCCACCGAGAATTTTCTCAACGGATTCTTTCACTTTCTCCCAGGTCTCATCTCCGACAATTCGGGCGGCATATAATAATTCGGCATTTCGTGTGTTAGCGAGCTGGCAGTAGTCCGCTGAAACGATGGATTTTTGAAGTAAATGTATGAAAAATAAATTCTGCTTACTTGACAACTCATATAAGTCATCGTAGTCGGTGTGGTCGGAGATGTGGCTTTTGTTGTCGAGGCCTAAAAAAATTTTGTTAGCCATAGTGAGATACAGTGACGGCCCTGATCCAGTGGCAAAAAACGTACCATTTTGCATCCGGAAAGTGTTAAAAAATGTGGTAAAATGCCTCCATCTCCAACTAAAAAAGCGCGCCCTTCAAAACGGAGCTTTCACTTGGAGAGGGAGAAAAAAATGTGGCAAAATGCCTCTCTCTCCAACTAAAAAATCTCCTTTTTGAAGGTCCTTCACAAAAAGAGCGGGCGCGCTTTTGAATCGGAGTTTTTTCACTTGGAGAGGGAGTTATTTTGCTGCATTTTTGATACTTCCCGGATGCAAAATGGTACATTTTTCGCCACTAGATCAGGACCGCCATTGTAAATCCTAGGGGGGCCAAACAGTCTTGAAAAGTCTGCACAGTGCGCCGTCGTGCATGAAATTTGTCGCGCGGCGACAAGAAAAATTCACGGTGCCGTGCGACCCCGCACAGTGCAAAAAGATTGTTTCGAAAAGGGTAAACAACGCACAGTGCGTTCTTCTTTCGCACCCCGCCAAATTTTTATCGCGCGACAGCTTGTCGCAAAGCCAAATTCATGCGCCCGCACAGTGCGAAAACATGTCAAGACTTTTTGGGCCGCCATTGTACAGTGGGGGACCTGATCCAGTGGCAAAAAACGTACCATTTTGAATTCAGGAGGCATAAAAATATGGCGAAATACCTCCCTCTCCAAGTGAAAAAAAACTCCGATTTCATCCGCTCTTTTTGTGAGGGAAACAGCGCGCCCTTCAAACCGAGGTTTTTTTCACTTGGAGAGGGAAGAATTTTGCTACATTTTTTGATACTTCCCGGATGCAAAATGGTACGTTTTTTGCCACTAGATCAGAGCCGCCATTGTAGAAACGCCAGTTAATATTTTTTGCCTTTCCTTGATCTCCCAAAATGGCTGCTTCTGAATCCTTCAGAAGTCGTTGTGCCTCCAAAGTGACCATTGTTTTTTCTCCCGGGCTTCGCTTGTCGTTCACCATGACGGCCATGATTGCCAGAGAAGTGGCCGCAATTACACATGATACTCCAAAATGGAGAAAATATAACGGGTAAATAATGTATGAGGTGATGGCAAATCCCAGAAAAATGCAAGATGCTGTTAGAACTGGAATCGAAAAAATGTCAGAAATTATTGTGCTGTAACTTACAGAGACTGACTTGACATGCTGCGCAGATTATCTGCCCTTGTCTTTTATTTGTCTTACAGTCGGTGATAAAGACACTAAGTTGATAGATTAGCCATACTAACAACGCCAGCTCGAAGGTGAAGATGGCGTTTTTCTGAAATTTGGATCAAGATATTCTCGGTCGTATTTTAAAAGTTGCTGTCCGACTGACAGCCGAAATGTTCCAGGTGCAACGTTCAGACTTTGTTTTAAATTTTTCTTATTAGGGGTCCTAGGCTAAATATCAATTGCTGAAAATGCTAGCCCAGCGGGGCAGCCGAGTTATTCAACAATCGTTGTCGGCGAAAAAGTGTGTGAAATGAGGAGGGCGGTCAGACAGAAGCATGCTATATTGCCATGTCATATTCTTGGCAATTCTGCAAGGAAAAATTTTATTTTTTGGGAAGATTTCGCTTTTTTAGAAAAGCTATAAGGCCTACAATTTTTCTAGAACAAATTTGCAAAAAAGTGGCGAATTTTCAGTTTGAGATACACGCCAATTTGTTTTCGTCAAAAAAACGGTTTTCGAGGTTTTGCGAGTTGCGCCCGAAGTAATTGGAATTTGGTACCGATAGTTATACGAACATGGGTTTTACCGTTTATTATGCAACATTAAAAATAGGTACACATACATACATTGTTAAAGAGATAAAAATAGGCCATACAACTCGGTCTGGGACAATTCGGATAGTTTTTGGAGGTTTTCTGAGCTGAATCTTACTTTAGTCGGCTAGTGCAAATTAGGGGGCGAAAAGAATCTCCCTTTTAGCTACAACTAGTCAAAAGCTTTGGAATGGATCATAGATTCTATTTTCTATCAACAGTTTAAACAAGGAACTAGAAAATTAAGTTAAGATAGGGAATTATACTATTTTAGGTATCAAGTGTAATATAACTGCAAAAACAAGCGGATTTGTGGGTGAATAGCAATATCATGATGTTACGTGTCCTTAGCACAACGTAACAATGCATTAGAGTAGAGCCCCGAATCGTAAATCCAGTTTTTCGCTACCTTCTACATGATTATTACCTAAAATTGGTAAAACGTAAAACAACTTACTTCTTCGATCCGAAATTGAAGCTAGAGTAAACACAGTACTGCTACCCAACGTTTCCTGATCATTTGCACCAGATTTGTCTAACATACTGCCCATTTCTTCTCGATTCCTCTGAAAAAACAAAGTATAACATAAAGTAACTATGAGGGTTTTCTTTCATTTACAAGGAAACCTTCCCCGATTTTTTGTCCAAACATGCTCATATGTCTACTGGACAACTTCCAAGTTGGATTTCCCCATCATAAGTCATTTACAGAAGATAACTTACTTTTACTGGGACCTCCTCATTACCAGTATATGGCGCTTGCGAAGATTCCGGGTCCATATTACCTAAAATTTATCCTAAATGAAATAGTAATACTTAAAAATAATTTCAGAAGCTAAAACATCATGAAAACAACATGATGCACTAAAGAATACAACCTTTTTTTACTTGCAATATCTATAACAATATAATGTTTGAAAAGAATAAGCTTACCCCATTCTTACGTCCTAAAAACGTTGAAACAAAAAAAATCTACATTAAATTCTCTACAACTTCATAGAAAGAAATTACAAATATAGTTAGAAAATGCAAAGATATGAACCGATCAAACTCACCATGTACAAACCATACAAAACTTAAAATCGTCAGAACTGACTCCAAAATTGCCTCCAAGCATCTGAAAGGATATGATTACGATCTCTATCGAAATCAGCTCCTTTTATGCAACCTTTGTGTTGATTTGGTACTTTACATTTTACATACGGTATGTTTTTTTACTCGGGGAAACAGTTGACCAGACGGGCTAGAGCAACACTTGGCCCGACCCTTTTTTTTGACTTTTTTTATGTGTAGACAAATTGGCGTGATGAGATAGGCTAGTTTTTTTACGAGGCATTCCTGAAAATCACATTTTCTCTGATCGACTCTCCTCATTTCGCACAGTCTCTCATCAGTAAAAGTCATAGGGAAAAATGTCTAGACTGCACGTGAAAATTACATTTTTTCAATTACATTATTTAGGACCTGGTATGAGGCATAAAAAGAGTATGTGTTCAAAATCTGAAACCTCAAGATAATCTTACAGTCGCATCCCAAAAAAAAATTTTTTTTATGAACGTTTTCTTCTACAAGTCCGTTCGCAAAGTCTCTAACAAGGGAAGTCGTTCAGATCGCAAATGAACTATGACATGAGACCTGTGTGGTTTTATAGTCACATACTCTACTATATCGAATATAAAGGCATTTTTGCGTCTGGGCCCCCGCGGCCGAGAAAATCGACTATAAAGTTTCGCAAGAAGAGAGCGCCGAAAAAGTCCTCTCTCCGAAAGCAAACCCAAACAGCTGCCCAGTTGGCCGAGTGGAAAGAGCGCTCGTCTAACGAATCTTCTTTTGGGTCGGGGGCTGGGTTCGATTCCTTTCACCTGCAATGTAAAGGGTAAGACTACTGTGTACACTACAGTATGCGTAAAAAATTTTTTTTTGTGTTTTTCCAATTTTATGTAGATTTGTGCCTTTTCTTGAGACAAAAACAAACAAATTTAGTCGACTTTTCTCCAAACTGTTAAAAATGGCATGACTTGGAATGGTAATCGGAGAGCTTCCTGCGGCTACGCCGCAAGGCTATCGGAAAGTTGTCGAAAGGAAGTAAAGTGATTTTTTATCACTCTTTGATTTTGTTTGGACATGGGATTGGCGCCTAAAAATGTTGTGGCTCTCCTCTTGGCCGAGTTCGGAACCGGGAACTCCGAAGACGCGACTTACGAGGAGACTCGGATGGCAACCCGACTGAAGATTCTGCTGTCTCAAGCGGCGGAAGACGCGAATATTGAGGTTCAAACGGACGATGAGATTATGGACAACAATAGCAGTGGGGACGAGAATGACGATGACAGCGACTTCGAATTGGACGTTGAAGGCCATCAAGAACGTGATGAAAGAGGAACTGGAGAGATATGGATGGGACGAAAATTCGTGTCGCTAGATCAAATACGAGCAGTCAAACGATATTGGCTATCGTCGAATCGATCGGTTGGCGCTGTCAGGAAACGGTGCAGGTTCATTCGAAGCGACTACTACTGGAGAAAGATGACGGACCTGTGGAAGAAAGGTAAGGCCACAGTTTGTTGATGATTTTTTTTGTAGATGAAGTTGTCGCAGATCGGCGTGTTCGCATAAAGAAGCTGGCTTCTGATCTTTTTGAGTGGGCGAAGGAGAGATTGTCGACTGGGACTTCCGATCCGATTACCATTCCAAGTCATGCCATTTTTAACAGTCTGGAGAAAAGTCGACTAAATTTGTTTGTTTTTGTCTCAAGAAAAGGCACAAATCTACATAAAATTGGAAAAACACAAAAAAAAATTTTTTACGCATACTGTAGTGTACACAGTAGTCTTACCCTTTACATTGCAGGTGAAAGGAATCGAACCCAGCCCCCCGACCCAAAAGAAGATTCGTTAGACGAGCGCTCTTTCCACTCGGCCAACTGGGCAGCTGTTTGGGTTTGCTTTCGGAGAGAGGACTTTTTCGGCGCTCTCTTCTTGCGAAACTTTATAGTCGATTTTCTCGGCCGCGGGGGCCCAGACGCAAAAATGCCTTTATATTCGATATAGTAGAGTATGTGACTATAAAACCACACAGGTCTCATGTCATAGTTCATTTGCGATCTGAACGACTTCCCTTGTAAGTGATTTCGGCGACACGCACTGTGCAAAAAAAAGTGAGGGTGTGAGCGACAAAAAGGCCATGCACGGTGCAAAGAGCCACAAATTGCACAGTGCAAGGTAAAATTTTATGTTCAAACAGTGCATGTCGCAAAAATCACTCCAGCGACTTTGCGAACGGACTCGCACAAAGTCCAAAAAAAACTTACAAACGTCCTGTTGATTTTTGAATGCAGCAAGGAAAACAGTTGATACATAATCGAAGAGATCAAAAACAATATAACGATCAAGCCAATCAGTCGAACTAATCGCCCCATTTTTTACTATTTCGTAGTTAAATTATTAGCTAGTGTAAGTAATCAAATTTACCATCAAAATTTTGAGAAGTCACAAGTTTTTCCGCGGCGGGAAATGCGTGGAATTCGGGGCGAAAGTCATGGCTTTGGTTTTGTTTTGTACGATTTGGCCGGGAAAATGCTTCCGCTACCAGTATATTTCCATGATTGACTCAGACCCTTTCCCTCTTTTCTTCCGTATGTTTTGACGAGAAAATGAAAAAAATTAAAAATGGAGAATGAAAGAGAAGTAATCGAAATGACAATTAAAATATTCAATGATGACGTATATGTTATAGAGACAGATGAAAAGAAGAAAAGTTCCCGATGTGAAGCGTGTGGATAACGAAGCATACAGTGGCGGTCAAAAAAACGGCCACCCCAAGATGATGCGCTCTAACGCAGAAGAGAGTGGTCGTAGGAAGATAAATATGGTATCATTGTAAAGCTTATCGAATACTAAGACGTGTGACTATACGCTTGTGGTACTGTAGTGCTGGCCTAGCACGTACTGGGGCAAGATGTTCTTTTGGCCTGGTCAAAAAAATGGCCACCCATAATTATTGTGCTTTAAATGCGGTTTATGTTAGAAATTGCCGCCATATGCGAGTGGACTAGAATAGCTATATGAATACACATCAATTCCAGTATTTCTTATTTTGTACATATGCCCTCAGGCATCAGTCAAGGTTGATGACCTTGTTCATGGTTAAGGCCCGGCCAAAATTTTTTTTGGGTTTGTGCCGTTGTTTTGATAACCCGAAGCAATACTGTAGACGGTATTGATCGTATTCGTGTGTAAGACTGCCCACATTTGTTAAAATTGTGCCCTTTCTGATAAGAAAACTCAAAAAATGGAATTTTTTGACCTAATTTTCTCCAAAAATCCGTTTTGGAGTCCGCTAAAAAATGAATGTAGAACCTTAAACAGGTTTTATTTGTACAAGAACATCATGGACATTTGTTTTAACACGGCACCGGTTAAAGGAAACGACCGTCCGAAACGACAGATACCGTTTTGTTACAGTTTTCGACTTCATGGGGTAATCATGAATTTTGTCCTGTTCCGAAACCTCTTTGAATAGAAATTATAATATAGTATCGCATTTGTGGCGTAGTTGAGATACCACTTTATCATTTAAAGGTAAATATGAGCTCCTAAAGTGAAAATTCGGGTTGCAGAACTTGACAAAGTTTATGAATAATTTCTGAAGTCGAAAACTGTAACAAAACGGTATCTGTCGTTTCGGACGGTCGTTTCCTTTAACCGGTGCCGTGTTAAAACAAATGTCCATGATGTTCTTATACAAATAAAGTCTGTTTAAGATTCTACATTCATTGTTTAGCGGCCTCCAAAACGGATTTTTGGAGAAAATTAGGTCAAAAAATTCCATTTTTTGAGTTTTCTTATCAGAAAGGGCACAATTTTAACAAATGTGGGCAGTCTTACACACGAATACGATCAATACCGTCTACAGTATTGCTTCGGGTTATCAAAACAACGGCACAAACCCAAAAAAAATTTTGGCCGGGCCTTAACCATGAACAAGGTCATCAACCTTGATTGATGCCTGAGGGCATATGTACAAAATAAGAAATACTGGAATTGGTGTGTATTGATATAGCTATTCTAGTCCACTCGCATATGGCGGCAATTTCTAACATAAACCGCATTTAAAGCACAATAATTATGGGTGGCCATTTTTTTTGACCAGGCCAAAAGAACATCTTGCCCCAGTACGTGTTAGGCCAGCACTACAGTACCACAAGCGTATAGTCACACGTCTTAGTATTTGATAAGCTTTACAATGATACCATATTTATCTTCCTACGACCACTCTCTTCTGCGTTAGAGCGCATCATCTTGGGGTGGCCGTTTTTTTTGACCGCCACTGTATCTAACAAGGGGAGTACCCCAAGTGCGACGCTCAGATTTCCTTTAAATTTTGCGCACAAGTCGGGCATGGACTCAATATCAATTCCTGAAAGTTTTAGCTCGCGCTTTGCGGGCACCGCCGAGATATTGAACGATTTTTGCCGCCGAGAGAGCACACTAAACGTGGAAAGCGGTCAGAGAGGAAAACGCTTTTCGGCCACAACTTTGCCAGTTTTGTGCGAAAAAATTTGATTTTTTGTGGAAACATTACACTTTACGATAGAAATGGGCATGAAAATTTTGGTGCCGAAATTCGGCAAAAAGTGTCAAATTTTCGCCCACTTTCGATCTACAAATCTTGGTTTTTTCTGCAAAGCGCGAGCTAGAATTCCCGCATATATTTTAGAAAAAATTATTCTAAATTTGTGTCAAGTTTCCTCAAAATCTGAGCGTCGCACCTGGGGTACTTCCCCTATAAATAAAATTTGGGTTATGCGTTTCAAAGGTGTATGCGAGGTTTCTACCTTGCGTTTTGCAGAAGTTACCGAAACTTTTAGTCCAAACGTTGGCAAAGATTCAAGATTTTTCTCCGAGTTTCTGCATGAAAAATTTCAGTATTATTTCTAGAGGATTTCAACAAAAAAATCAGTTTTACCCGCGAGGCGACATTCCAGAAGGGCTAGTACAATTTGTCCTCTTTTTGAAGCCTTTAATTTCGAAATGAAATCCTCAGAAAACAAGGAAGCAGCAATTTCCCAAATACGTAGTTTCTTTTGAAACTTCTTGTATATGTCGTAATGCTACGAATCATAAATTATTATACCTTACAAATCGTCTGTTTTGCATACAATTTTTTTACAATGCTGATGCTACTCGAGACATACATATCAGTGTGTCGGAAAAATAATGGGCACACTTTCTCATCTAAATTCGTATTGCCGCGGAGAACATGAATTGTCGCGGCAAGGCCGAATTGCCTTTGATTTCAGCGATGCAATTGGCCCAGCGACATGGTGGTTATTATTTTCCCGACAGTCGGGCAGGGCGTTTTCCTATGATTTTTGCGGCCATCACCTTCCCTTTTTTACCCAAGCGACATGCGCTTTTAAAAAACCCAAGTTTTGCGCGACGCCGGGAAAAAATTTTACGGACATTACAGACTTGAGCTATTTCCCTCTACAAGTCTTTTTCACCAGTCCGTTCGTTCTTAAATTGCATTTTCTTGGTACTATAACATGTCTAATTAACTCACTTTTCAACAATCGGGCTCACTTTTTTTGACCGTATACGTATACGAGTTACACATCATCAATTATGATATAATCATGTTTGGAAATAAAAATGCTACTTTCACATTCCGTTGACTGTGTTTTGACCTTGTTCTTTTCAGCCGTCCGTACTAATACAATATACGTATCCAAGAGTGCGAATAAGAATACTTTCAACTTGAATTTCTACATGGCATGAATTCTTTGCTGGTTTTTCAAATATATTCGGTGGTTGTTGCGGTGATCTCTACTAATTTATGTGTTATTGTCATTGTTATCTCTTATCGACTGTACAGACGGAGTAAAAATAATTACTCTTGGATTATCGGGTTTAACGCAACGATTGATTTGGTGTTTTCGATTACGTATGGCATTTGTATGGTGGTAAGTAGAACAAGTTTAAATAAAATACTCTCGGGCTTTGCTAGGCCCTGACATAGCCTAAGGTCTTTAAACCCCTATACAACCCACTGTTAAAAATAATAGGCTAATTTATGGGTCAGACTCGCCAGTCAAGAGGATTTTAATTTAAAAATGATCCACTGATCCAGTAAAGAGTTTGCTGATTTGCCAGAAAGATAGACTTATAGCCGTAAGGTCCAAAGGGTTAGCGAAAACCCTGTTTTCTCCATTCACGAGCGATTTTGAAAGTTTGGTTACCAATCCAGTGTCTTGCCAGGATGATTTGTTCGCTAAGCTAACCTTTTTGGTTGACCGTTGATAGGACTCTTGTTAAAAGACGATTTTTGGCTCGCTGCGTCAGCGGTGGACATAGGAAAAAATCGATTTTGAGTTTTTTGCATAAAAATGACCGTCGACATGTGCTAAGGAAAACCGAACAACAGTTTTTCTTAATTCTGCCCGGAAGGCATAAATTTGCTTAAATTTGTCTTTTTTGGAATTTTCGACCTGGCGACGACATAGAAAGAGCAAATCACCCAAAATTTTGCTTGTATACGTTTTCGACCATTGGAAATTCATTTTTTTGAAAAATGAGTCTCTCAGATTACTGTAACATAGGCATATTGTAATCCGGTCGATAAAAATCGACCGTAACTCCTTCGTATCAAAAATCCCACAGGATTTTATTTCAGATTCGGAAACAGCATAAAATTCTGCATATTATACACATAATGTGAGGTCATAACTCCAGGGGGAGATCGCGTAGTATATTGGATTTTGGCAAAAAGTACGTTTGAAAGGTCGCGGGTTCGATCCCCGCTTGGTGCAAATATTGAAAACCCGGCGGAAATCGCGTTTAATGGACACATAAGGGTTATATGAGATACACTAAGCAATTTTAAACATTAATGCATATCTAATTGCGATTAAAACTGATTTTATATAATTTTTGGAGACTGAATATGCAAAAAATGAAACTGCTTCAAACCGCTTGAAATTGGAAACACTTATTCTAGGGTCAATTGTAAGAAACTTTTCCGTTAACTTTTTTTCGCAGATCACCGTACCATGGATTACTGCAACATTAAACCTGATTTGGTTTTTCGTGGACCACATGGCGCATAGAAGTCGGATTGTCGTCATTGTGCTCAGGATGGTTAAGAAAGAGTTTTCTTGTGCACAAAAAAAGTTTTTATGGCTGTACCGTTTGGAACGGCCGAGTTATTTGACGCACTTTCACCAATTGATTATGACATCAAGACGCGTTGCAATTAAGGTCGAATTTTCTTTCATATATAGAAAGTGGATCTTTTCGCTGTCTAAAACGACTAATTAAAACGATTTATTATTTTATGCAAGAATTTTGAAGAAAATTGCAATTAATCAGGATACGTTTAATGCTACAGTAATCCATGGTGCGGTGCTCTGCCAAAAAAAGTTAACACAAAAGTTTCTTACAGTTGACCCTAGAATAAGTGTTGCCAATTTCAAGCAGTTTGAAGAAATTTCATTTTTTGCATATTCAGTCTCCAAAAATTACATAAAATCAGTTTTAATCACAATTAGATATGCATTAATGTTTAAAATTGCCTAGTGTATCTCATATAACCCTTAGGTGTCCATTAAACTCGATTTCCGCCGTGTTTTCAATATTTGCACCAAGCGGGGATCGAACCCGCGACCTTTCAAACGTACTTTTTGCCAAAATCCAATATACTACGCGATCTCCCCCCTGGAGTTATGACCTCACATTATGTGTATAATATGCAGAATTTTATGCTGATTCCGAATCTGAAATAAAATCCTGTGGGATTTTTGATACGAAGGAGTTACGGTCGATTTTTATCGACCGGATTACAATATGCCTATGTTACAGTAATCTGAGAGACTCAATTTTCAAAAAAATGAATTCCCAAAGGTCGAAAACGTACACAAGCAAAATTTTGGGTGATTTGCTTTTTCTATGACGTCACCAGGTCGAAAATTCCAAAAAAGACAAATTTAAGCAAATTTATGCCTTCCGGGCAGAATTGGGAGAAACTGTCGTTCGCTTTTCCTTACCACATGTCGACGATCATTTTTATGCAAAAAACTCAAAATCGATTTTTTCCTGTGTCCCGGGTCCCTTACGGGCTGACGCAGCGAGCCAAAAATCGTCTTTTAAAACGCTGTTTTTCTAGCGATGATAGCCCAATAAATAGGAAATTATTCAAAGTGGTGAATTATAATCGATGGAGATGTATAATGGTTCATAATCGCCGTTTGCTGATGCTTATCGAAGCCCGGATTGCTTAGGGCAAAAATGGGGAAAAATCAAATTTTTTCTGGAAGAAAATCACTTTCCCTTGACAAGATGTCCATCTCGAACACCTAGATATTGACTATAATACAGCATACTGTTAAGACTGGCTCCGTTTTGCACAGAGATTATTCTTTCACTAGGCAACAATAAAATAGCCTTTCAGAGTACCACCACCAAATATCCATACGTTTACGTCATCGTCAACAGCCCTCTTTTCAAGGACGCCGATCCTTATGTGATCCGCTTAGCCGCCGTTTTCCGCCTTGCAATTGCTCTCATCGACTCTCCATTAACAGCAATTCATTTCTGGTTCCGTTACGATGTAGTGTGCAATCAGAATGTTTGGACTTGGAGGACATACGGCAAAATTTACTCTGTTTTCCTTATGTTGACACTGTGTGAAGCCGTAAAAATGCTTACCGGCGGATTTGACGACCGAAATCCGCATTCCAGTGATGCTGTAAATGATGGAATAGCGGCTACGGCAAGATACATTTACTTTTCCATGGTAAGGATTGCATTTTCAGGTTTTTAGAATACATAAATGACGTTTGTAAGTGTTAATTCCACACATAAATTTTTGATTTTCAGCAAACGGGATCGTTTATTGTTGGAATCGTTCTGTCGCAAACGCAGCCACTTGTCGAATATTCGCTTATTTGCTATTTTGGGTGGAAAATTTACAAAAATGTTAAGGCCACTGCTGCTCGATCAATAAACACAACTCTGGCGGCACAACGAACGCTGGTCAAAATCATGGCCTTGCAGGTGAAAAAAAGAAACCTTGTTTATGCAGTGGCGGACCTGATCCATAGGCAAAAAACGTACCATTTTGCATCCGGGAAGTATCAAAAACGTGGCAAAATACCTCCCTCCCCAACTAAAAAAAAACTCCGTTTTGAAATGCGCGCGCCTTTCCCTCACAAAAAGGCGGGCGCGCTTTTGAAACCGGAGTTTTTTTTCACTTGGAGAGGGAGGTATTTTGTCACATTTTTGATACTTCTCGGACGCAAAATGGTACTTTTTTTGCCACTGGATCAGGTCCGCCATTGCAGGCAATACATGTATTAAGATTACAGGCGATTTACCCGCTGATCCTTCACTTCATACCGGTAGTCTTCATCCAGTGTTGTGTCATCATTCATATTCACTTTGGGTCCGCGTCAACGTATGTACTTGGTGCTCCAATGCATTTGACTCCCATATTGAATGCAGTGTCAATTCTCACTCTGATGCCGTCATATCGAAGAGGAATTCGAGACAAAAAAACAAGCATTACTGTTGCCGAGTATTCCAACAACTGGACCACGAAGATTTAGCCAATCTGGGATTTAATATTAATTTGTTTATCTGGTTGAAATAAATGATTTGTTTTGGTCGATGAATAATGTGTACTATGATATTTCGGACGAAGTTTTTGACTGCTTACATAACACCACTGTCACATAATTTTCAATGCGTGTCGGACACGTTTTATATGCTGGATTCGGTTAACGGCGGGCTCGCACTTGCGGTGAACCACTTTACGGGCAGCTAGAATAAACAGGCATGTAGATTCTGCGGGCATGCTTGAAAATCAGCCAAAATTTGCTTACAAAAGGAAATTTTTACAATATAGTTGGCACTTAGATTTTGCGGATTAAATTTCCATATCTATAAATGACGTAAAGTGAGGTTAACCAGTCATTTTTACCATTTTTTGAACAAAAAAAAATCCCGTAACATCGAAACCGGTGGATGAATTCAATGACTTTGTGTACTTACCTGTACCTGGGAGTTTCCAATGCAAAAGAATTGGTCGAACTGGCCCGGATAGACGCTAATGTACTCTACATAGTATCTCAATTATCTGCATTAGCTCCCCAAGAGGCACGCCTAGTTTACAGCATAATACTTGCTGGAAAAGCTTCTACTAGGGATACCGTACCTCCTCTTACTCCGCATTCCTCCCACAGTCTGGCCTCGATATAATCCTTGATGAGGGAATATACAATTTGTTGAACAAAAAGGATCAAGTTACGAAGCGCAAACTTTCTACAAACCATTCATGTGTTTTCCTCGGAGTGTTCTTTGATCAGCAGGAAGTATTTAACGACAAGCGGAGCCTGTGCTTGGCATGATTCAGATTTCTTGAGTAGTGAAGGTACGTTCTCTACTTCCGGATGTCTACAGATTTTCTACGACTTGTAATTTATTTATAAATGACCTGGCAGGCTGAAAGGGGGCCTTGCGGAAACTCATCAGCTAATTTGAACATAACAGTCGCTATTTATTGGTCTGTAAAGCAAGCGGATTTTTTGTAATGCAGCATTCTTACACATCTCTTTATCAATATGCGTATCCTTCAATATATTCACAGCCTTTGGGTGCGAAAGGCACCAATGTTTACCATGTCCTGAGTACATATTTTTTACCTATTTCGTAGTGCCTTCCAAGAACGCGGGATGTTGTTAAAACATGTTTTGATGTTGTAAAACTTTGGTCTTTTAGGATGTCGAATGAAACAACGCCGCCCTCAAGTCGGCGGCGAAGCAATATCAGCGTTGTTTCCTTTCTGTTTGGCGATAACGGCTATATCTTTTTGCCAATGAACTTTGTCAACATCTTCAATCAGAACATGAAGAAGCGAAGGAGATGTTATTGTCGATACTTTGTCGGCAGTGAGCTTCACGGACTTAAGGAAGCGATTTCTGTGAGTTATCATAAAGATTACTAAGTGGTGGCTACGTTTAACAAGCATGCTTTTGTTTGTGTTTTAGTACATATAATTTTATTACAGACCCAAAACACCTATCGTCATTTGGGTTGGAGCATATTACTTTGTGTAGCAGTAAGTATCGCCATAGTAAATACCATTCATATGTGTGCTGATTACTATCAAAACCAACTAGAGACGTCGTATTCAAAACATGTGGTAGGCATTTTTACGCAGCCACATACGAGCAAAACCCCTTCAGGTTCCTCGACTAGAATTTCCATCAGTAATTATCTGTCCAAAAAGTCCGGACGCCCTTAATTTTGAACGAGTCAAGAAGGAGATCACCAAGGTTCTTCCGATGCTCAACGACTCCCAAATCATCGACCTAATAATCTACGCCATTGGCGATACAGGGCTGGTCAACGCACACTATGTTATGGTAAACAAAAGCGAGGAGCATTTTGCAAAATTCAACCGGATGATAAAGGCCTGGCGGGGAAGGCGCGATCAAAAGAAGTTTTATGAAGACTTGTTTGAGCATCATGGCAATGGCTACACTTGCACACAGGTAAACAGCAATCTGCAGCTAGATGAGGTTGATCTAGTACTTGTAGTTGGCGGTAGCGAGTGTCATGAAGAATTTTTAGCTATTCAAAGAGTGCCGGTTGGGAGCGCTGACAATAAACTGTTGCGAGCTCTTCGAAAGTCATTATGTCATGTTGAGAGGGCGTTGTTTTCGGATGAAAGAGTTTTATCAGACTGATCCCGGCTTCTATGGCCGGCTTTACATCGGAATGAACGAACTGCCAAGTTTAACCGCCAAGGATGGGAAACAGGTAGGCGTTTTGGAATTTCCTTTTTTTTAGGCCTGGTAATTTCTTTCTGTATTATGTAAAATTGAAGCTCTACTAATGAAGGTGCTAAATCGACGCTCAAATTTCGATGACTTAATGGCTGATCTTGGGGCTAATCTTTTTTTCTTGATAGCTTGGCTTAAAGGAATGCTTTGTTCATCCGAAATTTTGGTAAATCGTGAGAAAAACTTTTGACAAAAACATGGTTCGCGGCCCAGTCGCTTTAAACTAGCTTTGGTCAGCCCCAGAGATTTCAACGAGCCTTGCGATAGAGCCATATTTAGTTGTGAATCACTGATGTTTGACATGCAAAATTGCAGGAAAATATATAAGATAAAAAGCTCTAATATCTAGTTATGACTATACAGTATGACCACAAAAAAATGCAACTCATATTCGTCGCTAAATTTTATTTCACAACTCACATTGAACAAAATTAACAATCAATAATCAGTAACATGGATGTAATCCAAAGTTAAACTTGTTTTTTCTAATCACACATGTGTATATACATACAGGTCCAGCTCGTCGCTTTCCTTGCCACTCCTCGATCTGAGATTTCAACCTTTCCTCGGTATTACCTTACAAAACAAGCCTCGACTAAGATTTCTATAAAGCTGCGGATGTTCGACATGGACCCCGACTTCACCAGGTGCCATGATGACGGGGAGACCCGCGGCCGAGCCGCTTGCTATCTCCGTCAATGGCTGTATGAGAAGTTTGTCAATCCGCATAATTGCACTCCATTTTACATGCAGTATCGGACTCACGGAGTGGATGTTTGTGAGACTGGCGTGATCGCTAAGACGTATGAAAACGTTCTGGATCTGGCAACAAAAGAAAATATTGTAAGTTTAAAAGTTTGTTGAGAGGGGCATTTTGTATAGCGAGAAGATGTATTACTATATGTATAAAGTATACTGTCAAGTACTGGATACGTTCTATGAAAGGGGTGGCGGTGTTGAAAATATTGTTTACTTTCTGAATTTGTAATTTTTCGAGCGTATTTGATGTGCGGTTGAGTTTTCAGTGCATGGCTGCCTGCAGTCGGTCAGAGAGGGAATATAAGGTGGTCCGGAGGAACACAGAAGCTTCACGATCGCTGGGATTTAATGAAACACATCCTTACAGATTGGAACTTCATTACGAGGACTTGGAAGTAAGTGTGTCCGTCCTAGTTCTCTGCAATCGACTCACAACCAGCTCCAAGTTTTTATGTGTAGTTTACAAGTTAGCCCACGAGGAACGCGAGGCAAGACGCTCGGATTTTGCTGAAAGCTTTGAAATTTAGTCGCGCCTGGGCCATGCGCGTCAAACTGAGGAGTCCGGTGACCGGAATAGACCCTTCGCTATCGGTTTTTTTACACTTCGTCTTGATTAGCAGAGAAAGAGAGAAAAAAGACACGCAAAAGCGTACTCTATCGCCCCAAAAATTCCCCATTTCTTCCCCGACAAAACGTTTTTTCGTCTTTTTTTGGCAAATTGCCAATCCATTCACCGGAGGGTTCTAGCTTATCTCAGTTTGACGTCTCAATTTGTTAAAGTTTTATCTTGCGCTTTCAAACATTTGCCGTGGCCTCAGCGGCCCATTACGGGCGATATATTAGGTCGTCCAGAAAGTTCTGTCGTTTTTTGAACAGATTTTTTAAACGAGCAAACACTAATTATAACAATAAATTAATCAATGATGTCTAGGTAGCTTTTTGTCCTCGATGAAAGGCGAAAAACTCAGGTGCCGTAAGCGCAAATTTTTGCCTTCTATTAGTTCATTTTCGAGCCTGAAAAAACATAAAAAATAACAATAAAAAACAAATCTAAAAACACAGATTTGTAGAGGAGAAAAAGCCGTATCAAATAAATATGTACACTTTGAACAACAAACAAACTTTGTAAAAGAAAGCAATGAAGAAAACGACAGAACTTTCTGGACGACCTACTCGATTAAAGACAAGCATTGCTGTTTGATGATATGTTTTTAAAGCCCGCTTTTTTCAGTACGAAAACTACGCGGAAGTTCGAATCACCACTCTTCCCGGCTTTGTCTCACAAGTCGGCGGTCAGCTGGGTTTATTTCTCGGAGTCACCGTGATGAGTATCGCTCAAATGATTCTAAATCTCTACGTTTTCCTCCATGAACGCCTTCAGAGGCTTCGAAAAACCCTCAAAACTTCACAACCGCCAGCCTGAATTTCCTTGAACCGGGAGGAAATTTGACACATGTCTTTGAAGGTTCTCACGCGTCTTGAAACCTTCAAAATACACAGAAGGACACAAAATAAATGATGATATTGCGAAACGGGCAAACATGGCTTATTTCGGTAGGCGCTTCCTCGTATCCTTAAGCCATTCTGCCCTCGTTTTGGATGGCTTTGGATGGAACAAACCTTACCAATTCTTGGAATACTAAGGGATTCTAATAAGATCTTCGACTCGGTTGAATGTTTAATCCAGATGAGTTCGTCACGGATGAAACCGATGGCTATGGCTCGACGTACTTGATAAAGTTGAAGAAGCCAAAGAAGCGGGTGAAATGCAAGTTGAAGACGAGGCTGTTTGATCGATATTTCGGCGGGACTGAGATTCATGGGCTGTTGTTGGCGTTCAGTGTAAGTTATTGGCCGATAGAGGCTGTAGGTGTCTATTTTAAATGTGTGTAAATACCATAGTCTAGCTGACAAAGAAAGTACCATGTTTTTAGAAAGGTATATCCCGTTCATATCAAGCAATATGGATTACATTTTTGGTCATCACTGCACTGGTTTCGGCCATGACTACAAGAACCACATTTGATGAGTATTTGGAGCATCAAACTGCCACGTCATTCAAAATTAAGCAGGTAAAATACGACATGCAATCTATCTATTATAGCAAACTTACTTGTCTTTGTTACCTTGCGTCTGCCTTGCGTAACAATGCTCTACTTTCTTCAGGTTCTGGAGCTCGAATATCCCTCTTTAATCATCTGTCCAAAAAATCCCGATGCGCTTCGGTTTGAAGAAGTTATCAAAGAAATTCAATCCAAATTCCCGCGGATATCCGACAAATTCGCGGAAATGATGGTCGCTTATGTCATTGCTGACTCTGGCTTTGCCAACATGGATAAAAGAATTGATAAACTTACCGTGGGCCATCATAAGAAGCTGCGGTATTGGCTGAGAAAATGGCGAAAGACAATGGACGTCGAGGATATTCATGAGTATCTTTTTGAGCGGTTTGGATATCGATGCGAAGATGTAAGAATATTTTTGAGTCATGCTTTCAGTGGACGCTTTCTACAAAGTAGCGAATTGTCATCACAAAAAATATGACTATTTCTGACATGGTTTTTGTTTGTCATTCTTGTTTATCGCACTGTAAGATATGACTAATAAGATTTCTCATTTTTTCAGCTCTTCACAAAATGCCGTTACTCCAGGACGGTTGTGCCTTGTTGCGAGATCTTTGAAGAGTACTACCTGATGTTGAGGGGACGCTGTTATCGCCTCAAGCGTTACAATTTCACACAGACTGATGTGGCTGATCGGGGAAGATTTCTTGTTCAAATGAGGCAGCTAAATGCTCCGTTGACGAGTAAAAATAAGAAACAGGTAAGGTCATAGTTCTGACCAGGCAGTTCATGCCGAATCTGTCATCAAATCGTGTTAAAACTTGGCCAAGTTTTCTCTTTCTTGCCTTAAATCTCTATGCCATTTCTTGCAAGCCGTTGTATTTTCCTCAACTCCATTTTTTTCAGCCCCAAGTCATCGCATATCTAGCGCAGCCGCGACGCGAAATCTCCACATATCCCAGATTCTACATCAATTATCGGGCCTACAACGTCATCACGTGCAAAATGAGAGCCATCAAAATGTTGGACAGCAACAAGAATTGCGTCGGAGGGGATGAATACGGCGGCCGGAATGATTGTTACATTCGCAAATGGCTTCATCATCGGATTACTGGACCGCTGAATTGTACCGTATTCTACATGGCGCATAAGAATGATCAGCTCGACACTTGCCCGGTGGGCTTGTTGGCTTCGAATTATAAGAGTCTGCAGAATTTGAGTGTCGACGCTTCGGATGTAAGCCGGATTTTCGTACTGACTGTGTTAATTGAAAGTGCCGTGAATATGAGAAGTCTATTTTACTGAAGCCTGGCACAAATCTATATACAACTGAACTTTCATGGATATATTTGAACGTGTGCTCGCTGGAATTCTGCAGAAATTCCAGCGGATTTTCTCTTGAAGATAGAGCGACGGACCTAATCCAGTCGCAAAAAGCGTACCATTTTGCATCCGGGAAGTATTAAAAATGTGGCAAAATACCTCCCTCCCCAACTAAAAAAAGTACAATCCTAAATGTCTGAAAAATGAATTCTGCTGACTTGACAACTCATATAAGTCATCACAGTCAGCGCGGTCGAAGATGTGGCTTCTGTTGTCTAGACCTAAAAAAAATTCTTTTTTTTATTTTTTTAATCATACCGAGATGCAGTGACGGACCTGATCCAGTGGCAAAAGACGTACCATTTTGCATCCGGGAAGTATCAAAAAAATGTGGCAAAATACCTCCCTCTCCAGTTAAAAAAACTTCATTTTAAAGAGCCATTTCCTTAGTAAAGGAGAGGGAAAAAGATCGCTTTCGAAATCCGAGTTTTTTCACTTGGAGAAGGAGGTATTTTACCACATTTTTGATGCTTCTCGAATGCAAAATGCTACGTTTTTTGCCACTGGATCAGGTCCGTCACTTTATATACTAGTCCTTCCGTAAAGTCATCGGAGTGATTTCGGCGGTATGAACTGTGAGAAAACAAAAGTTTTGAACTGTGCAGATGACTTTTTTGGGCTATAAAGTCGGATTTTTATCAATCATCAATTTTAAGATTTAGAAATTTTTTAGGACTGAGGTTTGGCAGGCCTCTCTAGACAGTAAAATCAGTTTTTCCGGCAAAAACTTCCCTTGTTGATATGTAATTTCTAATGTTTACAGTGTCTGCCAGCATGCAAGAGGACAGAAATCACTTGCAACCACGAGTTCGACGAAGATAACCCATCGAGACAGTACATTTTCAACAAGAATTTCCCCGACTTCCAGCTTGAATACGGATTTGAAGATCTTGAGGTAAGAATCATTACCTGATCCAGTGGCAAAAAACGTACCGTTTTACATCCGGGAAGTATCAAAAATGTGGCAAAATGCTTCCCTCTCCAAGTGAAAAAAACTTCATTTTCAAGAGCCCTAGCAAAGGAGAGGGGAAAAGATCGCTTTTGAAATCGGAGTTTTTTCACTTGGAGAGGGAAGCATTTTGCCACATTAAAACTACATATTTTTGGCTATAACTTTTCAAAGGTTACAGTGACGGACTTGATTCATGGCAAAAAACCCTACTATTTTGCATCAGGGAAGTAACAAAAATGTGGTAAAATGCTTCCCTCTCCAAATGAAAAAACTCCGATTTCAAAAGCGCGCCCTTCACAAGACAGATTTTTAGTTGGAGAGGGAAGCATTTTGCCACATTTCTGATACTTCCCGGATACAAAATGGAACGTTTTTTGCCAATCGATCAGGTCCCCCACTGTATTTTTGCGGCCGAATCTCACGGATATTCAATTTTTAAAACCCCTCATTTTCAGTACGAGTACTACGCCGAGTTCAAAACCACCACCGTTCCCGGCTTCATTTCGGAGATTGGCGGCCAATTCGGGCTGTTCCTCGGAATCAGCGCCACCAGTCTGATTCAATTTTCGCTGAATTTGTTTTATGTGCTGCGAACTCTATTCCGAAGACGCCAAAGAAGGAAACGACATGAAATTAAGATAGAATAGAATTTAAAAAAAAATTGAATAGAATTAAAATTCGAATAAATTTCTGAAAAAATATAAATTTAAATTTTCAAGATTTGCAATTTTTCTCAGTTGTTTGGATGTGTCGTTTGCTGCGGCAGCATGACTTTTTATACACTTCCAGTGAAATATCAACAAAAAAAAAGTTCTCAGTTTTTTTGGCTTCAGCTGTTTTTTCATCGCTCCCCTAGCTTGTCAGGTCGCATTCCCCTCATGTAAGTGACTGCGAACGGAGAAAATAAGAGAAGAATTTGACTGTACAGAAGCTATGCGTCTACGGAGGGAAAATGGGGTGTAGGAAAATTTTACAAGTGTATATCATCTTGTGTATGAAGGTACTATTTACAATCGCCGGCTATACTGCATTGGCTGCAATGTGGAATAAAGTGAAACGGTCTGATTTTGGGTTGTGGAATTCGTCGTGATTTTTTGGACAAAGTGGTGCTAACATTTTTCAGTTAACGGCATAATTTTTGAGTTGTTCTATAATTGAGAGTGTACTAGGCGGTTTTTGTCTTATGCGGCTCAAAATAAGAGTTGTCGCTGCGACAAGTTATCGAAGGGTGCTACTATCAGCATTTTCACAAAGTGCCTGGACATGTTGCATCTCGAATTTTTGCCAACGCATTTCGGATTTTCAACTGCCTTTGCGCACCGTGCAAACCTCAAAAAAGCCGTTTGCACATTTTTGAGCCAAATCGCAGCAGCAGCGATATTTCAAGTGAACAGTGCAAAACCAAAAAAAGCGAGTGCATGGTGCAAAAAATCGCGAATTTTTGTGCACGGTGCGGACCGCGAAAAATATCCAGGCACTTTGTGAGAATGCCTATGCACTTTCTGGAACGACTGTTTTTTTCTTTGATTGCCGTTTTCAAAACGATTTATTTATACTTTGTACTGTGCTTAATCGCAATATTTTTATTTATCACCGTGTATTTTATTAGTAAAGTTTTTCGTACGACGGCGCAGTGTGCAGACAAGTCAAGACATTTTAGCCCGCCTAGTACAGTGACCTTTCGAAATTAAAGTTCCCAAAATCAAGCCTTTTGGATTCAAACAACTTCTATAATCTACTGAACGAAAAGTTTTTATTTCTTTTGATCTGATGACCTTTTCCTTAACTGATAGTGAATCATTGTTATTTTCATTTTAAAAAGAAAACAGTTTTAGGACGTAGCGTATTAAAAAAAAATTTTTCGTCGTTTTTCCAACATCACACTTTTTTTTCATTCCTAGTCACTTGTCTACCGCAATGTTATAGACTGTAAATTCGGTTAATTAACTCGATTGAAAAGGGAGTGGCAATAAAACAACGTTATGAGATTTTTTATCGACTTTTCCCATCATTGAGACCTTTTGTTTCCCGAGTAATCTTCTCGACTTTACACACCGCGCCTTGAAACACCTTGTTATCGCCGCCTCGCCCTATCAAAACTGTTTTTTAAATTTGGCGCTTAATCGAACTGGGCTCTTCTCTTCCATAAAAAATATTTTTCGCCTCGAAAATCTTTTTGGGGAAATGTAGTTTTACTCAGCTTGTCATCTCGACTTACAGTTAAGACTTTGTTGTTATCGCTGCCCGAATCGAGTTATGAAGACGTAGTGCGATTTTTGATGGGAAGAGCTTTCGACAAGCATTGTGTTAACAGCCCTTGCTGATTGTGGAAAGATAGCTTACAAAGGGATTGCTGTTTTGGAAAAAAGTCTTTCGTTTGATCGCTGTTTGACATTATTTTCCGACGGCGGGGAAAATACGCCTTCCGGAAGAAATTTTGCCGGTATACTGCCTAAAAGCTTCTGTATAATAAGTCACCAAAGAGGGATCAGGTTCTTTTGAGGATTAGGTTAATGTAAAATCACTTTTAAACCCAATGTTTACAAAGGAACCACCCCAAGTGCAACGCTTACATTTTTTGAAAATTTTGCACACAAGTCGGGCATGAAATAAACATCAATTCCTGAAAGTTTTAGCTCACACTTTGTAAGCGCCGCCGAGATATTGAACGATCTCTCCCGCCGAGAGAGTACGATAAACGCGGAGAGCGGTCAGAGAAAAAACACTTTTTTGGCCATAACTTTGCTAGTTTCGTGTAGAAAAAATACATTTTTTGTGAAAAAATTACCCTTTATAGCAGAAATCGGCATGAAACTATTCGTGCCAAAATTCGGTAAAAAGTGTCAAATTTTCGCCGACTTTAGATCGGAAAATCTTGGTCGTTTCTGCAAAGCGCGAGCTAGGACTCTTGCATATGTCTTATAAAAAATTCTTCTAAATTTGTGCCAAGTTTCATCAAAATCTGAGCGTCGCACTTGCGGTACTTTCCCTGTGAAACCCGGATAAATCTATATACAGTGAGGGACCAGATGCAATGGCAAAAAAGTAGCATTTTGCATCCGGGAAGCATCAAAAATGCAGCAAAATGCTTCCCTCTCCAAGTGAAAATAATTCGATTTAAACTGCGCGCCCTTTCCCTCACAAAAAGAGCGGACGCGCTTTTGAGTTTTTTCGCTTGGAGAGGGAAGCATTTTGCCACATTTTTGATACTTCCCGGATGCAAAATGGTACGTTTTTTGCCACTGTATCAGGTCTCCCACTGTATTTTTGGCGTAGCATTTAGCATTTATTCGGGAAATATGTATAATGATTGCAAATATTGAAAAAATAAAGATTTATGTGCAACCTTTGATGACGTTAAAAAATTACCTTTACAAGCTTGACGTAAAATCTATTTGGCCGTAAACCACTTTCCTTATCCAAAATTACCACCTTCCACCCCCAGATGCCGACCTCGAAACCCACTGAGGTCGACACGCTCATCTCAAACGCTAACAACAACAACCGCCATGACAATGTTCCGGTTCACGGGATCCGTCCCAGCACTTCCATTGAATCCCTCAGATCGCGCCATAGCCATATCAAGTTCGTCGACGATGAGCATGCCACACAGGAGGCTGAAATGACTGCCGATGGAGTGCTGAATTCATACGGTAACGCTTTCATTTTGGTTTTAATTCGGCTTTTAGGAACGTCAAATCCGCATCAGTTAATGGTTTTCTGCACCATGGCGTTGATTTGGACTATTATGGCGCTGCCGTTGCTGGTCAGCGCGTTTTTTATTGGAGATCTGTGCCTGGACGAGAGGAATTGCACATTGACTCCGGGCAGCTTAATCGAGGAGGTGAGGAGGCCTTTGTTTTAGCAAGGGCAATGCTCAGGGCGAAGGTGAAGCGCTGAGAATTTCTTCAAGTCGGATAAACACGCAATCTAAACCTTTGATATCTACAGTGGGGTGTGATCTAGTGGCAAAAAAACGTACCATTTTGCATCCGGAAAGTATTTAAAATGTGGCAAAATGCTTCCCTCTCCAAGCGAAAAAACTTCGTTTTGAAGAGTGCGCCATTTTTCCTCACAAAAAAAGCGGGCGCGCTTTTGAAATCTGACAAGGGAAGTCACTTAAGTCACGGATCGATTTTTAAAAACGACTGTTACAGCGATGGGGAGGGTACGACGGAGATATCAAATCTGAAAACCGCTACCTCCACCGGCCTCTGGGAGCCGAGATAATCGACCAAAAAGGTTTGACCAAAAAAAAGCTGCCCCAAATAGTCCTCTCTTCCGAAAGAAGGAGGGAAGAGAACCGAATGGTCCGGTGGTCTGGAAGCGCGCTTCCAGGCCATGACCTTTTCAGGTTCGAATCCGCATGGGTCAAGTAATTTATTAAACTTTTCCTGTGATCCATTAAATTTATTTTTAGATTTTTTGCATATTTTACGATAAAATTTCAGAGTAATAATTTAAATACGCGTTCCAAACGATTTGAATTTTCAAGGTTGAAAATTTACCGTGAAATAGGCAAAAAATCTAAAAATTAATTTTTAGCAAATTTACTGGATCACAGCAACTGTTTTATAAATTTTTCACAAGTTCGAAACCCGCGCGGATTCGAACCTGAAAAGGTGAAGGCCCGGAAGCGCGCTTCCAGACCACCGAACCATTCGGTTTGCTGGGTTCTCTTCTTTCGGAAGCAAGAAATGTTCGGAAGAATTTGGTCAAACCTTTTTGGTCGATTATCTCGGCTCCCAGAGGCCGGTGGAGGTAGCGGTTTTTAGATTTGATATCACTGTCCGACCCTCCCCATCGCTGTAACAGTCGTTTTACAAAATCGATCCGTGATTTAAGTGACTTCCCTTGTGAGTCTTTTCGAGAGGAGAGGGTATTTTGCCACATTTTTGATGCTTCCTGGATGCAAAATGGTGCGTTTTTTGCCACTGGATCAGGTCCCCCACTGTATTGCTATCCTTTTTCAATCTATACCTTATATAATCATTATTTCAGTTCCATTTAGTCGGAGCCAAGTCTCAATGGGCAGATTATTCAACGATGACTTTTGTGTTAGGAAATATGTTGGGTGCGAGTACAATATCCCGATTTTCTGATGTGTAAGTCATCAAAAGATATTTGCTGATATCACATTCATAACTTGTATCGTTTCTAACTCGCTCTGCTTGCAGAAAAGGACGTCGTCCAGCATTGCTCCTTAGTTTATTTGGTCTTGGATTATTTGGAATCGTCTCGGCCTACAGTCCGAATATCTTTGTGTTTATGGTGTTCCGCCTGATCCAGGGGATCTTTTTGCCCGTAAGCCCCTTCCCCCATTATCACCCACTTTCAAGGGCTGCGGAATGACGAATTGGGTTTTAGCCTACGAGTCCACCTCCATGAAGCTAAGATCCTATTCGGCGTTGGTGTTCGGCCTGTTCTGGGTGGTCGGTTACTTCGTCTTGGCCCCGATTTGTTACTTCTTTGTCTCGTGGCGACACCAAATCATTGCCTCATCGTTGCCGTCGCTAGTTTGCGCGATTGGCTATTATTTTTTCCTCCCGGAGAGTTTCCATTTTATGGTTTCGAAGGGCATGGTCGATCAGTTAAAAGTGTGGTACAGAGCGGCCAATCGATGGTCCAAGTGGCCAAGAGATGAGAATGAGGTCGAGCACTTGGTAAAGAAGCATGGAATTGAGTCGCAAACAAGTGTGGATAAAGACAAGAGCGAAGGATTTATCTGCACCTTGATCAAGCAGAAAGTGCTGCTTATGTACACCGCAGTTTTGGCGTATCTATGGTATGTTGACAAGGAGGACTAAGATTTAATTTAATTTTAGGACTTGTGACTCGTTTGTTTACTATGGACTCTCCTTGATTTCAACAACTTTGGCGGGGAATCGGTATGTGAATTTTGTGCTCGCCGGATTAGTGGAGATTCCATCTTATATTGTCTCTCCATATTTGCTGGAAGTAATGGGAAGACGAGGATTTGTTTCGTTCATCCATCTTCTCACGTCCTTTGCTTTTATTGGAACAATCTTTATAACAAATGAGACTGTTAGCATGGTAAGTCGAGGCTACTTTATAAGCGCATCTTTGTAATCTTGTAAGCGTATCTTGATAATTTCTTGGTCGCCTTAGGGGTATTGCTATCAGGCATACGACTAATTCCTCTTCAGGGTTTCTGGTTGATTGGCAAGTTCGGAATAGCCTGCGCTTACACTTGTTTGTACGTCTATGGCTCTGAAGTTTTCCCTACGGTTCTGCGAAGCGGTTGTATTGGAATCTGCTTGTTTTTGGAGAGAATTGGCGGAATCACAGCGCCAATGGTCAGGTCAATGGTAAGTTCCGAATTTAGGAGACTGAAAGCTATTCCATAGTGAGGGACCTGATCCAGTTGGAAAAAACGTATCATTTTGTATCCGGGAAGTATCAAAAATGTGGCAAAATGCTTCTCTCGTGCTCCACTGCGCGCCCTTTCTCTCATAAAAAGAGTAGGCGCGCTTTTGAAATCGGAGTTTTCAAGCCTGGAGAGGGAGGTATTTTGCTGCATTTTTGATACTTCCGGATCCAAAATGGTACTTTGTTTGCCAATGCATCATGTCCGCCACTGTAGCTTGCTACATATACAGAACAAAAAGGAAATTTTCAGAGTGTCATTTCTCCCAATCTCCCCAACGTCTTCTTCGCAGTAACCGCCGGACTTGCTGCATTATTAACCCTACTACTGCCAGAAACCCGTGGCCTGGAACTGCCGGATCTGACCTGTGAAATCGCAGAACCTCCAGAGCGGAAGCTTTCAAGGGCGCCATCGAGAAAACACACGAATACCAATTCTTCAGTAATTTAGACCAACTACTAAAATTTAGCCCGGTTTTATTGCGTATGAAAAAAGTCATGAGCTAATAAATGCTATTTCCCCGTATATAATATTAATCAAAAGGAATTTCAAGGTCTTTTCATCTCTCCGTCTTTATCTAAATATCCGAATTCGGGTCGTATTCAAATCAGCAATATAAATAAAAGCGCCGATGTTACGAACTCTTTAGTTTGCGGTTCATTCGCAAAATGAACCCAAAAAGTTCGATGGCCTTTAGGCAGCTGGCTTTAGCTTCAATTGTCTGTTCATTGCTTACATTGACTTTTCTATTCATCTCCGTTATTGTGATCAACAGAAAGGCTAATGAAAACCGGGATTATATCATGGAGAGGTCCAGTAAATTGAAGGTAAATCTAACAAGTGGTAAAGATGATGGGTAACTAAAATACTTTAGGCCATGTCCGACAATATCTGGGCCGATGTTATGTCTCAACGTCAATTGGTCAAACCAAAAAGAAGCGTGGACCGTTACGCGTCAAATCCCTTCGTTTTAAGCAATGTTATCAACCAATGTGGCAGTAAGCAATTATAATTTACAGTGTATACGGTAATTAAAACAAAAAGAAGCATATTGCATCATCTATTTTCAGAATGCGCGCGTCTGAACTGCCCTGCAGGCCCAATTGGCTTGGCCGGCGAGTCGGGAGAGGATGGTACCCCAGGAACTCCGGGAAAACCGGGAGCCCCTGGACCTGATGGTTTAAGCACCCCAATGGACCCCCTTCCAGATCCACCATGCATAATCTGCCCAGCTGGACCCCCTGGCCCTCGAGGACAACAAGGAGAAAGAGGAAGACTTGGGGCAGCCGGTCAGAAAGGGCCAAGAGGGCCACCTGGAAACCCTGGTCACGATGGGATTAGAGGGCAATTCGGAGCTATCGGAGCGCAGGGCGTTCCAGGAGAACCCGGAAAAAAGGGACCTTGCGGCGATCAAGTTATTGGTAGGTCTCTGAACTCTCTTCGATCGTATCTCGTAAAAGTTTTTATTCACGAGAAATTGAATTTTTAAGCCGGCGTTGGAATACCAGGTCCAAAGGGTCCTCCAGGCAAAAGAGGGGCCGCAGGACCCCCAGGCATGCCCGGAAGGCCTTCGAACATTCCCGGCCCGATTGGCCCCACTGGAAAGCAGGGACCAAAAGGCCCCCAGGGAAAATGTGGAGTACCAGGAAGCCCTGGGGTCTACGGCCCTCCAGGTGAGGCCGGAAATCCGTATGGCTATTGCTGGTCGATCTGCGGACCAAATACCATCATCAAATCGGCCAATCCCATCTTTCCTTGGAGCGATTCGGAAAAGGAGGATTACCATTATGATGACACCCAGATTGGAGGATACGGATATGGAAAATGAATATTTATGAATTTAAATAAAAACCATGAAGAAAATGACAATTTTTTTTTGAAAATGTTGCGCTTTAACACAAAAGAAATAACAGAAAAATTTCGAAGATTGTGCTTTAAAGTTGGAGCGTTGCGCAACCCAAAATCAAGCAAAGAACACAGAAAAAAATCAAAAAATGACAGAAATTTGGAAAAAACAAGGCAAACACAAGTCAGTTTTCCTCATACTTCAATTCCTGCTCCCTTATCATTGTTTAGAATTCTTCTAATTTGCAAAGATGGCTCATTTCGTTGCCCCAGAATCCTTTCTTAAGGACATGGTCGCGTTCCTAGAACAGAGGTTGGATGCCCTTCCTGCCCGGCCCTTCAATTATGAAGATCATATCAAAAATGTCCAATCAGTAGTGGAACTGATGGAGGTTTTGGAAGAAATTGTCCCAGAGGCGATGGACTTGAATGGAAATGGCGAAGCTTTCCGCGCTTATAGGCAAATGTATGATTCGTATTCTGGGTAAGTATTTTTGTTGATTTATGCAGCTTTTCAAATTGAAAATTTTTGTATTTCACGATATAAGCTATACTTCTTTTAATTCGATTATTTTCAGATTGTCCATCCAGTTATTAAAATCGACTCAGGGACAAGTCAAAATAGAGAATGACGTATGTCATATCTGCCTGGAAGAGCAAGCTATCGAACCCATGTACTGCTTGCAGTGCCTCAAGGTTGTTGGTTGCACATCGTGCATAAACGAATTCGTGTCCCACAACGAAACCGTCGTAAAATGCCCAAACTGCCAAAGAAAATCTCAAGCTGCCACTCCACTGTTTGGTCGCCTAAAACAGTAGTTACATTATTGTTTTTGTGTCAGTTGTTTTTTTATATTATTCGGTATAAATAAATAATATTCTTAATGTATTGAAGCTTTTCATCGTTTAAAAATGTACTGAATTTTAAAGTTAATACCAAACGTGTTTTCGTCTGATGTGAGAAAGGTCACCTTTGTCGGCCACCCTCCTCATTCACGTACTCTTTCGCAAAACGATTGCTAGACAACACCTTCGCAGTGCCATAAAACATTAGATTCAGATAGATAACCACAATTCGAATTTACCGCGAAATGGTCGAAAGTTTATTTTCTTGTTTGTAGAGAAAATCGAGTCTTAGCAATTTATGACAACGTGAAGGTGTTGTTTAGAAAAAACGTATCGTATGCCAGCGTTGTCGTCACGGCTGAGATATGTCAAAATGAACAAAGATATAAAACGTTTTGACCATTTTCTTGCAACAGTTTGAAGTTGGTTATTTTACTCTCTGATCCCTCGTTATTTCAACATACTTATAGACTAATAGAGGGCCCATTGAAGCTTCATCTAGGGTGTATTGCAAAGCATTGCGGCATAGTCGAGATTCTCTATTGGTAAAAACTAGGAAGTGCCCAGATTTTGGCAGGGTACGAAGCAACTCAAGTCACCTCCCAGCCGCTACTGGTCTCGGATTCATTGCTAAACAACACCTTCGCATTGCCATAAAAACATTAGATTTAGATAGATAATCACTATTCGAATTTATCGCGAAATGGTCGATAGTTTATTTCTCGTTTGCAACCAAAATCTATTAGGTTGGGACGAAAGTTTTCCCCTTTTTCTTGTTTTTTTCCAAACAGGTTTATTTTGACAGTTGTAACGGGAAACCAAACATAACATCCACCGTCGGTATCCACTACGTATTGCCAACGTTCCGACAAGGATTCAATTGGCGAGCTTAAAAACTGGGGTATTTATAATAAAAAATGTCAGAAAGACCTGTTTTGAGGTCCCCCAAACAATCGAACCGCACATCTTCCAAACGGTAGCTTAGCGATCTGATCAAATAGTAATCAGAAGGTGCCAAGGCTGGGGTGTAGTGTGGGCAGGGCAGCAAAGTCCATGCATTCTCCCTGAATTTTTTGCGCGCGATTTTTGTCGTGAAGGAGGAACATTTGTTCCACTTTTATCTAGCATTTTCGGCGACGCGGTCCAACTGGCAATAATAATGTTATTTAGTGACAGTTTTACCATCAGGGAGCCATTCCTAATAAATACCTCCCATACAAGTCCACCAATCGCAGAACATGACCTTTTTTGGGTGAATTTTGGTTTTGGGGTTGGTTCACCGTAATGGTCGGGTTCAAGCTACTGAAGCTTGCGGGTATGGTTTATATACATCACCCATTTCTGGTTCCCTGTAATGATATTGGTCAGCCAAGTCAGCGTGCGGCGGTACGACAAAAATTAGGAGCAACAGTATAAGCCGTGACTTCGAAAGTTCGTGCGGAACAAATTAACCACACTTCCACACTTTTCCCAACCGATCTAGATGGTCCATAATGGTAGTATGGGAGAACCCAAAGAGCTCTCCAAGTTCACGTAATGGCAATTTGGGATAGCTCACGATTAAGCCTTTTAGGGCGTCATCATCTATCTCAGATGGCCGCCAGAACTTGGTCGTCTAACTCCTTTTTTTGAACCTCTGGAACCAATACTTGGCCACACCATAAAAGAGGACGTCCTTGCCTATAACATCCTAGATTTCGGTTATATCTTCCATGGGTTTTGGTATTCTGCGATAGTTTTAAAATTTGACGCATCGAAACAGCAACTTTGGGACGGAATTTTTTCCACGTTTGGAGAGCGCTATGGGGACAAGTTACATATCAGTCTATATGCTATCAAGTCACCCTTACATAGTCACATGATAGAACTTTCCAGGAAGTTCCACAACTTCCATAACTTTCCCCGAAAATTAAGGGGAAAACTTTCGTCCCAACCTAATAATTTTTCGAAGTAAAAAATCAATATCGAATTCGGTTATAAAATTTATTAACTTCTCTTGATTTTAAAAGTCGCTCATTTGGAAAATTTTTCATAAATTGCGCAACCCGCGAAAAAAGTAAGCAGAAAAATTCAAACGTTAAAGAATAAATTTCTGCGCTATTTCCTATATAAACTCACTGACGACTTTAGCATTCATAAGTGTCTTTGGCTAGAAAGAACGGTTGGGTTCTCTTCTCTTACCAGTTTGAAACCCGGACTATCTTTCAGTTATCGTATTTTATCGTAACCTTTTATGAGCTCTTTTCTCTGTCGAGGAAAACTTTGCAAGGTATAAAAATAGCTTTATTTCATATCTTTGTAACCGTTGTTTTCACTACCTACAAATTTCAATGTACAGTCAATGTTTCAGTAATAATCTTTTACCCTCTTTTCAGAATGACCAATTCGTACACGCATTCGCCCGGATTCTGCCCACTTTTGGTCCAAGAATTTGTGGACACCCTCGAATTTTATAAGAAAAATATAGCTCCAGAGCTTTGCCTTCCATTCAACGCGGAAATTCACAAAACCGATTTAAAATATCTAAAGAACTTGGTGGATTGTATTGAAGCAATCATGAACTGCAAAGAGAAGTGTTTAATTGAAACCTTCAACATTCCAAAGGACTTAATGAAGGCACATGAGCTGTACGAGAAACGATATAAAACGTAAGATTACTGGAACTTTCATATAAGATTGTTCTTATATGGTAAATTTTGTGGTTTTGTGAATAAAGCAATATAAGTCTGTCGGGAAAATAATAAGCACAATGTCGCTGCGCCAATCGCGTCGCTGAGGTAAAAAACAATTCGACTTTGCCGTGAAACAATTCATTTCTCGGCGGAGATGCGATTTTCGATTCGACAGAGTGCTGATTATTTTCCCGACAGAGTGAAATTTAAAATGATGAGCAAAAATTTCACTAAAAAAACCTCTTGTCTTAATAAAAATTTTTTCCTAATTTCCCTTATTTTTCCCCTTTTTTTGCTAATTTCCCTTAACACCTAAACCTTTACTTTCAGCGTTCACAAGTCGCTCATCTTCACCACACAGCAGACTGTTCAATTTGAGAATGATAAGTGCGCAATATGTCATGAGGAACAATCAAAGAAGCCCATGTACTGCTTGCAATGTCTGAAAGTGGTTGGCTGTTACGACTGTATCGTGGATTGGGTTGGAAACGAAGAGAGCCAATTTTTAAAATGTTTGCGGTGCCAAAGAAGATGTCTGTCCTCTTGTCCGACATTCTACTTCGCGAAAATGTAGTTTGCTTGTACATGTTTAATTAGTAATAAATTATTTGGTAAATTCCAATTGGAGACTGACCTCGCAATTTTAAGTGAGGTTCAACTATAAATTTAATTCCAAAAAAACTTGTACTATGAATACTTTACTGCAACAGAAGTATTCTACTGTAAATATGATGTCCAACAATTTAGTGATCCAAAATTGCAACATATGTATTAAACATTTTCATTGCGTTCTACTTGAACCTTGCCAGCCCTCTCGTTTTACGAGTTGTAACAATGTCAAGTAAAAACCCCGCGCATTACACTTTTTAGGTGCTTTTTCAGCCCACTTTAGGTGCTTTTTCAGCCCACCACATCAGCAAGCCTTCGGAAAAAACAGCTTACAAAATAAATTGTCAATGATACCTAGCTGCGTCAGCACCTTCTACGACTTTTGAGGATTATAGCAACACCAACCCGAGACCCGTAGCCGCTGGAAAGGGGAGGTGACTTGAGTTGCTTCGTACCCTGCCAAAATCGAGGCACTTCCGAGTTTTTAGCGATAGAAAATCTCGGCTATGCCGTAAGGCTTAGCAATACGCCCTAGATAAAGCTTCAATGGGCCTTCTATTAGTCTAGAAGTATATTGAAATAAGGAGGGATCTCATCTAGAAAATAATCGACTTCAAACGTTTGCAAGAAAATGGTCAAAAGTCTTTGTATCTTTGCTCGTTTTGACATATCTCAGCCATGACGACAATGCTGGCATACGATAAGTTTTTTTCCAATATGGTGCGTAAAAAAAGCTACATATTGGAAATTGGTGCTTTTCCGCACAAGACACATCCATAAAACAAAGTGTCGAAAAAGGTTATTACATTTTTCTGGAATTAATTTTATAATTTTTGAACCGTCGGCCATGCTCAATACGTGGCTGTTGACGGCTAAAAAAGCGGTAACAAGATTGGAATGGCCCAAAAGGGTCTCCGCGGCCAATAAAACCATGTTTAACGACTGTTCTTTGCCGTCAGCAGTTACGGAAACCCCGTATTGGAAATCTGTTTTGGACACTGAAAGTTTTCATCTAAAAATTAATGAATAAACATTACTAAAAAGCGCCGTATACCGAACTGTTTCAAGGTATGTAAAAATGTTACAGGATGTGTTTGGGTTGATATTCGGCTAATTTCTTATTCTCTGTTCCCACCAAATTCGATGATGATATGACCACACTGAATCTACGTATTTTGCCCTGTTGCGTGTTACCATATCATACCGTCACTCTAATTAAGAATATTTCCAACTTTTTCAGCACAAATACCCTATTATTTTGGAGGTGTTGACTCTCATTCTGTCTGCATGAGCAGGCCCACCCAGTTCTAACAATAGTCGTACGCAATTTAGGGGTGGTAAAAGGTTTGTCTTTTCATTGTAACCGGTGCTTCTTATAACGAAAAAATACAAGTAACAAGCCTGTTCACGCGGGAGCCTTATTTGTTTTTGAAACTTCATTGACCGTTTAAAAAAATCTTTTTTAAAGTTTGTGATAATCTTCATAACCCAGTTTATTTTTATTTTTACAGGTTCCGGAAACCTCTTCCCGTGCCGACGCCAACAGCAATTTAAACCGTAATGAGTAAGTACAATTTTTATTTGCATCCGCCTCTGTCAATCTAAACGCGAACCGCTTGCACAACAATTATCTTTAAAATTTGCGAATTTTCTTCGCATATTGCGCATCTACTGTTTTTTTGGACCTTGTAGGAACCACGGGTTCATTCTCGTGGGCCCAGCTTGACAAGCTCGGCGAGATCTCTATTCAGGCTCCGTTGAGTTCAGCAAACAGCAAAGAAGCGGCTGGCTCTGGTCCAGAGCCGGAAAGAAGTAAGTAAAAGATGCCTGGTAGACAATCGAGTTCGTTTGAAAATTTAGTCTAAAAATTGAGGCGGATTCCCAGATTTTCAACCATTCACAGTGCTTTTTATCTGACCCTATCTGGTCGTAGGTAGACTTGGCTCTCGGGCCGGCCCGGGCCGAAAATCGCGGCCCGGCCCGCGGGCCGGAAGAGGTCGGCCCGGCCCGTTTCAATTTTTCTTCGGCCCGGCCCGGCCCAGCCCGCGGCCCGGCCCGAAAATTGGGAACAAGTAAAAAACCTTAATTCGCTATCAGATGTGTCATATTTTTCTTTACTATAACAACTAACAGTACATTTTTAAAGCAGAAAATTACTTGCCAACGCATTGCCTTTTTAAAATTAATCAAAAAATTCCCGAGATCCGTTTTCAGACTATTAAAAATTGCCCCAAGATCAATTTTATAGATTAAGTAAAGGTGCAACCACGTTTATCAAGGTTTTAAACTTCAAGATGATAGTGTTGCTTCACACGACTTCTTAATTGTGTTTTTAAGGGTGTCGGTTACGTTTATTTTGAGTTTTTGTTCAAAAAATTACTACAAACACTAATATACATTAGTACTTAATAGATTTTACTAGTAAAATTACTTATTATTAGCCATTTTTGAATACTTCCGTGCTTTATTTTTATAAAATTATGCTTACTGTATGAAAAATATAGACCCCATTCTTGGCTTTGCGTTTTAATTGTATTGGCAACCGGGCCGGCCCAGCCCGGCAGCCAAGTCTAGTCGTAGGGAGATCATTTTATATGGTCAGACAAGAAGGTTCGTCTGGACTAAAATATACGGGTCACTGTCCCTACAAAAAAAACCAAAATTTGTATTTTGAACCGATCGAAAAAGTAGACAAAGACTGTAAATTCCCAATTCATTTCATAATTGTAAAACATATGCCCTAACGCCACGATTATCATGATTACCGAATTTTGGGTTGTTTTTGCGTACACCTTGCACAATATATTAGTACTTTCGAAAAGAGTCCAAAATCGAATATAAATGCCCTAGGTCTGTGTTGAAATGCCAAAGCATTGTCGTCTTCGCAACTACTATTTCAACTCCATTTTTGTAAAGGCAACTCAAATGTTCATTTTTTTCAATCCAACGTCAATTTTACGTCATTCTGGTCAAATTGAAAGTTCTACTGTACAAACCTTTCATGTACAAATTAGAACATAGACAAGTGATGAATAACGTTGATATTAGTGTCAACTAGTTTTATTTATTACGTAATCGGCGGTTTTGGCAAGAAAAAAAGGATTCTGTTGCCAAAGAAAATAAGATTTCTGGCAAAACTCCACAAAAATTTTCCAAAAAAGTTTGTTTTGACAACCAAATTTGACATGACAAAAACTATGCCAATCTGTCAGTGTCACAAGTTGACAGATTGCCTACCTAAACCTACTTAAACATCAACCTGAAAAAAACCGGACTAGACATGGCTCCCGGCTGGACGGGGCCGGCCTGACCGCCCCCGCCATGGAGTAATAATTACAATCTTGAGTATCGAAGCGAAAATTGGTTAGCCAATGGAAACAAATTTCGATGCCAAGACACGATTGCTTTTTTTTGGTATTGTATTTTTGGTTTTATACAGCTTCGGAATGCAGTATTATCTATTTACATGATAATAGAAAAAATGGTCAAAATATATATTTCAAGCTTCCTTGATGCCATTTCCCAATCTCCAATTTGATTTCATCTTCCAACGTGTGTGCTCCCTACACGTTCGTAGATGGAATCGAACTCTTGCCCTTCCTTTTTTGCTTTCCCAAACACGTGTCCTGCCCCAAATCTACATGCACTACAGTTGAATGGCCAATTAGTGGCCCGAAATTTGGTTTTCGAATCTCCGCCCTCATATGTGACTTTGCCGTCCCGCATTACGTACGCCATAAAATCGGTGCTGAACTATGTTTTTTATTGTGTCTAAAGAAAGCAGCGTTTTAACAGTTGTTGCTATTTGCTTCTGTCTATGGTATTCGACAATTTCTGACAAATCGTTTAGCTATGATAAAATGAATAACAAAAACAGGTGATTTTATTTTGAGACTATTGTTAGTAGGCTGGTAGACACAAAATAAACCTATTTGTGATGATTACATTATAGTTCGTAATAATACAGGGCTTAGTCTCAATTATTATATATTTATTTGCTTTTTGATTTTCGTATTTGGCTCATTAGCTCTTTGGGATTTCTGATATAGCTTAAATAGACAGTTTACGGTTCTTTTATTACAGCAATTCGTTGTAGAGTGACTCTAAATTTATCTTGCAGCACAGCGTTCATACTTTGTTGCTGATAATCTTTATGGGACGTTTCGCTTTGCATATTGAGAGACCAGGCGCATTGCCACGGGTGGGGTTGACTGGGCACCTCCTTCTCCAGAGCGGTGTGGAACAGAACAATACGGTAAGGGGTGACCGGTAGTTCCAATCGTTTTTTAACGCAGGAACGAACCTGCAGTCCGTGATTAAGCAGGGAGCTATTGAACGTAAATATTATTAGAAGCAACAAGCAACGGCTAACGTACAGTGGGGAACTTGATCCAGTGTCAAAAAACGTACCCTTTTTGCATCCGGGAAGTATCATAAAACCTAGCAAAATGCCTCCAACAAAAAAAAAGATTAGTTTGAAGAGACATTTTGGTACATTTTTTGATAATTCCCGGAATGCAAAATGGTACGTTTTTTGCCACTGTATAAAGCTCCCCACTGTACGTTAGCCGTTGCTTGTTATTTCTAGTAATATTTACGTTCAATAGCTCTCTGCTTAATCACCACTAATCGCGTTGCCAACCGACCACTGTAGGGAATTGCCATTTCATTTCGCTATATGACTTCTTAATCGATTGCTATAAAAACAAGTGCGGGGTGCAATTTTGGCATATTATGACAACGAGACTTACCCCGCGAAAGGCTATGAAAACGTTGATGTTTCGTTTGTAGGCCCTGCAGTAGTTTCCTTATTTAGAATTCACTTCCTAGAATGGAAATAAAAAGGAAGTAACGTGTAGAATTAAAATTAGAACCTATTACTTTGAACATTCTTAGTTAAATATACTTGTGTTTTCGAAAATCAGAGATTCTCTAACTTAATTCTTGGTGACGCCGAAACATTCAACGATTTTCTGTCCGGTAGTGAAACGATCTATGTAAAATAAGACGCGGAAATCAGAGAAAAGTTTGTATAACCATTTTTCGTATCTAATTTTTATAGCTACGAACTCCTCACCTCAAAAAATTGTATTTCTCATATTTCAAGTATGTCCACAGCGAAACTGAACATTAATGAGCCAGTTGCAAAAAGGAGGAAACCGGTAGTTTATTTTACCATCTCATTTTCCAAAGAATCCAATAACAGCTACAGTGGGGGACCTGATCCAGTGACAAGAAACGCACCATTTTGCATCCGGGAAGTTTCAAAAAAGTGGCAAAATGCATCCCTCTCCAAGTAAAAAACTCCATTTTGAAAGGCGCGCCCTTTTTCCTCACAAAAAGTGCGGGTGCGTTTTTGAAATCGGAGTTGTTTTACTTGGAGAGGGAGGTATTTTGCCACATTTTTTGATGCTTGCTGGATGCAAAATTGTACATTTTTTTGCCACTGGATCAGGTCCCTCTCACTTTACGCCCTGATCATATCCTTAATTTACTCAGCGAGCGTCTATAGGGTTCATGGGTTCTTCCCGCTTTCCCTGTTTCTTTCCCCAAATGGCCTTGCTCCCCAATTGGACTAGGTCCAACCCTCAAAGATCAACTTATAATATTAGCCTTACATATTTGTCTCTTACACAAGAACTAAACATCTCGAAGTGGCTAACCTTGTTAGTACGGACAAACAAACTATTATAAAATTCCTACCCCTTACTTCTAACCCCAAGATTGTTTCAGATCCATGCGAGAATACAACTGCCTGGACTGCATGATGGTGCATCCATACGAGGACTGGCTGCCGATTTATCAGCAGTTCGCCCGCGCTCACAGGATTTTCTTCTTCTTTTCGTTTTTTGCAAATTTTTACTTTTTATACCGACTGTTTTTTGCGTCAATGATCCACAAGAACATTCGATTAGTACTGGTAAGTATTTTAATTTTTCTGCGGTATAAAAAACACTGAAGAAAAATAATTTTTTTGTAGTAATATTTTCAACTACATTATTTTGCGGCTTTAATCTTCAAAAAACAAAAATAAATTGGGGTGTGCCATTAAAAAATTTCGACGTTTCTGCGCGATACAATTTTGAAGAATCAAAGGTTTGTTTGCATGATGTAATAAAAACCAAAAGATTTACTTTGGGAAAGTACAAGAACTCAATTTTTTGTACCTTTCACTAATAATTACAAAAAGTTACTATTATATTACCGTATCGGAATAAAATAAAAAACTGTCGCATTTTGCTAACTTTTTCCTAAAATATTATGTTATATTAAAAATTTTTAATGGCCCAGCATTACACTCCTATCTTTCAGTGCAGCGCCGCCTTATCGTTTGAAATCCTCGGCGCAACCCGCGTTTCCGTCCAACTTTTGCTGGAGAACACGGCCGACGTGGAAGATCGCTATGTCGTAAACTTGATTTGTTTGGTCCTAAGCAATATTCATATGATCGCAGTTTTTGGTTCTGTTCTATGCATGAACATGCTGGCTGTGGAACAGCATTTGGCTACAGTTTGGGTGAAGGACTATGAGCAGCGAAGCTGTACAGTCGGGATTATTTTGATCACGCTGGTGGTAAGCAAATGCCACTTTTTTTTGGAATAATAGAGTTCCGAACCCTACATCATTTTTTTGAATTTTAAATTTTGCCACCTGAGACGATGAAATTTGAAAAAAAGCGATTTATATGGGTTCCTCTAAATTGGGGTCTCACCAATCGTTGAAAATTTTAGTCCTCGCTTCGCACGCTTTTCTGGGACGTCGAATAATTTGTCCTGTTGACATATGGGAAGTTAAATTAACGTTCAATTTATGAGCTTTGATGTTGCGTTTATCCAATTTCTACAGGGTGCGCCAAAAAAAATGGACAAAAATAAAAAGGGTTGTGTCCCGCCACGAAAAGCGTAACCAGTAGGGAAAATGGGACCATTATGACCACAAACCAGTCACTTGCAGACCCCTTAAATCCCTTTTTTACTTTTCCCACACATTTTTGCAATATGGGCAAAAAGGCAAAGAGGGACCAAATTGTGTCTTTATTTTCTAAAGAATTTTCCCGGAAGAAAATTGTTTGAGGTTGTGGTTCTCTCCGTACAACTGTCACCTGGGCTTAGGATATGTTTGAGGATGTGGGTAGCATCTAGAGGTTTACAGGAAGTGGTAGACCCAGAACAGAAACGACTCCGGCTCTGAGGAAAAGCATCAGAAGTCGGACTGACCCTGATCTTTGCAGATCTTTGGAAGGAACGGCTTCTGAACTGAATATCTCGGCGTCATCGGTTAGAAGAATTGTAAAATGCGGCATGAGATGTTCCTAATATTCTATTCTATGCGGGCCATGCGTTTATTCAACATAAAAATATAAGGCACGGCTCCAGTGTGTCTGAAAGTTAAGAAAAGAAGCCGCTGACACGGTACTTTTCGCGGGCACCCACCGGTTACCTTTTGAGCCCTCGGATCTCCGCCGAAAGAGCAGGTTTCAGCTTGAATCTTTTTGACACTATAGAAGGGACCTAAATGTATACTATAAGTGCCTTTTGGGCCAGCTAGGATCAACAGCGACTTTTCAGTACACTTTTTAAGAAAAATCTCCAGTTTTCGTCCAAAATTTTAGAATTTTGTCACTAACTCGAAGCATGACGACGCTGAAAATTTAAAAAACAGTTTTTTCAGTACCTACTCGGTCGGCAAACAACTCAAAGCTTGGCAGTTGTCCAAAGCCTTATCAGTTTCTCACTACAAAACTTTTCCTGGTTTTCAAAATTTTGGGTTTTATTTTAGTGCCCCTGCGGCTCAAGTTAGAATGTCTGCGGTATTGAAATGGAAAGTTACTATTACTATTCCTTTACATATGTGATAGTACTGGTCTTAACGTATTCGAAAACTTTTATTTGAAGTTTCGGTGACGCCTTAAAAAATATTTATGCCTCACTTTCCAAAGGACCCATTTTCGAGAATTGCGATCGGGACATGGTCAACTTTAACCCCCGAGAAAAAAAGGTGCAGTAAATTTATACCTTCATTCTTATCATGAATATATTTCTTGAACGTCGCTATTTAGTGGGCTAAAACGTTTCCTCAAATATTTTACCCCAGAGCCAGATATCGCCAAAATGTTTTTGTCCATTTTTTTTGGCGCACCCTGTACACTAAATTTCTGGAGTTGTGTTTCCAAACAGAGTCAAAGTATTTAACGATCTTTGTCGATGAGAGAGGTGTAAAAATAGGTGTAATGGAACATCAAAGCTCATGAATTGAACGTTAATTTAACTTCCATATGTCAACAGGACAAATTATTCGACATCTCGGAAAATCGAGCAAAAGCGAGGGCTAAAGTTTTCAACGATTTTTGAGACGTCAAGTTAGAGGAAACCCTTAAAAATTGCTTTTTTAAAAATTTCATCGTCTAAGGTGGCAAAATTAAAATGCAAAAAAATGCTGTAGGGTTTGGATGGGCTAAAATTTTCGACGATTTTTGAGACCCCAATTTAGAGAACTCGGACAGAATTTGAAGAAAACTTGAGCTCATTCCTTTTGCTTTCAAATCCCTGAACCCCAAAAATTTCAGTTTGTTCAAAGTGTGCCTCTGGCGATAGTGCTCAACTGGTATTACATGAAAGATGAATTTCATCTCCATACCTCATACAAATCTTGCATCGCTGTGGAACTACATTGGGAACTGGCGCTGATGGGATTCAGTGCCTGTAGTGTTACTTGCACTGTCGCAGCTGTGGTAAGTCAGAGATCTTTCTTATTTATTTTTGGACCGACCAAAAGCAATTTTATTAGCTCTCGGAGGTCGTTGGAGGGAAATTGGTTGGGCGTTTTGTTGTTTGTAGTCTAACAAAGAACCGAGAATCGGTGTTTCTTAGTTTTTAGTCTAATTTTGTCAAAATCTGGCCATAAAAAACGGCACTATTCACAAAATAAACGATATTGGCCCCGTTGAACAAAAAAATCAAAAAATTCCGTTTTCAGTGGATGGAATGGCTGAAAAAGAAGAATCGTCGACTCACACGTAATCGTTTGATGCTTCAGAGTCTTAGCGCCAGATTTCAACAGACCGAAAATTCAGCTATGAACGATGCGATTGCCCCGTCCATGGTTGGGTACATGGTGATGACGTTTTGCGGGTTTATCCTCAGTTTCACACGAAAATACTTCGTGGACAACTACGGGGAGGACTTCATTTTGAACAAGTTTGCGACTGATGTAAGTTTTCTAATGCGATTTTTTGACATTGAACCCCAAAAATTGGACCCTTCAAAACTCGGCACAAATTTACAGTGGGGTCCTGATCCAGAGGCAAAAAACGTACCATTTTGCATCCGGGAAGTATCAAAACTATCGCAAGATGCTTCCCTCTCCAAGTGAAAAAGCTCTGATTTCAAAAACCCCGCTCTTTTTGTGAGGAAAAGGGCGCGCCCTTCAAAACGAAGTTTTTTCACTTGGAGAGGGAAGCATTTTGCCACATTTTTGACGCTTCCCAAATGGTACGTTTTTTGCGACTGGATCAGGTCCGCAACTGTAATACATTTTGCAAGTTTTTTAATTTTTGACACTGCAGAAATGCATATCAAAAATGTGGCAAAATGCTTCCCTCGCCAACTAAAAAACTTCTTTTTGAAGAGCGCCCTTTCCCTCACAAAAAGAGATGGCGCTTTTGAAATCGGAGTTTTTCACTTGGAAAGGAGGTATTTTGCCACATTTTTGATACTTCCCGCATGCAAAATGGTGCGCTTTTTGCCACTGGATCATGTACTCCCCCACTGTGGAGTACATTTTTCTACGACATATGAAAAAGTTTCAACTTGCATTTTAGTTGAAACTTTTTGCAAGTTTCTTATGGTCAAAAATTAGAAACATGGAGCTGAAACCTTCACAGATGTCATAGAAAATCCTACTCTAAACTTGAGTCAACTTTTGAACGGTCAAATTTTGGAGTAAACTATAAAAATAACAATAATTTCTACTATCACCTTCAGCTAGGATACATGCTGTTTGACATCTACTCAGTGTTCCACATGTTTTGTTTTCTCTACTGCAATAAACACCTTCGGAATCAGTGTCGCCGAGACTTCTTCCGACTGATAGGAAGGAGCGCCCAGGAATCCGAGCGAGCCGTTGATTTCACGGTGGACAAGAATGCTGAGCTCGCGGGAGAGCAATATTTCAATCAACTCAAGAATAGTTGGCAATAAAGACTTTTGAGTTCGGGATAGACTTTTTGATAGAATAGCTAGTATAAAATCGACTTGGATATCAAAAACAAAAAAAAATCAACACAAACTCAGCAGTTTAACTTCAAAACGTTAATATCAACATAACATATATATAAAGTTCAAAACTTCTGGATTTCAAATATAAACGGTTAAATTTTTGCCAAATAGTTTATTCAAACATTTTTTAACGATATCCCTATTGATATTCTACAGTCTTTGGGTTCTCTCTCCCGGGTTGATACGCCAGATGCATAACATTCACATCGCCATGTTTGGCCATAAAGTCCTTTTTCATTCGATAATTCTGATATTTCACGAGAGCTGAGACCTTCTTCGGGAATTCGGGGATCAACCAGGCCAATATTCTCTTAACAGCGAGGACAAAGTGCTAAAAATTATATTTTTTTAGATCAGTTTAGTCTCTTTTTTGCCTACAAAAAAACTCATCCGCTAACGGAAAAATTTTTATATCTCATCTACAATAAAACCACCTCCTCACCTCAAAAACAAGTACAAAGGCCAGCCTCAAGACCATCAGGACGTACCATCGGTGGTCAATTTTCTTCCAATCGTTTCTGAAGTAGCATTCCGTGACATTATCCGGGGTTCTCCCCCTAAATTCGGTTAGATTCGTATCCAGCGCATCTAAAGTCACATTCCAGTAAGTTTCAAGCGAAAAATTGTTCTCCAGCAAATGATACATTCTTGGGATGAGATCTGAGGAAAATGCAATCACCAGGCCCTAAAATATGGACCTTTAACCATCTTTTCTTCATGAATTTATCTAAAAACCAACAAAAAATCGATAAAGCACTTACGTTAATCAAGACCGAAAATCGGCTAATAAAATCAAGAATTGTCCTCCAGATTCCAATGCCATTCGAGACTAAAGCCACTGGTCGTTGAAAAACTTCGAGGAGTTTGTAGGAGTCGGCGCGTATTTCGCAGATATTATTGATCAAAGCAAACACCGGGGTCAATGGAAAGGTCGCCGTGAACATGGCACAGAATCCAAATTGAACCGCTGAAAATTACAGGATTACAATGAGAGGCCCTTGGAATGTCGCTAACTTGTTCAACATTCGACCACAAGTTCTACTCCAGGTTCTTACGTTACCTTATTGCATACTACAACATCGTCGGGGAATCCTAAAAACCAAAAAAAACCGAATCAAAAGCTTACCCATTTCCAAATATTCGTTGAACAGATGCTGTTCATCGTACGGGTTCAACAAAAAGTTCTCCACCACAATTGAATTTTCATCTTTCGGCAATAATGTGTCATCCTTCTCTTGAAAACTTCGGGTTCTATACAGACGAAAGCAGGTTCTAAAACAAATTAAGTCTTAATAAGAAATTGGGGCCACCTGCAGGCTATTTCGAATGTGACGAATGCGTTTTTTGAGAATTCTTTATATTACACTACAACTCACGGTATTAAAATCTCCATAACCAGGCTGAAAAACTGTTTTCCGCACATTGTCACAAACAATTGGATGATCAGTTCCACCATGCAGCCAGCTTGACTGCATTCCGCGGTTCTCACTCCGAACACCCTGAGGCCATTCCAATAATCCGGGCCCAGATCATAGTCCTCCGGATCAGTTGGCGGCGCTCCATTGAACTTGCCGCGGAAAAAGGCAATGTAAAAAATGCTGGCGTACAAGTTGACAAACTCAAAGCAGAATATTTTGACGGCAAATTGGTTGTCGAACTCGATCTGGGTCATCGGGCATTCCCATTCAGTCAGTTTGTATGCCGTAAATCGATAAAGTCGACTCATACACATGATGAAAATGAAATTAAGGAGAGCACCAGTAAACGAGATGACCATTGTGCTGAGAATGTAATCGAAATGGGCGAGGAGATGGCCAACGATCACTTGGTAAACTAAGATTCCAATTAATGCGGCAATCACCAAAAGTACCTACAATAACATAGATGTTTAGCCAGAAAATCATCGTAATAGGCGCCTACATTAACGTAACCGTTTTCAAAAAGAAATTATTGCAGTTTCCAAAAACTTTTTTGATTCTGCTTGTAGCCTAGTGCAATATCAGAATCTCTATAAACTTATAATAAACTAAAAAAATCAAACTACCCTCTTCCCTTTACAACTATTCAACACTCATAAAAGCCTTAGACTTTATGAAAAATACCAAAATTTCTTCCAGTTACCTAGTGCAATATCCAACGTCTCTCAAAATTGAGCCAAACCCACCTAAACTCCAATAAAAACAAAACTGAACTCACAAAAAAAGCCGCAGTTGCATAACTGCACGACATTTTCAACACCTTTTCCAGCCTCAGATCGCTGATCAGATAATCTTGCGAGTCATCGGGATTATTGATATCCGGCGCATTCTTCAGGTATTTGAACTGATATTGAGGCCGGACCAGGTCATCGATTTCATCGTGTCCCAATAATTGCCAGCGGTACTTCAACCTCCAATAAAATCGCTTCCATTTCTCGAGAAATCCAGTGGCCCAGATTGAGGTGACAATGGCCAATAAGATCGTGGTCGGATTGTCGAAAACATAGGAAAGCTAAACTCGGAGAGCAATAAATAGGTAAAGACAAGGGAAAGACTTGCTTTTGCATACCAGCAATTGTCGCTAAACTTGCGAATTCGACTGCCAGCAACGTGTTGATGCAGCGAACACAAATAGATCTTGCCTCCAAAATTGGGATCGCAAATTTGAGAACTAAACGTAAAAAATAACCCAAAATGGTTGCACTCACCTTGGGACATCGAAGATGGCGACAAAGAGTCCAACGAAGGTAAAAAGAGTTCCAATAACCGCCATGTACACCAGGGATTGTGTGTAAAACCCGAGCCAGGCAAAATAGAAAGAGACCTTCGAGCCAAAGTATTTCCTAAAATTCTTGGTCAATACCAAATCAAACCGTCCAAATTCGGTCTCAACCACAAGAACAAGACCTACTGGACAAGATCCAAAGGTTGGGTAAGGTTCCAATTTGAAAAGTTGGTCCAATACTTGCGTAAAACTTCGCGATCATTCATTTCTTCCAGCTTCTCGTCGCCAATTTCTTGGCGAAGGCTCTAAAATTTAAATAACCTCAAAAACAAATGTGGACATACCTCATGGAGTGGGAAACAAGCATGGTAAACCTCTTCTTGGATCAATCTTTCAATTCCGAATTCGATTTTCTTCTGTTCTTTGTCGTTGAACCGGGTTCGAAGGAGAATATCATAGATGATCCGGCTTTTTTCTGCTGTTGTGAAGAAGCTTTCACGATCATCTGCGCCGAAATAGCTGGAAATTGGAGAAAATTACGTTTGTTTTGCAATTTCCGATCAATTTTTAGGTTAATCAATATTTTGACACTTCGTGACAAAATTTGACGAAGTGTCACAAAAATTATTGATTTATCGAATAAGCCGGCAGATAATAAAAAAAGCTGCTAAATTTATTTAGAGGGTCTCGTAGATCTCCTAGAAATTGTAAATATTAAGATTTCTCAGCTTTCCGACAGATTTTTTATATTATCCATGACATCTCCCTTTACCTTTCAAGTTTATTCTCTTTGAAGTCCTCATAAAAATATTTCATCATGTTAATGCGATGCAACACCTCATCCGGCAACTTTTTCATCAGCTTACACCAGATTTTCTTCTTCATTGGGTGGTACTTTTCCTGAAAAATTTTCTTGTGCCATTACATTGCATACCGTACCACGAGGTGTTACAGTAAGCAAAACTTACAAAAAAATCGTTGTGAAGAATTGGTTTTCGTATCTGATGCAATTCGGCTTGTCGACAGAGAATATGAAATGGGCAGGTTATGAGGCGAGTTCGGTAGTCAATGTTGTCTAAAGAAAAGATGTAGTTACAGTAACCCGGGTATACGAGGTTCCGTATTTTATCATTCAAACTGTTCCTAATATCAATAATTTTCTTTCTAAACCTGAAAACGTCAAAAATGACCTCAATTTTTCCGCGAAATCGCTTTTTGAGTGAGGTGATGTCTAGTGTAATATAAAAAATGTTGAATTTTTACAATTTTTATCTTTCAACGTTTCGGATGTGCCATCATCCACAATTTTTGACCCAGAAATTTTATTATCCACCATTTTCACCTTGAAAATTCCCACTTTTCCTCATCAAATACCAAGTACAATATAAAAATCCTTACGTTTCTGAAGTTGCGGGCCATTTCTGACTTCAAGCCCAATTTTGACCAAATTTTCCTCGAATTTCTCTCGAGTGCTTTTCCTTTCTTTCTCGCTTTCGGCATCTTGACGAGCTTCTTTGACTTCGTATACCAAAACAAAGTCAATCTTTGGATCCGCAGGGTACTTCTGGCTTTTTGGATCGGCCGATTTTTCCTTTGTGGTGTTTTTCACTTCCAAATCCACCTTCTCCGTGCTTTGAAATGTCCCTAATTTCTCTTTGTCGGCCTGAAAATAAAAAGAAATGTGATATTTTTGTCATCTTCAAGAATTTCATGTGTGCAACTCTTTGATTTGCTTCAAATTTTGCATACATACTCTTCAAAGATCACTGATTAATTTTTCATAATTTTAGTTCGCAATTTGCAGGGGCAACGGAGATATTCAACACCTTTTTGTTGCGAGAGAGTACGCAAAATGAAGAGAGTCGGTCAGGCTTTTCAAAACGAGGCTTTTTTGTCAACATCTTTCCGTATTCTCTTCTTTTGCAATTTTCCGGAAGTGTTAGCTGTGGAACAGAGTGTTCCCCACAAAAATTAAGCTTTTTCCGATGAGAACTCGAACAGCTGCCGTCGAAAAACAAGTCTTTTCTCAGGCCAGCTCTCTTCATTTTACGTGCTCTCTCGCTAAAAGGTCGTTTAATTCATAGGTTGTATGTGCTAATTATAAGATAAAATTTTACAAGGAGTGGTATGTCATCTGTTTCTAGGACGTTTGCAAAATTTGTAATTTTGAGGGGATTTATTACAATTCATAAGCTACAGTAACCCTCAAAAACTTATATGTAAAATACTTCTTTACTACAGCTACAATTGCATATAAAATTATGAACCTACACCTTCCATTTTAGTCTCTTCCTTTTTTGTAATGCCACTGATTCAGCTATTGTAACTCGCCAGGTTTATCTCACTTTTACTTCTACGAATTTAGAAGAGTATGACGAAAAAATCGACCGGTCTATAAAAAATATCAGCAAAAGTAATTTTTGGATTTCGAAATCTCTGATGATGCTTCATTCAATTTGAGAAAACATAATAAAAACGAGATTGAGCTGATTTGGGAAACGCATGCTAAAAACTGATACGCGGCCTATGCCCATAAAAATAAAAGAAAACTTGAGAATTGCTTCCAGGTTACCTCAAATACATCAATGGTAAAATTAATCCGTAGACACATTGAATCTCGTCTGAGTTCGTGGAATTTTCATTTGAAAAAATACCTGTTGTTTCGCAAACTCGGAAAAGAAGACGTTTGGAGCTTGACAGTGTGAGAAATGTCTCAAACATTGAAAAGAATACAATAGGGCGTCCATGTGAATCGAATTGATTTTGAGATATTTCTCCTTTTTTTGCTTCAATAACTCTCACAATAAACTGAGATTGTCGCACAGACTTGTGGTTTTTGCTGTATATTGCCCAATGTTTTTATCAGTCTGGCCGGAAAATGATGAGAATAACTTCACATCGAAAATCACCGCCTGGAAGACGAATTGTGTCGAGAGAAAATCAAATTGCTTTTCACTTCAGCCACGGAACCGGCGCAGCGACATTGGGCTCATTGTTTCCCCGATGGGCTGATATATTTGAACCGAAAGCCGGTTTCTTCCAGTACATACAGTGAGGAACTGATCCATTGGCAAAAACCCATATAATTTTGCATCCGGGAAGTATCAAAAATGTGGCAAAATACCTCCCACTACAATAAAAAAACTCCGTTTTGGCCCTTTCCCTCACAAAAAGAGTGGGGGTGCTTTTGAAATCGGAGCTTTTTCACTTGGAGAGGGAGGTATTTTACCGCATTTTTTGATACTTCTCGTATGCAAAATGGTAAATTTTTTTCGGATCAGGTCAGCCACTGTAGTCTAGTATTTCTGGACAACCGGCGCTCTTAATTTTGCGCACCCTTGGAGAAAATTTCTGTTTAATATCGCCGAAAACTTTGGCAAATCGCAAGGGAAGTCTTCTCCAAAGTTTTTATTGTACTATATTCTCTTGTTTTCGACATCTTTATATCTCCCTTTGGGCACTTTTCGAACGTCTACAAGCGTTTTTAAGATTTATCTCTACGTGTTCGCCATAAAACAATGCATTGTTATATCTGATGAAAGTTGGAGAGTTGCGACTCGACCAGACTCATCTGTCGCATCTCCCGCAGGACCTTGCCGACGGGCGCCGAGAACGAATGACGTTGCGAGTTCTCCAGAGTGCAGATCCATCTGTTCAGGACATCCTCATCTTCCTGATTATTATTGGCGGGGACGGGTTCGTGGACGCGCATCTCGTCGATTAGCTGGAAGAAAAATGAGGGGATTTGATTAGAAATTTGATGAAATTAGACTGGGTGGGCTGAGGAGAAGAGAGCAGCTGGATGACGGGTAGACATGGTGGGTGAACGAGGAACGGTTTTTTGGAAAATGATGTAATTGAGTTCAAAAATATAAAAGATTATATCAATGACAGTGGAACCCTCAATTTTGTTTCTAAATTTTGTGAGCGTCTTAAATAAAGATCATATACCACCCTTGTATAATTTTATCCCACAATTTGCACATACAGCCGATGTATTCAACGACTTGGCGAAAGAGTACGTAAAATGAAGAGAGCTGGCCAGAGAAAAGTTGTTTTTTGACGATACAGTGAAGGACCTGATCCAGTGGCAAAAAACGTATCATTTTGCATCCGCGAAGCATCAAAAATGTGGCAAAATGCTTCCCTCTCCAAAACATTTTTAAAAATTTTTTAAATGTGGCAGAATGCTTCCCCCTCCCTTCGACAAAAAGAAGGGGCGCGCTTTTGAAATCGAAGTATTTTCAGTTGGAAAGGGAGGCATTTAGTCACATTTTTGATACTTCCCGAATGCAAAATGATACGTTTTTTGCCCCCGGATCAGGTCCGTGCTGGAGAGATGATATCGTTCGAAGTTACAGCTTTATCAATACCATGCAAATTTACACCAAACAAAAGATCACTTTTTCCGATATCCCCTCAACTCACCTCCATTCTCTGACAACTGCACAACAATGCCAGTAGCGCAAAATTCGCCGCATCCGCGTACAAGAACAACGAGATTCTCCGGAAATGCTCGAATAAAAGAATCTGGCTTCCAATGGCCAAAAAACCGAAAGCAAAAAAGGTAATCGTCGCCAGCTGAGTCCGAAGATGATAGCCCTTGATGGACGCCGGTTTCCAGCAAAGTCCGGCGTTTATTGCGGAAATTAGAAGTGTAAGGGAAGTGAAGATTGATATGATAATGGAGACCACTTGGAGGATTCGGATTATCAGCCACTGAAAAGTAAAAAAATTGTGGTTTTTAACATGTGGTCAATAAAAAAATTCGGTTGGAAGAATACAGTGGGGGACCTGATCCAGTGGCAAAAAACGTATCATTTTGCATCCAGGAAGCCTTCAAAACGAAGTTTTTTCACTTGAAGAGGGAAGCATTTTGCAACATTTTTAATACTTCCCGGATCCAAAATGGTACGTTTTTTGCCGCTGGATCAGGTCCCCCACTGTAAGTTGTAAGCTCTATTTAGTATTAATTTTACAAAATTTTGTTTTTATCGTAAAAGTACAGCTACATCTTCATCGTGATTTTTACGGCTTGGGACACGTCGAAAAAAATTTTTATGTTCTGCAGAAATTTTTGCGAGCGTTAGGCCTGAAGATGACACAATATCTTTTTGCAATTTCGGACTTCAAAAACAAGGTCTCTAAGAAGTGAGGGAGTGCAATTTCCATGTAAAAATTCATATTTTATGAAGCGGAAATCAAAAAATTACGGCCCAAAACAATTTGCTCTTGGCCGCTCTTCATTTTACGTGCTCTCTCACTATTAGAACAGAACTTTTGAACTCCTCGGCTGTCGCAGTAAAATAGCCATTAAAGCTGCCAAAAAAATGTAAGCGGAATATTTAAGAGTACGAGTGAAAATTTTAAAAGAAATTGGAAAGCCATTTGAGCAATACTCTTTAAGGATCCTTGTTAAAAACTCGATAGTTCCAACTAGCGCGGGTAATTACAGTGACGGACCCGATCCAGTGCCAAAAAAGTACCATTTTGCATCTGGAAAGCAACAAAAATAAGGCAAAATGCTTCCGTCTCCAAGTGAAAAAAAACTTCGTCTCCCTCACAAAAAGACCGGGCGTGTTTTTGAAATCGGAATTTTTTCACTCGGAGAGGGAAGCATTTTGCCACATTTTTGATACTTCCCGGATGCAAAATGGTATGTTTTTTGCCACTGGTTCAGGTCCCCCACTGTATGACTATTATATCATAAATAGGGAGTATATTTGAAAGTCGCGGCCTGATTTTTGACAGTTCTCACAAAAATCCTGAGAATCGTACCTTCCCCAAATCTCGAGCGAAAAATTACCTTGTCAAAGTCCCAAAAGCCCCAAAAAACCTCCGTCCAACTTACGTAATTCCTGATAGTAGTGTCCTTTGCCCTCCACGGCTGTTCAAACATCAGCGCCAGCACTTCGGACCCGAGCAAAGTCGCCGCGACCAGCGTGAAGACCAAGGCCAGAATCGAGAGGCAGAGATTGCGTCGCATTCGGAGCCTTCACAAAAAACAGTTGCACATTGTTTTTAAGGGGGCGCTCAGCAGTCCCGATGGGCCCAGATGTCATGCATCTTGTCATATTCCCATTCCATTTCGGGGCGACAAACGCCTTTGCCTGTTCGCTTCGAAGCCCCTCCGGGGATGCGGGTTCAACAATGGGCGCTATAAATGGACGCTGAAACAAATTGTTTCCGCTCCAGGAGGGGCGCGATAAACACAATCTGAGTGGGAAATTGACCCCGAAAACGGGTAAACGGAGGGGAAATGGTATAAAAAAAAGTAAAATCAAAGGTCAGTAAGTACAAAAAAAAACTTAATTTGGTGAGTATTTATACTCCCACACATGTATGTATATATATTTCAAAGTGATTGAGTTATATTCACTTGAGATATGGATGGTCAGAAATTTATGTTTGGGGGTGTAATAACAAAGAAAACAATGACAATTATGGAAAAAAATTTGAATTTTACAAAGGCAAAGCAATCGTGTTTCTCCCAACTTTCCATGAACTGCTCTGTCGGGAAAGTAGTGGGCGCTTTGTCGCTATGCCCATGGCATTGTTGAAGTGGAAAGCAACTTGATTTTCCAACACAATTTAATCTTTTCTGCGGCATTTTCGATGCGACAGAGCGCTCACTATTTTCCCGACATACTGATACCTATTTGCCTAGATGTTATTTCTTACTTAGAAATGTTAGTTCACGCTTTGCAGATACCGTCAAAATGCTTAGCGATTACATTTGCGAGAGATCCGGGAAAAAAAACCGAGTTTTAAGAAATTCCGGTTCAAAAATATCGGTAGCGCTTGCAACGTCACAAAAAATCCTGCAACTAACTTTGAAGGCATCTGCTGTTAAATCTGCTGTTTCTCTAAAAAATTATTTTTATTGTCACGTAAAATGCGCCAAACACATTCTTACCCCAATAGTAAATCGCCGGAATTTGAGAGTTCAGAAACGAGGAAGAGAAAAAAAATGTGAAAAAAACTTCCCTGTTACGTAACAAGCAAAGATCGGTGGGTAACAAACACATAGTAAATGAGAGAAAAGTTCTTAAAGTGCTTTGTTGCTCTTAAGAAGGAACATTGACCACTTGAGGATGAATTTTTATAAATTTTAGTTTAAAAGGCGGGCCAAAAAGTCTTGAAAAATCTGCACAGTGCGCCATCGTGTGAACAACTTGTCGCGCGACAACGAGTAAAATTTACGGTGCGCTTTAATCCCGCACAGTGCTAAAAAATTTTTTTGAAAAGGGCAATCAAAAGCACAGTGCGAAAACATGTCAAGACTTTTTGGACAGCCTAGTACAAAGGAAGTGTTCAAAGTGACATTACAAATTTTTTTCTGCATTGTCCGTAATACACTGGCCCACCTACGAACTTTACTTTGCTCTAACGCAAAAACAGCCTAAATATCCAACAATCTAAATATGTAGGGTCAGAAATACGAAGACTGGGAACAGAGACGAGGCAAATTGGCCATATCTCTTCCAATTTCGTTAGGAAAAAAATGTTTTTTTATGGAAACATTGCCCCTCCGTTATGAATAAATTGTAAGCAAACATTTTTTATGCATAAACTGGCAAGATAACGTTCATTTTCCCGAAAAATTTTTGACATAAGAATTTTTTTTTGCCTCTGATGTTCCTACAAAGTGCAATCTAAAATTGCAATATTCACGTATATTTTTTGTAATATCATAGAAGATACTATGCTATATTTGCATTAAGTTTCGGTAAAATCCAAGCCCCACGTCTGAATGGCTCTCTCTCTCCAAAAAAGCCGCTATAAATTTTTGTAATCAAAAAAAAACGTAATATCATCATGCCTTATACGTATATGTAACAACAAAAAAACTTGAGCCCCTGTGAAGAAGATTTAGAGCCCAGCAGAAGACGTGCGACACGAACATCAATATTGTTCATGTTCCCTCCGCCCGAAAGTTTTTCCGCCGCCAAAACTTCCTTAAAAGTAAAAAGCACTAATCCCATTCGGATGTAATGTTCCTTTAGTCATCAAAAAAAACTTCCATCCATAAAAATACAAGTATGAATTTTGAAATAAAACGAAAGTAAACATTAATTTTTTTGGGTTTATAAACAAATCAATCAATTATTTTTATTTTCCTTCTCTCCCAAAATTTCATATTAGTTTTTGGTGGTTTCAAAAATAAGCGATGATTTACAAAGTGTTTCTGCTCTTTTTGGCCCTAGAAATTGTGGATTGTGGACTGTTCAGTAGTAGCTATTGCAAGCAATGTAAGAATGACGCAGTGGAGGGCTTCAAAAGCCATGGAATGAGTAATCTGGATGGAAATGCACTTTATGTAAGTTTCAAGTAATAACAAAGGAAAATAAAGTTGTCAGATGCGCCTGAGTACAGTCTATAATAGGCTGTGTAAACTGATTTGGCTTTAAATTTTGTGAAAAGAAACCAAGAATTTAACAAGGAAAGCGCTTCTATGGGGTATGGAGTTGTTTCGAGCTAAAGTGAACCCTGGCACCTTGACAAGCCTTAAAATACCAAATTTGATTAATACCACACCTTAATTAGTAGTTCGAATGTAAAAATGGGAATTTGTGTGGTGTTGCGAGAAAAGTTCTGAGGTTTTTTCACCCTGACAAACCAAAATTAAGCAGCTAACTTTTACGTATTCTGAATCAGAAAAATTTTACGATTTTTTTCGACTTGTAACTCCATACCCCATAGAAGTACAATACTTTCCTCGTAAGATTTTTTTCACCAAAGCTTCTATTACTTATTTCTCGAAGTCTAGCTCACAAAAATCATGGAATTTTCTGGTCGCACCGACTGGGAAATCGAGAGTTAGCTCAGAAATTTACAACATCATACATGTACGTTCCATTACAAAATTTTAAATCGTATAAATCGGACTTTTCCGCTTCTTTATTCAGATTTTTTGCTCTCAATTTTCCTGACTTTTGCAAAAAAAATTATAATAAGCGTGTTTTGTAAAATTAGAGCCGTTTGTTTTTTAAAAATTTTGTAACGGCAACCCAGCCCGTATTTTACCCCTTCCATGATGTCAAAAAGACATTGTGGGCGTATGTTTGATGATAATTGCCATGTCAATCTTTGAAGATTACTTTCAGGGCATCTGTGACAAAGCGCTGTTTGGAGATCGAAGCGATAAAAATGGAAGACTGGCCAAGATGGTCAAAGGCGCAAAAACAATGGAGGAGAAGCTGAAAATCATGGAGCCATGTAGGTTGTAATCAAACTTGAAAAAAAATTGAAAAAAATAGCCTTAAGTTAAAGAGGTTTTCAGTAGTTCAAAAATGTGAGAAGTTCAAGATGGATCCAAATTCTGTGAAGCCATACCAAGAGAAAGCGTTGAGCGCTGAGAAAGCCGGGGAAAAGATGGCCAAGGACCTGTGCAAAGACTTGAAATATTGTTAAGATTTTTTCTCTGCAGTAAACTTTGTTGCTAAAGCCTAAAATAAACATAATTTAAAAGATCTACAGGGGTACTCGCAATGTTTGAACGTCCATTTTAAGAAAAATACAGGCTCTATAGTGGCGGACATGATCCAATGACAAAAAATGCACAGTTTTGGATCCGGAAAGTATCAAAAATGCAGCAAAATACCTCCCTCTCAAAGTGAAAAAACTTCGGTTTCAAAAGCTCTTTTTGTGAGGAAAGGGCGCGCATTTCAAAACGGAGTTTTTTTATTGCAATGGGAGGTATTTTGCCACAATTTTGATACTTGCCGGATGCAAAATTATACGTTTTTTGCCAATGGATCAGGCCCTCACTGAATGTAGGATTTTTTGACAAGTATCATATCTCTGACCTATAAGGTATACAGTATCTTATTTACGACAAAAACCACTCACGACCACAAATGTTATGCTTATGCAATAATAGAAAAAGACGTAATCTGCCTCGAAAAGAGGGTATTGACTAGGATTTACTCGTCACTGTCCTTCTTGAGGGCTTGCTTGACCTTGTCGAAGATTTCCTTTCCCTTGGCCTTGAACTTGTCAGCATGAGCCTCGAGTTTGCTCTTCAAGCTTTCAAATTTGGACTTGGCCTTGTCCAGGTCCTCGGAAAGGTGTTGCTTCAGGGATGGCACCTTGGCTTTGATCTCGTCGAGGATCCCACTCAACGAAGTGTTGTTCCCGTGAAAGGCTTCCTTGATGGCGGCGAGTTCGTGAGCCTGGAGATGGTGGACGGCGCTCTTCAGCTTTTCGGTGATTTTGACTTTCTTTTCTGGAATAGAAGAGGGTTGAAAGACGACAATAAAAGGATATTGTATCTTCTGAGATTGCAAGCATTTTTTTATGAAGAAAAAGGGCCCTAAAGATCATGGTATCTCCTAATTTTTTGTGCTGTATAATTGCTGAATATCCAATCTCACGATCAATAAAAAAAGCTCAAGCTAAGATAGGCAGGTACTATTCTATGGCATGTATAGAATATATACCAATGAAAATTTTGAAGCAAATTGAAGCGTTTAACTCTGAGTTGCTCTCATAAAGCAACCGCTGAAAAGTCTTACCCTTCAGCTTCTCCAAAGCATCCTTGGCGTCACTCTTTTTGTCCTCCACCTCGTTAAACGACTGCTCGAAGTTGGGGCTGGTCTCGCCATCGGCCAAACTCAACACAACGAGTCCGGCCAAAGCCAAGAGAACTGACAGTTTGAAGTTCATTGTGCCCAATGTGATGTCTTACAACTCGGGCCTCTGACTTTTTATACAATTTGAAAAACTTATTTAATCAGCTACATATCTAAAAGTCGGGCCAAATTTGGTTTTGACGAACAAAAAGAGACTTGTTCGGGTTCATCATACATCCGCCTGTTGTTTTAGCGAGTTTATGCAGCTGCTGATTCTGCAAGCGGCTTGCGTCAGAAGCTCTTGTCTTTTTCTGAACAGCATGAGATTTCACATAAAGTTAGTTTAAAAAAAATGTTTTCGGTGTTTATTTGGAGTTTGTAACATAAAAAATGGACGAAAAGTTCGTTTTGTACAATTTTGCAGATATTGTTTGATTTCTGGAAAAAATCTTGCACAGCGTTCGTCTATTAAGACTATGGAAAATGAATCCATAAATACAAACCGTTTTTTGGCAGCACAGAATGGATGTTTAGTTTACATTATATTGTCTCTATTGCCTACACTTATATATATTGTAATAGGCACTATAGTCATCCCTGTATACTATGGTGACCGGAAAAAACGTACATAGCTCACATTATTGTAGCCATGCTTCAACATTGTTAATGGCATGTTCAGCCAGTTCCAAAGCGTCGACATACACCTCCAAACGTGACTTAAAATTTTTGGACTAAAGGCCGCGGCCGGAGTTGGACGATTGGGGAAACCGAAAACTAAATACATATTATTTTTCTTCGATGAAAGTGCCGAAATTGGGATAATCGAGGGTGCTGATTTTGAAAATGACATTCATTTTTTTGATTGTTACTTTTTTTCTTAAGTTGTACTGTAAAGCAGTAATTCTTTTATTTTTTAATTGTAAATACTCGATTTAATAGGGGTTTTCGATGGTGCTGATTTCGAAAATGACGCTCATTTTTTAATGGTTACTGTTTTCCTGAAGAAGTATTTATGAAAAAAATAAAAAAATTGCGACTTTACAGTATTACACAAGGAAAGAAGTAAAAATCAAATAAAAAATGAATGTCATTTTCGAAATCAGCAGCCTCGGTTATCCCAATTTCGACACTTGGATCAAAGAAAAATAATATTTTTCGGTCCTCCAATCGTCTTTTCTCCCAATCCTCCCAGTTCCGGCCGCGACTTGAGGAAATCAGTGTAATATTTATTCAAACTTCCTTATAGCAATATATATTAATGCTGTATAATCTACAATAACAAGCTGCATAAATCTCTAACTCTCATCCGGTAACCATACTCTACATCTGTCCTTTGGAGTATACAAACTGTCAACCGGACAGTTAAAAGCGCTTCTGAAGGCCGGGAAATTCTTGATGGACGTTGACAATCGACTGTAAGATTCTTCTCCATAATCACAGTAGGAAGTTGCAAATGACAGGAAGAAGAGTTGATCATGAGTGTATTTTGAGTACGGTAAATCGGGGAGTTGCGGGTCTGGCCCATTCAACTGCTTATGAGTGTTATAAGCTCGATAGGCCACGTGAATACCTAAAACGATTTAAAACGCGTTTTACTACAAATCGTAGATTGGCCCGGACATTGTTGAGTCGATGTCTCAGAATTCAACCAAAATTGGTTAACCGAATCACCAATCGGTATGGAGCAATCGCTTGATTTTTTTTGCCCATAGTCGTTATATGGTGGATTACTGTAACTTTCTTTCTGAGAAAAGAGTTGCCTTTTCTGCAGATATGGTGCGGTATTTTAGTGAGACCGAACCACCACTTTATGTTTTCGACCATGTAGAACATTTTTGTAATTATGGCCAAAAGCTCAGAATTACATCTAAGCAATGTTTCGCTTGCGGTAACATACCATTTCGGGCATAAAATTGGCTACTGTAACCAGATGCACTTTTAAATACGGTAAAAAGAAACTTCAACCTTCATCCAATAACCCATAAAAATTTCAAAAAAATCAAATATACAACTTTTGAGAAAATGGGCATTCAATGTCTCATGTACAAGGTCATCTGGGCCCGAAAAAATCTGGCATTCTTGGGATTCCAACGGGATGCACTTTTTCAGAGTTTCTAAAACATTCTGAGGCTGACTAAAGATTATATGGCAAGTTTCAGGAGGAAAAAATATACAACTTTCGAGAAATTGACCAAAATACCTTATTTTAGGTCATCAGAACGTCGAAAAAATCTGGCATTCTTGGGATTCCAACGGGATGCACTTTTTCAGAGTTTCTAATACATTCTGAGGCCGAATAAAGATTAGAGGCTATCGAAAAGTGCTACAACCTCAAATCCCAAGAATGCCAGTTTTTTCGGGGTTCTGATGACCTAAAATAAGGTCTTTTGGTCATTTTCTCGAAAGTTGTGCATTTTTTCGCCTGAAATTTTCATTATCATCGTTTACAAGGCTAATAATGTATTAGAGGCTATCAAAAAGTGCTACAACCTGGAGTCCCAAAAATGCCAGTTTTTTTCGGGGTTCTGATGACCTAAAATAAGGTATTTTGGTCAATTTCTCGAAAGTTGTATATTTTTTTCTCCTGAAACTTGCCATATAATCTTTAATCAGCCTCAGAATGTATTAGAAACTCTGAAAAAGTGCATCCCGTTGGAATCCCAAGAATGCCAGACTTTTTCGACGTTCTGATGACCTAAAATAAGGTATTTTGGTCAATTTCTCGAAAGTTGTATATTTTTTTCTCCTGAAACTTGCCATATCATCTTTAATCAGCCTCAGAATGTATTAGAAACTCTGAAAAAGTGCATCCCGTTGGAATCCCAAGAATGCCAGATTTTTTCGGGCCCAGATGACCTTGTACATGAGACATTGAATGCCCATTTTCTCAAAAGTTGTATATTTGATTTTTTTGAAATTTTTATGGGTTATTGGATGAAGGTTGAAGTTTCCTTTTACCGTATTTAAAAGTGCATCTGGTTACAGTAGCCAATTTTATGCCCGAAATGGTATGTTACCGCAAGCGAAACATTGCTTAGATGTAATTCTGAGCTTTTGGCCATAATTACAAAAATGTTCTACATGGTCGAAAACATACACCTAAACTCGATTTGTGCTAAAATAAAGCTTCGTTTTCTTGATTAGGCCATATCTTCTTTTTTTTAAAATGCTACAGTATGCCGTCATACGGTAATTTTGGGCAAAAAGAAAGAAAGCGAATATTTTACCTGCCATGATGATCAAGTTGACCGATTTTGATTAAATTCTGAGATACCGATTTTAACAATGTCCGCCCTCTGTTAGGCTAAACTCCAAAGTGTGGCAAAACGCGTTTTAAAAAACAATGGTAGAGGTAAAATACGGGATGACTTGTTTTTCGGAAAGTATAAGAAGTTGGCTGTGAATTACCTGTGTTATCAGCTTTGACATCGCTGACATCAATTTCTTTGGGATATTGATCGATAAGGCACTTTTCCATCTCATCAATTTTGTCTTTAAAGGCTTTGGTAACTAATGTCAGGTTTCGAACGGCATGAGCCCACTGAAGAGAAGGCCTTTCTGAAAAAATATTATAAAGGCCTACTTTTTTTTATGTGACCTATGGCTCTATAACTTTCTTGATTTTTTTTGGTTTTCACACTAACGAGGGAAGTACCCCAAGTGCGACGCTCAGATTTTGGTTAAAATTTGCACACACATCGGGTATGGACGAAATATCAATTCATGAAAGTTTTAGCTCGCGCTTTGCAGGCGCAGCCGAGATATTGAACGATTTTTGCGGCCGAGAGAGTTCGATAAACGCGGAGAGCGGTCAGTGAGAAAAACACTTTTTGGCCATAACTTTGCTTGTTCCGAGCGGCAAAAAATTATTTTTTTGTGGAAACGTTAACCTTTATGGTAGAAATAGGGATGCAACTTTTCGTGCCGAAATTCGACAAAAAGTATAAATTTTCCGTTGACTTTCGACCTAAAAATCTCGGTGGTTTCTGCAAAGCGCGAGCTAGGATTCTCGCTTATATTTTAGAAAGAATTATTCTAAATTTGTGCCAAGTTTCATTAAAATCTGAGCGTCGCACTTGGGGTACTTCCCTAGTAAATACAAACGGTTTCCTGAAATCTTTTTTTTGGTTTGTTTTCCATATTTTTTGCTAGGATTATAGCTGTCAAGGCCGAAACATCGTAAAAACATTACGCAACGTCTTATCAAAAGGCCAGAACGTTCACTTACCAAAGACTTTCGACAACTCTCTTGCAATTTGGACTCCCAATCTGCCATAGTTTATCGAAGCCGGGAAGCCCTTATCAAAATCAGCAAGCTCAACAAGACCTTGCGGGATTGTCAACGAGTTGTATTCGGGCTGAAATCAAAATTCACTAAATCCTCCCGTATCCTTACTCTATTCCAACCATTTATTTTGCTTGGTGAATTTTCAAATTCCTCCAAATAATTTGCATTTGTCAAATATTCCATTTGATGTCTGAAGTTGTCCAAATTCAGATTTTGGGTAGTTTCAAAGTAATCTTTTCCGATACTAACTTTCGAATAGTACTGATCCAGCTTGTTGATATCACCGACTATATTCGGATACAACCAATTTACATGCAAATCCAATAGTTTTTTATGCATAAATCTTCTGTCTTCCTCGGAAATCCATCGTATTTCATCGATAGTCCCGCGGAATTCACTCCGAATATTATGGAACATCCTTTGTAGACTTGGTAGTACATCTGTGCTGTCTTTTCGACCACTTACATAGTTGATGTAAACTTTTCCATTTGCGAATTTGAACAATTTTTGCGTTTGACGAGCGCATTCCTCTTCGGCATTAATTTTCGGAGATTCTACGCCAGGAATCAGATGTTTGTACTTCATTAACAGCCGCATGAAAAAGTAGTTGACCCTGTCATCGTTCTTCATAAGCCGCCCGATATTGTTGCTCAGCATCAGCAAGGTGTTTTCGAATTTCACCGCGTATCTAGCGCCTGACAGTCGAGGAAGTCCGGTGTAAGTTACCAGCTGATTTGTGTACAATGTCCATTGGAGAAAGCTGAACTTGTTCATCCGCGAAGACGGATAAATTGTGGGCTGGGAGTCCTCTCTATCAGGCGTATAATAAGCTGGTTTTGTCATCATTCTTTCGAAGGACAAAAACGTGTCAATGTAACTGCCCAGCTCGGCTTCATCGACAATTGCATTCGGCCAGATCTTGCCGAATTTCACCAAGACTTCGAGCATTTCTTCTTTGTACTTTTTCGCCTTGCTTGCTCCCCACCCATGAATGTAATCGCCTTTAGGCCACAGCAAAGTGGGCTCGTCCACTGTCAACAGCATTGGATTTACTCCGGGTCTAGCGCCATCAACTCGGTTGTCCACCTCAATGGTGGTTGTAACGAAGGTCTGCAGGTCTTCAAACAGCTGAAGATAGGAGATGATCTTGTGTTGGAGCGGGATAAAGCGAATCTTGGACTTGCTGTACATGGAGATGCGGAGACTATTGCCGATTTGTTTTATGAATTCTTGAACTTTGTTTTTGATGACAGTCCCGTCTCTGATCTTGTCGTCAAAGTTTTTGTGGAAGTCCACGCATTGATCAAAGTACTGGCGGAGCTTTCGGAGGGCCGGGGATTTCTGAAAAGGTAATTTACAGGGTCAAATTTTACAGGGTCTTTCAAGAAACATGAATGAAAGTCGGAGGCTATAACTTTTGGCCGAGGCGGCGCAGAGATTTCATTTTTGGAATATGTATTTTCAAGTGACATTAATTTTTGTCTATGAAATAAGAAGATTTTAAAGTGCAAACTGAGCTCGCTACGACCTTTTGAAGCAGGGCACGTCAAACTGAGGAGTCCGGTGACCGGAATAGACACTTCGCTATCGGTTTTTGACACTTCGTCTTGATTTCACAGAGAACACAGAGAAAAGGCGCGCCAAAACTACTCTCTCGCCCCAAAAATTCCCCATTTCTCCCCCGACAAAACGTTTTTTCGCCTCTTTTTATGGCAATTGCCAATCCATTCACCGGACTGTTTTAGCTTATCTCAGTTTGACGTGCAGGGCCCTTATACCACAAAAACCATTTTTTGCGGTTGAAAATGATCAAGAAATGTTGGATTTTTTTGAGCTTTCGATAGACTTGATGTTGAAAACGGGAAAATAAATCCATTGATGAGGAGTTGTGAAGCTTACCTCAGCCCCGGTGATCGCTTTGATGGCTTCAATTTTAGTCTGGAGGTTCACTTGCTCCCTTGTCTTCCTATCAGGGTTTAGCTTTCCGCACGTGTACTTGTAGAAATCGTTGCATGGATCAACATTGATATCCAACGACTCATTGAGATGCTTGACAATTTTCTCGTACTTCTCATAGCTATTGTCGAGCTTGGAAATTACCTTGGGTTCTGGGGCAATATAAACATCCTGACTTTCTGTTTTAGCTACTGAAAGGAGGTCAGTATCGTCACAAAAAACAATATGAAATAAAAAGTATAGTATCTCAACTTACTACTAAACAATTCACAACGATTTTCGCTGACATATTTGCTATTAGCTGGGCAATTAAATGTCGTTCCGAACTCTGCATCATTTTGCAAAATATTGAGTAATTTAGCCTTGTTTGAGCCTCTTTTCAGCTCATTCTTGGCATTGGGATGATCACAAAATTGGCCAGAATATTTGATGTAAAAAACTTGATCATCAGTAAATTGCCTTAAAATATTGTCAGCAAAAGATGGAGAATGGCCAGAGAAGTCTTCAGCCAGTTGAAGGGCTTGCTTAGCGATGTGGATAGCTAAAAATAGCAGTATAAATTAACAAGGGAAGTACCCTAAGTGCCACGCTCAGATTTTGATGAAACTAGGCACAAATTTAGAGTAATTGTGTCTAACATATATGCGAGAATTCAATGCTCGCGCTTTGCAGAAACAACCGAGATTTTTAGATCAGAAGTGGGTGAAAATTTGACACTTTTTGCCAGATTTCGGAACGAAAAGTTTCATGCCTATTTCTACCACAGAGAGCAATGTTTCCACAAAAAATAATTTTTTTCCGCACGAAACTAGCAAAGTTATGGGCAAAAAGTGTTTTTCTCTCTGACCGTTCTCCGCTTTTAGTGTACTCTCTCGGCGGCAAAGATGGTTCAATATCTCGGCTGCGCCTGCAAAGTGCGAGCTAAAACTTTCATGGAATTGATATTTAGTCTATGCCCAAAGTGTGTGCAGTGTGCAAAATCTAAGCAAAGTCTGAGCGTCGCACCTGGGATACCTCATTTATAATATACATAAGTTAGAAGAAAGCCTTCGCGTTCGTCAAAGCTCTGCCGAAGCCATTTCCTACCTGCGTTATGCCCCAAAACAGAAGAAAATTCATTATTCGCATCAATTCCATATTGTTTATTAAAACATTTGCCCAAGTTTCCATATCCCAATGACGTTTCTTGATCCAACTCAACGAATCGACCATTCTGATCAATTTGAACACCGTATAAATCTAAAAAAAAAGATTCTTGAAAGCAATGTGTAACTTGCCGAAAGAATGTGTCAAATGCTCAGCAATCTTGACTCCAAGAGCAGCAAAATTGATGGTAAATGGATATTCCGGGTTGTAGAATGGAGCAAGCACGGCAGCCGCGGGAATGTTCAAGGTGTTCTTCGAGTAGTCATAGGAGATTTCTGGCTAAAATAACAAAGGTTTTCATCTTTAAGATTCTACAGTGGGGGACCAGATCCAGTGGCAAAAAAAGCGTCATTTTGGATCCGGGAAGTAGCAAAAATGCAGCAAAATACCTCCCTCTCCAAGTGAAAAAAACTCAGATTTCAAAAGCGCGCCCGCTCTTTTTGTGACGGAAAGGGCACGCATTTCAAAACGGAGTTTTTTATTTTAGTGGGAGGTATTTTGCCACATTTTTGATACTTCCCGGGTGCAAAATTATACGTTTTTTGCCAATGGATCAGGTCCATCACTGTATTGAACATAAAATCTACTGTATTTTTCAGTTTCAAAACTCACCGTTGTGGCTTCAAATTCTGTCATCTGGAATGGGGAAGTGAAATTCAAAATTTGATACCCTTTGGCTATGAAAAATTCTTCTACAGCCAACTTTAATTCACTTGATGTCATGTCGTCCTTATAACCCAAACCTTCGAAATAGCGGCTCAAATACTCGTTATCGAATATTTTCTGATCTGCGATGACATTGACTTGTAGAGCACCTAATTTGTTGATGATTCGAGCCTTTACAACCGCTGACATCCATGTACTCTCTACCAAAAGTCCTTGAAGAGTGTTGATGAGGGATGACGTCATAATCAAAACTTTGTCTTTGACTACTTCAAACACAACATGTTGCTTCTCCAGGAACACTCGAGAAGTGAGGATTGGGATATCACGGGTTTGCAAAGCGCAGGAGAGCTTGGTATTCTCGATATCATCTTTGTTTGGAGGTAGACCATCGGAGTTTAGGTTGAGAATAAGCTCTCTGAAAAAAAACATGGTATATTCGTATGTCCAACATCTCTGAAGATGTTTGACCGTAAAACTCGTGAAAACGATTTTCTCCTGGACGTCTATGTCCACGCTTACACAAAGTAGTGCTCAAGCATGCATGTAGAGGGTGACAGATAAAAACTACAACTTTCTTTCATGGGTCCTGCCGCGAAAACCTTTAGGCGTAGGAAAATATTTATCATACCGTTAAATTCTCCGCGTTTTTCTGTCCTAGTCGTTTGAGTTTCATGCCCATATCGATTGGTTATCATATTTGTTTTGAGTGTCAAACAGAGGGACTCAGATTTTAAATCGGGAAAAAAGAGCGGTGTAAGATTGCTAGATTGGCTTCATTACATGCAATTTACCTAACAGTTGACCGCCGTATTGCGCTTAAGTATCAGTCTTATAAGACAATTCTACAGTAAATCCAACAATTCTCCTAAAAACCCCCACCTTTGACTCCACAGCAGTCTGAAGTAGAAGTAGTTCAGCAACGATTCATCTGTCACTTGGTTTCCATAGATTTTTCTGAACATTTCCTTGATGTGTTCTACTCCAAATGTTGACACAATTCTATTTTCAACAAGTCCTTCATCTTTCAAAAACATGTTTCTAATCTCCTCACTGCTCTTCTCCAACATGACTTCGAAATATTTGTTAAATTTAATTCCTTTCAGCTCAGTTTGCAGATCTTGTAATGTAATCAAATTTTGATGATATTTCGGTGTTTGCCTTAGGCTGTGGTTCTTATACATTGAAGCCAGAAGTCGTTCAAGGTAGTAAACATCTTTTGCCAGCTTTTCCAGACTCTTTGGAGTTTTTCCGATGATTTTTGAGTATTCCACAAGCAATTCAAGATGCTCTCCAATAATCTGGTTTCTCGTATCTTCATCACTGTCATTGTTATATACATCATGATGATATATAAGTTTTGGCGCTAAAACATGCAGCAAATATACTGGATTTGTCTTACTGGTCTCCAGATTTCTTTCTACTCTGGTATCAAAAATAGAGCCAATATTATGATGACCTTGCAAAAATCCCATTGATTTCTCCAAAAAGTCTTCAGAAATAGCTGAAATTTCAATTTCCGAATCCTCAAAGGCTGGGTACTTTGAGCCAGTGACCTTTTCCAGCCCTTCCAACAGTTTCTCAACTGATTTTTTCTTTGAATTCTGCGCACTCCTCTCTTCAACACAGCTAGTGTAATATAAGTTGATCAGTTTTTTGTGAGGAAATTGGATCGAGTCATCTTCCAGATTCTTCAAAATATGTTTGGCGACATTTTCTGTGGCCTCTTCTTTAAGGGTAAGGTCTTTTGTATGGAAATTATTGCAGACATAGCCGTGGAAGTCGTTGCAGACGTCTTGTTGGAGATCGAGAGACTTGAGAATTCCTTGCGAGGCTTCGTTATACGCTGAATTGTTAGCAGGGATTAGAGATCTTTGAGGAACGTTGATTGGTGGGGCTGTTGTGGTTGTTGGCGGAGTTGAGAGGTCTGGAAAAATTCATTTTTTTTGAAGCGTATAGCTCCTAAACTTACTCGGTTCCACATCCGTTATCCAGACTTGGCAATGCTTCTCCTGGCTTCGATTTTTCTTCAACGGACAATTAAAAGCGTCTCTGAAGGCGGGGAAGTTTCGTAGCGCTCCCAGGACACGGAAATTGCTTGGAGAATGAACATCTCCTAGCACCATTTCCCTTTCACGATTGCTCAACGGCGCTGCGCACCAAACTCTTCCAAATGCCAAGAAAAACAGCTGATCAGCGGTGAATCTCCCAACGAACTCGCCGGGCAAACTTTGAGCATCTGCTTTTAACGACAGCTCGTTTCTGAAAGCTCGGAAGGCGGCTTGAATACCTCCATTATCCGCGATGTTTTCGCCTTGGGTATTTGTCCCATTAACGCAATGATTTTGATCATAGCAAAATTGACTATATTGGTCCACAACACAATCAGCCATTTTGCGGAATGATTGAAACGAAGAGTTGGATATCCAGTTTTGAAGGCGGCCATCTCCATCCCATTGGATGCCTTGATCGTCTGAAAGAAGCGGAGATTATACGAGTACAGTGACGAACCTGATCCAGTGGCAAAAAATGTGCCATTTTACATCCGGGAAGTATCAAAAAATGTGGCAAAATGCCTCCCTCCCCAAGGGAAAAACTTCGTTTTATACGGCCCTTTCGCTTGGAGAGGGAGGTATTTTGCCACATTTTTTGATGCTTCCTGGATGCAAAAAACTCCTTTTTTTTGGTCATTGGATCAGCTTCCCTGCTCTAATACAATTTTTTGATGCATATTGGCCGTAAGACTTTCTTTTCCCCCTGGTTCTCGGGAAGTGCTGGGCCTACACCTTGAAATTGGGCACAGAAAGAAAAACTGTGGGACAATCTAACACTATACCCAAAAAAACGTATCATTTGATGCACCATGCACTTTTTTTCAAGAAGGCAAAAAACCGGATGACTATTTTTGTAGGAAGATGTAAATTACGCCAAAAACTGGGAAAATCGGTCGATTATAATACTTGAAAAAACATGTAAAATGGCCTCTTTTCTTACAGCTATCGGCTGATTATTATACTTACCAAACCCATGAGTGAGCTCATGCCCAGCCACCATTCCAATTGAACCGTAGTTGACCGCCGCAGGCCATTCGGGATCAAAGAATGGGGCCTGCAGAATGGACAGAGGAAAAGTGATTGAATTAGCTGCTTGCTGATACCATGCATTCAAATCGAAGACAGAGCCAAAATCAAGGCGATCGAACGAAGTCTTTTTCAAATCATCGATTATTTTTCGCTGATTAAAAACAAACAACTTGATGTTCATTTCGCGGAAGTCGGTTATTGAGGATATATCTAGGTCCTTGTAATATGCTTCTAGCTTGGATTCATCGACCGAGATATTGGGATATGCAACGTTTTTGACGAGCTGACCAATCTTGTTGTAGGCCTCCTGGAAGCAAATTTTTAAAGGGCGATATGCTGCCAATTCTTTGTCTTTTGAAAAATCTTGAGTTGTGTTATCTCCCTACCTCTTTGCTCTTCCCATCCATCCAATTCAATTGATCCAGCATGCTTCTGAACCCAAGTAGGGTTGAATCGACAATTTTGGTGGCTTCCATTCTTTTATCATCACGCTCAGTATCATTCGGATGTATTGTCTTGACAAATATGTGGTTGAGGGCTTCGTTGAACAGCTCTTTGGTTGGTTGCAAACATTTCAAATCGGCTGCAGTTAGTCCTAGCGCAACAGCTTCAGGATGGGAAAGAATGTCAATGTCTTTCTTTGGGTAGTGGATGCCTTGGCCTGTAATGATTAGAGTTAGAGATTTAGTTGAACGATTTTTTCATCGTATAACATGTCACACTCAATTAATCATTTTCAAAGTTTTTTCATCGTATAACATGTCGCCTTACTCTTTCAATTTTCAAAATGAGGCGAAGTGTTTGAAAAAGGGGATTGTTTACAGTGGGGGATTGATCCAGTGGCAAAAAATGTGCCATTTTACATCCGGGAAGTATCAAAAATGTGGCAAAATGCTTCCCTCTCCAAGCGAAAAAAACTTTGTTTTGAAGCTGTTTCCCTCACAAAAAGATCGGCTGAAATCGGAGTTTTTTGAATTGGAAAGGGAGGTATTTTGCCACATTTTTTGATACTTCCCGGATGCAAAATTATATGTTTTTTGCTACTGGATCAGGTCCCCCATCGTAAGGAGGAGTTTTTGAAAAAGCAGACTGCTTACTCAAAGAGGGGAGTGTTCAAAAATCAGCAGTGTTCGGTTTGGGGGAGGGTTCGAACTCGACAAAAAAAGATTTAAACCTTTATTACAGTAAGACATATCCTTTTTTTGATCCTATCACAGTTTCAGAACCCTCAAGCCCTGGTCTACCAAATTTTGATCACATCAATACCAAACTGCTTGAATATCCGACTGTAAAATTACTGCTTACCTGGGAATTTCGGAAGTTTCCTCTTCCATCCTTTTCTTCTTTTCCTTGGAACTTCTTGCCCCTCTTCCATTGCTCTCGTAACTCCCAACGAAAATTCTTGATTTGCCATTTGAATTGTTCGATAGAATATGTAATCCGCCAAATATTCGTTATGCTCCTGCAGTATAGCTGTCAATTCATTTGTCACATTTTTAAAAGCCGTTTCGTCTTCAATGGTCAATTCAAAATCATCATCAGTGATGTTTTCCTCAAGCTCCGGCGTCAAATTGACCAGGCCTTTGAGACACGACTTAACTTTGAAGGAAGTTCCATATTTTTCCTCGAATTTTTTTACAGTAATCGGTGAGTAGATGTCGCTGAAATTTCGCATATCCAAATCTTGCGATCTCCGAGCCGCTGCGAAAAATTGGCCTTCAATTTGGACAAAAGCTGTGGCCATTTCCAAAACGTTCTCTTGAATTTCGTCAATGTCGTTGCGAATATATTGCAGGTACTCGTTCAGCTCTTTGGCTATCTCTCTGATTTTACGCTTGCTTTCTTCTTCAAACTCCTCAGCCGCCAAATAAACCGAATATCCCTTGTTTGGATGCCGACTATTCGTGTAAATCATACTGCTCACAACGATATCTTGGCCATATTTTCCGCTCAAATAGCCAATGATATAACTCAGCTCTTCTGGAGTTACAATAGCATTTTTACTGTCGTTATATTGCAGACTAAATTTGTGGCCAAAAACCTCTTCAATTTCAGTTACAACCGCCTTGGCGACGTCCACATCATCGTATGTTTTATGGTAATCCTCTCGACATTTATTGTAGAAAGTCTTGGCTTTCTTCACAGCCTGGTTGTCGCCCTTTTTGATATCGATTATCATCGATTTCACCAGCGTCAAAGTGTTTTTCAAATCAAGGTCAGTAAAGGTGTCTCTGCCATTGTAATTGTTGCATGTGTAGCTGTAGAAGTCTTCGCATGGATCGATGGAGTTGTCAACGCTGTCCTCGAAATACTTGGCGCATTCCAAGTACTTTTTAGAGTGATTTGGTTTTCTTCTGGGAACGTTAAGATTGGGTAGGGCCTTATCGTATGTAGGAAGGCCAACTGAAGTCTTGGCTGGAGAATTCCAGACCTAGAATCAATAAAAATTATTTGTCAGTAAAACTATATGAGAGAATACGAATGGATACAGTGGCGGACCTGATCCGGTGGCAAAAAGCGCACCATTTTGCATCCGGGAAGCATAAAAAATGTATCAAAATACCTCCCTCTTCAAGCGAAAAACCCGTTTTGAAGGGGCGCGCTTTTGAAGTCGGAGCTACTTGGAGAGGAAGACATTTTGCAACATTTTTTAATACTTCCTAGATGCAAAAAATTACGTTTTTTTCCACTGGATCAGGTCCCCCATTGTAAGCGTACTATCTAAAAAGCTATGGGCCGTTAAAATTTGCCCGCTATTTCAAAAGCGCGCCCTTCAAAACGGAGATTTTTTAGTTGGAGAGGGAGGTATTTTGCTACATTTTTAATACTTCCCGGATACAAAATGATACGTTTTTTGCCAATGGATCAGGTCCTCTTTAAGCCATTCTTTCTCCCTTTACCTTAGCAAAATTCTTTGGAGCATACAAGCTATCAGCCTTGCAGTGATATGCAGTCCGGAACTCCTCACTGTTCCTCAAATGGCCAAGAACTTTAATGTTGTTGGGAGTTGCGAATGTATCAATACGATTCTTTTGGCAATATTGTTGAGTATGCAATAGGAAGTAGAGTTGATCAGATGAAAGATGGGACAAGGTCTTGTTGGGCAAAGCAAGGTCATCTCCAAAATAATTGGAATAACTTTGGAGACCACGGAGGGAGAGCTGAAATAATATACAGTGAGAGACCTGATCTGTTGGCAAAAAACGTATAATTTTGCATCCGGGAAGTAATAAAAATGTGGTAAAATGCATCCCTTTCCAAGTGAAAAAACTTTGTTTCAAATGGCTTCCTTTACAAAAAGAGCAGGCGCGCTTTTGAAATCTTTTGAAATTTTTCACTTGGAGAAGGAAGTATTTTGCCACATTTTTGATACTTCCCGGATGCAAAATGGTACGTCTTTGCCACTGCATCAGGTCCATCACTGTACATGTGCATTATAATAACAAAGAGCCGATTACCTTTAACCCAACATTCTCCGCTAATTCCTCATTGATATTCCAGCCTCTCCCACCTCCAATCACTTCATACCCCTTCTCCAATTCATCCACCATCTCCTTCACTCTTTTTCTTGTCTCAGCCTTCATCCATTTACTGAACATTCCAAGTTCATTCCTCTCCAGCCCACTTTCATCGAATAGTTTTCCCAAGATTTTCCCAATCTTATCTCCAATCATCACGAATTTCCAAATTGCTGGATGCCCTTCATGAACAAGGTCGCGTTCAAGGAAAGGCAAGGGCAAATAGAACGAATTAGTATCATAATCGACTGTGGCTTCGAATTCCGTGGTAATCTGGCTACTGAATGCTGACAAAAAGTCGTCTCTCCGGATCTCTCCGCCTTGCGTTAGCCGTTGATACATTTTGATCCGTTTGAAAGCATTCGCCTCCAGCCATCTTGTCGCAATATCAGCATTCCGAATGTGGGTTAAATTACTGTAGAGCAAATCGAGTTTTTTGCCATCTAACACCCATTTTGGAGCTCCATAAATCCTTGAGATTTCCTTAATCTTCGATGTTAAGACCTTCTTTTCGCTCAATGACAGCCATGACAGTTGATTAAAAATGTCTTCGAAAGATTGCAGAACATACTCGGCAATTGTTGCAACTTCTTTTTGACGGATTTTAAAATCATCATTTTTGGGATATAACGCTTTTACCGCGAGATTTCCAAAGATCGGCGGGTAAACATGCGATAAAAGGGATAAACAAGACTTCCTCTTGTCTGACTCATCATTCCCACTAATTAGGGGTTGAAATAACGAAGATCTCAGCCTCTCTGAAATCTGAATTTCTTTTGCATCAAAGAAAAATTGATATTTCCACAAGATTCTCAGCAAAATGCTGTCCAAAAACGCATTTTTCTCCTGCTTGAAGGCTGTGCAAACTGCGTAATGTCGTTCAATTTGCCTTGGCTTATGGTAGATGGCCACTTTGCTTTGACGATTCAGGATATATTGTAGAAAATTTGTGATGTTCTTTCCTTCATTTTGGTAGATTCCACGAATGAATCCGCTGATTTTGAAGAACGGAAATAAGTGATGGAAATCGTGCAAAGAGACGATATCATAGTCAGAATCTTGGGTATGACGTTGAGTGGAAGCAGTCAGCAGCTCGGCTAGCTTCTCTTCAATCTCGATGGCTCTTAAAATTGAGATTTTAGCTGAATTTGCATCAATGTCAGCGATTTTCCCAAGAAATTTCACTGAGATTTCAATATACTCTTCTTTGATTTCGCGCCATTCAAGTTGGCCGTAAATCTGTGGTTGGAAAGTCAATTCAAAGCCGTTGTAAGTCAGTAGATAAGGGTTGGTATTGAATTGCTTTCGTAAATTGGGTTGGACGTCTACCTTGAAGAAGGGATGAATGTCGTATGTTGAGGAGAGGAAATGGCCAAATTCTCCAATCTCCGGCAATGTGGCACTGTCATAGGTGGCATTGCTGAGGAGGGGAAACTTGATTCCAAATTTCTCGTCGATTTTGTCTATGAAGATTTTGATGAGACTCGCGTTGAAATGCTGACCGGAGCAGGCTTGGAAGAAGGATTTTCCGATCTTGGCAAATCTCTGAAAAACGTTTTCTAAACCTTTTCGGAAAGGGTAAACGCTTTTTCAAGCATTGTTCGGCTATTGCAGCGGCCCGTCGGGAAAGTAACCTGGATTTGGTAGCTTTGCGAAAGCTGACTGCTGGAGATTTGGTGCGCGACTGGCGCTTCGACTTTTTGGGTCAATAAGAGTTCAGCGACACTATGAATCGCGAGTGAGCCCGAACTCTCCCCCTTTTCTGAACTCTCCCCAATCAGAACTCTCTCCCTTTTTGAACACACCCCTTGAATGAACTCCACGGCAACCCGAAATAGAAAAAAATGACCCTCTTGAAAACTGAAAAAAATTGGGTGTGACATGTTATACGAAGGATTTTTTCTGAATTTGAAAAAATTTTTATGTCACATCTAATTTTTTAATTTGAAAAAAAAAATTTCATCGTATAACATGTCACATCTAATTTTTTAAATTTGAAAAAAATTTTCATCGTATAACATGTCACACCTAATTTTCTCAATTTTCAGAATGGGGGCGTGCTCAAAAAAAGGGGAAGTTCGGGCTTTTTTGGGGGAGAGTTCAAAAAGGGGGAGAGTTTGCCTGCAACGACTCGAACTGTCGTCAACCCGCGGGTTGGCGACAGACAGTTCGAGTCGGTTGCAACCCGAAGAGTCGGGACGCGATGCGACTGCGACAAGGCAAGACATTTTTCTTGGAAAAATCCACATTATTTTCCCGACAGCCTGATAGTAACATCTTGGACATTTTCTGATTCCTATTTTACCTCATCATTTGATTGAGTAGTCTCCAAATACTGGATAATTCTCTCCTTGACATTTTCTTTAATGCTCCTCTTTAAATCCACATCTACATCCTTTGCGTTGCTGCAAGCAAACTCACAAAAATTCTCGCACGGCGAGTACTCAACACTCATTCGTTGAGATATGAATTCTGCAACTTGTTCATATTCTGTGGAGTTTCCAACGGCTTTATTTCCAATTTCCAACGACGATTTCACGGGGGGTGTTGGAGGAATTCCTTTGACTGAAAGAATGTGCAGTTAGTTTTAAAAAACATCGTTTTTTTGCTTACAGTAGCAAAACTGTAAGCAAAATTTTCACGTACCTGCTTTCGCCTCCGAATCCCAGATGCGGCAGTGTTCTTTTGGCGCGTATTTCGACTCCGCTGGGCAGTAGAAAGCGGATTTGAAAGCTGCGAAATTTTGAAGGACTCCCTCGGCTGACTCGTCGTTTTCGGTGTGAATATTGGTATAGGATATGAAGAATACTTGATCATGAGTGAGTTGGGAAAACTGCTTGTCCGGGAAGAGCTTGTCCTGACCGTGTAAATCAGCATGGGCCTCATAGGCGTTATACGCCGCTTTGATTGCTGAAACAAGGAAGACATTGTGTTATTACAGTTAGGGCCTGTTCCAGTGGCAAAAAACATACTATTTTGCATCCGGGAAGCATTAAAAAATGTGGCAAAATGCCTCCCACTCCAGCTAGAAAAACTCCGTTTTGAAGGTCCCTTACAAAAAGAACGGACGTGCCTTTGAAATCAGAGTTTTTTCACTTGCAGAGGGAGGTATTTGGCTACATTTTTTGATACTCCCCGGATGTAAAATGGAACGTTTTTTGCCACTGGATCAGGTCCGTCACTGTGGTTTAATTTTGAAGCTTCAACGCTTGCTCTTTGACGAGTGCTATAGTTATAGCCGTTTCTAAAGACTTGCAGCGCTCTTATTGACTTCTTGTTAATATTTTGGGAAGATATTGAGAGTTCATCTACATATTAATCATTCTTCCTATAGCTCCGTTTTTGTGGCACGTTGGCTGGTTAATTTCGAAAACTTTTGTTAGCAGAATAAATAGAGAAGGAGACATGATCGAACAAGATCTCCAGTGATATTTTTTTATATTTCTGGGCGTTCAGCAACTTGGAATAACAAATAAAAGGATAAAAAATCACTACGCTTTTTAAAAATATTTTAAAAACTCTTCAAATTAAAGTCAGCTTACCTCCTCCATTCTCTACCACTCTCTTTATCACTATCTCATTGCTGATTTTTGTCTTGTTTGCAAGACATTCCTCCATCACAGCTTTCCCATCAATCGATTTCTCATCCATCCAATTCTCTAATTTCCCAATTTCATCCCACTGAGCTCCTTCGTCATCAACGGTCTTCATCAAAGCTTTGGCTATCAAAAATCCAAAATTTGCAAACTTTACAGACGTCGGGAAGTCTTTGTCGTAGATTGGCCGTCTAATCAGGCCAAGGGGAATTGTAATCGAGTTAAATTCATAGTCATAAGAGGGATTTAAGGAGGTTATCGGATGTAAAAACTCATCCCGCTCGGTCGAGCCAAGCAGTAGCTTGTTAAAATTTTGTTGAAAATTGAAGGTGTTGATATTTTTTGTGATTTGATTGTAATCAAGAGAATCTGAAGGACAATAATTTTAGAAAAAACTGTTATACACATGGATATGTATTTGGATGTGAGCTTACTTGAAATTTGAAGGTCATCAAATTTATCGATCAAATATTGATCAATGTTAATCTTGTCATTGAGCAGCAAATTTCTAGCCATGAATCTCAATTTCTTGCTGATTTTTTCTTTTGTCGATTCAGCCATCCAACCGAGCTTGTCTATTTGCATCTGGAAACATATGCAAATCGAAGTTACAAGGGCTAATATCAAATCTAGACGGGCCTGCACTTGTGGGCAGCCTCTTTGCGGGCAGCTAGAAGAACCACGGAGATTCTGCGGGCGTGTTTGGAAACCAGCCAACATTTCCTTACAACAGGAAAAAATACTTAATTCTACCGATTGATTTGTCGGTCAGATGTCACGAATTAAACTTCCAGGTGTACAGGGTGGGCCAAAAAATGGACAAAATTAACAGTCGGTGTATCTCGGCGCGAATACCGTAACCGATGGAAAGAAAAATAGTTTTATAATTGTCAAATGTCCTGCTTTATCACAACCATTGTTGACAAAAAGTTCCACAGTAAGTATGTTCAATTAATACAGGATTTTCATGCCATATACACTGCTCGACAAAATTGCTATGAATGCACTCCCAAAATAGCCGTAACTTTTGATATTAGGCCCCCATATGAAATATGGCACAGTTTTATTGAAAACAACAAAACTTACAGCGATTTTAAAAGTCCATTTATAATTTTTGTTTTTCACAAACTATGAAAAAGTCGAATAAAAATACATGTCCATTTTTTGGCCTACCATGTATATGCGGCTTGAATAGTTACCATAAATTCAACCAGTCATTTTTAAAGGTTCAGAAAGTTTGTAAACAAACTCCCATAACTTTGAAAGCGGTGGATGAACTCAATATATTCGTCTACTTTTCAGTACCAGGGAGTTGCCAATACAAACTTTCTATCATAATACGCAGATTACTGTAGAAGAATTGGTATTCTAATCGGTGAAAGTCAGCTGCCCACAAGAGTCACAACGCAAAAATCTCACCTGAAAACCCGCGACAACTTGCTCAACAACGCTTCCAATCTCATTTTTTAACTCTTCTAACTTCTTCGGATAAATAAATTTGTAATCTAAATAGATCCTTGCAGCCAGGTCGTTCAAGTTTTCGGCGGCTTTTTCTGCACATTTGGAGTTGAAATCTTCAAGAGCATTGACGGAAATCTCTCTTTTTTCCTGCGGAAAGTATACTTCTAGGTTCTCCAGAAGCTTCCAAACAATGTAATTGTAAATTGTTCTGCTTGAAGTTTGTCGGGAGGATATTAGGGCTTCCACTTTTTGCAGAAATGATGGGTCAGTTATGATGAATTCCAGCTCATTTCCTTGAAGATTTTCTTTTATGTCAGTGTTTAGCTGCTTAGATAACTCATCGAAATATGTTGTAAAGTCAAATGCAAATTCTTCGGCTGCTCCTTGTTTTGTGTAGACATTGAACTGCCTGAAATTAATGATCATATAAAAAAATGACAGGGAAGTTACTAATAGGCCTATTATAATAAGGGAAGTGCCCCAAATGCGACACTCAGATATGGATAAAATTTGGCACAAATGTAGAATAATTTTTTTTAAAATATATGCGACAATCCTAGCTGGCGCTTTGCAGAAACAACCGAGATTTTTAGATCGAAAGTCGGCGAAAATTTGACACTTTTTGTCGAATTTCGGCACGAAAAATTTCTTGCCTATTTCTACCATAGAGGGTAAGGTTTCCGCAAAAAATCAATTTTTTCCGCACGAAAATATATGCGAGTATCCTAGCTTGCGCTTTGCAGAAACAACCGAGATTTTCAGATCGAAAATCGACCCGAAAAGTCGACAAATCTCGCTTACTTTTCTTTACTGATCCTATCAAAATTTCTGGCTTCAAATGCAATTCTTCTCTCCAATTCGATCACATTCCAAGCGTCCAATTCAATCTCACTTTCATCTACAGTTTTGTTCAAAACTTTAGCGAATTCAACAAACAATCTTTTGACTTGTTTTTGATACTCTTTCTTCCCTTCATCCCACTTATTTTCATCTTTATCTTTTGCGAATTTCAACTCCGGCTGCTCCAGGAACACTCGATATCCCTTGTGGCCAAACAGCCCGGTCGGGTTTTTCCAATTTGTTTTTATCGATAGTTTGAGGAAGACATTGACGTCGTATTCTCGAAGAAGATAGCCAATGATTTCTGAGAGTTCTCTGGGACTTGGCTTTTCCAACGTAGCGTTAGATAGGAAGGCAAATTGAAGAGGTGTGGCAGAAACTACGGTTTTGTAGATCTGCTGAAGAACCTTGCCATTCTGATGAATGATTTCCGGATTCTTCTCGGCTTCACTGCATTTGTTGTAGTAGATTTTCGCTTTTTCGAGGACATTCAGCTTCTGAAATTTTGAAAATTCATTGTCGTTAGGACACCCATATGAAACAGTGTTTTATCAGCCTGCCGAGAAAATAATGAGCACACTGTAGCTTCGAAAATCGCATAGCCGCCGAGAAAATGAATTGTGTCGCGGCAAAATTGATTTCCTATTCAGCGACATGATCGCCGAAGCCACGTTGAGCCTACTATTTTCCCGACAGATAGACGGGTTTTTAATGACGTTAATTTTGGCTTAAAACTGTCACTTGTGTCCTATGTACTGCAGGACACCTGATCTAGTGATAAAAAATGTACCATTTTGCATCCGGGAAGTACCAAAAATGTGGCAAAATGCTCCCTTTCCCTCACGAAAAGAGCGGCTGAAACCGGAGTTTTTTCACTTGGAGAGGGAAGCATTTTGTCACATTTTTGATACTTCCCGGATGCAAAATGGTACGTTTATGGCCAATGGATCCCCCACTGTATAAGACCAGCACAAGCCGGTAAGAATTCAGCAAAAGGCTAGTAAAAGATTGCTATAGTGTTGTTGGGGTTTGACAAGAGTTCGAGTGAGAACTTCTAGTTCGCATTTTTACTATGCACATATTTGTTACGTAACTATTCATTTTCAATGCGTATACAGGGCTCATGTAATGAATCTGCAACCAGAGATTGCCACGGTCAAAATTTTGGCTCCGGCTCCGGCTCTTAGCTCCCAGAGCCGGAGCCGAGGCCAAATTTGCAGCTCCGGCTCCCGGCTCCCATGAAAAATTTAAAAATATATTTTTACAAATAAAAAGTTATTAGTGCCAGAGAGATTATACAGTTAACGTTTTTGCAGCCAAGTCGTATGCAAAACATCCTTCTGAGTATTTTTCAAGCTATTTGGTTTAACATTTTTTTTACTTTTCTGAACGCTGAGAAGCCTGGCTCCGACTTTGGGCTCGGGAGCCGGAGCCGCACCCAAAATTACCGGCTCCGGCTCTGGCTCCCGGCTTGGAGCCGGAGCCGCTCCGAGCCGGAGCCAAGAGCCGGCTCCGGAGCCGTGGCAATCTCTGCCTGCAACTCTGTGCTTGTTCTTCTTCTGCTATAGTTCTTGACTTGTATTGTAATCTAAAAACTCACGACTGGGTGTTCCAGTGCTCGAATCAGCTCTCCAACAACTTCTTGTTTCAGTTCCTCAAAGATATCCAAAGAACTTCCTCTTCTGCTATTAACATACTGATAAAATTCGTCACAAACACTAAACTTCGTATCTAGCGATCGTTTGATATGGCTGGAGATAACGGAATAAGCCTCGAATTTTTCGGGTTCAGAAATTCGATCGACAATTAGCGATGGGTGCAAATGGAGGCCATCTAAAATAAACTTTGATTTTGATCTTTGTTTACCTACCATTAGTTGTTGTTGAAACCTTAGCTGTAGTTTTACTCGTCAGTGAAGTTGAACCAGTAGTTGTTGTAGTTGAAGTCTCCACCTTCTTACTGTCATTGTCGAAATTTAGCGTATCATAATAAATAAACCCTCCAATTATAAAAGTTGCTACAACAGAAACTAAAATTAGCGATGATAGAATGTTTTGACATCTAGCTAGCTTATTGGTCATAGCTTGGGCATTTGAATGAGATCTGAAATGGCATAAAATGGCAAGTTTATTTTTGAGAAAACTCGAAGAGTTAAAAGCCAGGAGACAAAAAAAAAGATTGCATTATTTTTAACAACAAAAGAAATGGTGATAAGGACTCAAAGTATCAGTGTTCAGTAGCAATGGTCTTGACTTCCTAACAATAAGACATTAAAAAACTAGAAGATTGAGAGAGCTTTTTTAAAGCACGAGAACTATGAAAATTGGCACTCCGTATCGCTGTTGTTTACAGAAGAAAACTGCAGAACATCCATTGCCCCAGCGCAATAGCGGATTCAAAATAAAGGCTTTGCTTTTGAGGCTTTCAGGCTTAAATCCAGCTTGACAGAGACTCCTTACACTGAGACGTACAGTCGTAGACCTGATCCAGTGGCAAAAAACGAACCATTTTGCATTCGGGATGTATCAAAAATGTGGCAAAATGCCTCCCTCTCCAGCTAAAAACCTTCGTTTTGAAGGGCGCGCTCAGACGCTGGAGACATTTTGCCACATTTTTGACACTTCCCGGATGCAAAATGGTACGTTTTTTGCCACTGGATCGGGTCCCCCGCTGTAGAAAAAAGGTCGCCTTTCTACATCCCAATCAAAGAAACAACTTGTTACAACTGCGTATTGGAATCAAAATTTATAGTCTTAGAAAGCGCCTAATACAGGGTCTTACAAAAAACGTGAAGGAAAGTGGAAGGCTATAACTTCCGGCGGAGGCGGCGCAGAGACTTCGTATTTGAAATGTGTATTTTTAAAAGACATAAGTTTTTGTCTACGAAATAACATGCTTTTAAAGTTCAAACTGAGGTTGCTACGACCTTCTGAAGTAGAGGCATCTCTACCCCGAAAACCAGGTTTTTTCGGTTGAAAATGATCGAGAAATTTCGGACTTTTTCGGTTGAAAATCACCAAGAAATGTCGGATTTTTTGGGGGGTTTCGATATGGGTGATGTTGAAAAAGAGGAGGAAAGTGCCAACACTTGCGAATTATGCAAAAACTCAAATAAAAAGAAAAAAATCATTTACCAAACCCCCAAAAAATCCAACATTTCCTGGTGATTTTCAACCGAAAAAGTCCGAAATTTCACGATCATTTTCAACCGAAAAAACCTGGTTTTCGGGGTAGAGATGCCTCTACTTCAGAAGGTCGTAGCGACCTCAGTTTGAACTTTAAAAGCTTGTTATTTCGTAGACAAAAACTTATGTCTTTTAAAAATACACATTTCAAATACGAAGTCTCTGCGCCGCCTCCGCCGGAAGTTATAGCCTTCCACTTTCCTTCACGTTTTTTGTAAGACCCTGTAATTATAATCTACATGCAGAAAACCCCTGGAACCTTTGCAAAACTACAAATCAATTTTCAGCTTCTACTGTAATCAGTAGCCTTATGATCATTAAATGTTTCCAAACCCCTCATTTAATTAATTAAGAAGAGGTCGTAAAATGCTGGTACATCTATGAAATTGAGTGCTACTGATAAGAAACTTGTCTTTTCAGCAATGTCACTTCTGCGAATACCTCGATCATATCACTTTAATCGGCTTAAAATTCACTTTTATTCGTGATAAACGCATGCAAGATAACGTTGAAAATTTAAATATAATAAATGCGATATGTGGGGTGAAAGAGTTAGTCCACTTTGTACAATGGGCTTTGTCGGAGTTTAGTGTTGTCCAAGACATCCTCAACGTCTTGGGGAATGTCCAAATGGACCTCAACTTTCACTGGCTGTTCTGAAACGTTGTAGGAGAAGAGAATTGCCTTCTGGCCAAGTTGTGAGTCTACGTTGACTCCATAAGTCTTCGATATGACACTTGAAACGTCTGCCGTAGCTTTGTCTGAGAATTGGAAGTACAATTTGACGGAGACACCAAGAATCGGGTAGTTGTTGTCCTCAAAGGCCTTGACAGCCGCGTCAATGTTATGCTTGACCTTTGAGAACTCGTTGAGGAACTCAAGACGGCTCTGAAATTGATTACCGACAATACAGTGGCGGACCTGATCCAGTGGCAAAAAAATACCGTTTTGCATCCCGGAAGTAGCAAAAATGTGGCAAAATACCTCCATTTCCGAGTAAAAGACACCGATTTCAAAAGCGCGCCCGCTCGTTTTGTGAAGGAAAAGGGGCGCTCTTGAAACCTGAGTTTTTTTTCACTTGGAGAGGGAGGTATTTTGCTGCATTTTCAATACTTCCCGGATGCGAAGTGATACGTTTTTTGCCACTGGATCCGGTCCTTTACTGTAGATTTTGTTTTCAAGGCGTGGTATTTTAAAGCCTTTTACTTACATTCTCAGCCGCCTTAACCACCGCTGATCCATACAAATTCACAGCTTTCTTCTCTCTGAATAACGTCCCCAACTTCTTCACGGCCTGTCTGTAAAACACCTCCGGTTCTTCGGCAAACTCTTGCAGCGGGCTGAAGAAGACAAAGTCCATGGGAAACACGGGCATTGCAGCGCGATTGGCCAGCACATAAGCCATGTCCTCAAGCCAGAAAGCATGTCCATGTCCGGTTGTGGAACGTTCTCCGATTACTTCGCCTTTTCTTGGGTTCTCGGAGACCCGACCACCTGGTTGATGACGATTTTTTCGAGGGTCAAATTGAAGCTCGGCATGAACTGTGACGTCGGTATTGTTGTATTCGAGGACGGTTTTGAAATCGACGTAATCATCGGGCCGTACGGTAACGTTGAAGTGTTTTTTGAGAATAGCGGGGTAGTTGTAGGTGTCGTGGCTGACCTAAGAAAGTAATTTCAATTTCACACAGTGGGGACCTGATTTAGTGGCAAAAAACGTTTTATTTTGCATCCAAGAAGCATCAAAAAATGTGGCAAAATACCTCCCTCTCCAAGTGAAAAAAATCAGCTTTCAAAAACGCGACCGCTCTTTTTGCAAGGAAAAAGGGCGCGCCCTTCAAAAAAAAGTTTTTTCACTTGGAGAGGGAGGCATTTTGCCACATTTTTGATACTTCCCGGATTCAAAATGCTACGTTTTTTGCCACTGAATCAGGTCCCCCACTGTACGAAATACATGAAATTGGTGGTCAATAATATGACTGCTTGAATATAAAATTGACTGCCTTTCCGTTGCGATCAAAAATTTGTTACCCTACCGTGTAATACATTAACCACTGTAGTCTAACATTAAAGCTTTGAATCTCCAATTCATTTTGTTTTGCAGCATCGACGATTGCTTTGATTCCATCAACTGTCCGTTCGACCTCCGCTTCCAAGAATTTTTCTCCCTGGAAAAAGAGACTTTTCATCGAAAACAAGTTGTTTGCTTACAAATTGCTCGAATCGATAAAAGAAACCGCCGTCCAAAATCAGCTTTTTAGCGTCTTTATTGATCTCCTTTAGTCGTTGAAAAGCTTGCGAGTACTTGGCGAGTTGATCTCCATCTTGATTTAGGAGGACATCCAAACTCACTGTGTCTCCGTTGGCCAGTTTTGGAGTTTCATGGCCAAGAAGTTCTTCTAGTCTTGGGGTGTAGGAGAAAAAGCGCGCTGAAATTTTGAATTAGGGGGTAGACTAAAGAACAGTCATTTTTTTTGCAAATGCGTGAACACAGAAACCCATAAAAAAGGAGAGGTAAAAGGAATGCAAATTTTCAAAATATGAATGAATGGTGTCTCGGTTGTGCCTCGCACAGCATTCCGAGTTATTTTTGCCGCCGACCGGCGTCCGAAAAAAATGAAAAAATGAGATACGCCTCTTAAATTTTTGCCAATATCTCGCTAGCCTCGAAGTGTAGCGTGAATCTGAAAATTGTGTTTCAAAGCTGACACATTTGCCCTTCAGAATATATTAATTTTGTAATAATACTTATTATGTACGGCAAGGAAACCGTTGCTGAAAAATGGCAAATTTCAACATTCAATGCCAGAAAAATGTACTTTCTAAGTGCCAGATCACAAAATTATGGGCCTCATTGTGTACATCATCTTGAATACTATAAGATATAACAATTTCAGGCATTTTCTGGCCCGATTCGCAGAGTTATACCCGAAAAACTGCAATTTTGGCCTTCTTATTGTGCTATCTGCACTTTAAAAGTACATACAAAAAATCCCTCTTAAATTATTGTGGCCCAGGTTGTCATGGACCATTGCGCAAAATCTCAGCTTTCCCGGACTCCTCCGGAAAAAGTTATAACCGTTACAATGTGTGACCCTTGTATGCCCAATATTTTGTAAAATACAGTACACCATGGCAAAAAATAGCTCTATATGGCCTACGTAAACTTACTCGAAACCTGAACACTGTCTCTCAGATTTTTCCGCACGAGGGACACGATTTCAAGTTTTCGCTACACTAAAGGGAAAACAGTGAAAAGTTGGGGACATAGCTGGGAAATTTTTTTATGTAGTTGACCGTGTAATTACGATAAAATTGTTGTACCCCAACCAACGCGACAGCAGCAATAGAAATTCCATCATGTAACACCATATTGCACCATAGTTCACCGTATTTTACTAAATATTGGACATACGAGGGTCCCATATTGTAACCGTTATAACTTTTTCCGGAGGAGTCCTGGAAAGCTGAGATTTTGCGCAATGGTCCATGACAACCTGGGCAACAATAATTTAAGAGGGATTTTTTGTATGTACTTTTAAAGTGCAGATTGCACAATAAGAAGGCCAAAATTGCAGTTTTTCGGCTATAACTCTGCGAACCGGGCCAGAAAATGCCTGAAATTGTTATATCTTATAGTATTCAAGATGCTGTACACAATGAGGCCCATAATTTTGTGATCTGGCACTTTGAAAGTACATTTTTCTGGCATTGAATGTTGAAATTTGCCATTTTTCAGCAACGGTTTCCTTGCCGTACATAATAAGTATTATTACAAAATTAATATATTCTGAAGGACAAATGTGTCAGCTTTGAAACACAATTTTCAGATTCACGCTACACTTCGAGGCTAGCGAGATATTGGCAAAAATGTAAGAGGCGTATCTCATTTTTTCATTTTTTTCGGACGCCGGTCGGCGGCAAAAATAATTCGGAATGCTGTGCCTCGCAGAAAGGAAAGGGTGTTTTTGCCAACTACTTTTTGAATCTCCATTTATAAAGCCATGCAGAACAAAGAGACCGTTTCTGCGAAGAGTAGTAAGAACTCTGTCCTAGAGGCTCTGTATTAAATTTCTCAAAGTTTGAGCAATATTTTTACAAGGAAAGTACTTTTATGGTGGCTCCTACTTTTGGACGTGACAGTTTAGCACTTACAAGGGAAGTACCCCAAGCGCGACGCTCAGATTTTCTTTAGATTTTGCACACATATCAAGCATGAACTTAAATCAATTTCTCAAAGTTTTATCTCGCCCTTTGCGGGCGCTGCCGAGATATTGGACAATTTTTGCCACCGAGAGAATACACTAAACGTGGAGAGCGGTCAGAGATAAGAACACATTTTGACCATAACTTTGCTAGTTTCGGACGGAAAGATTTTCTTTTTTTGTGGAAACATTACCCTTTACAGTAGAAATAGGTGTGAAACTTTTCGTGCCCAAGTTCGGCAAAAATTATCAAATTTTCGCCGACTTTCGATCTAAAAATCTCGGTTGTTTCTGCAAAGCGCAAGTAGGGATTCTCACATAAGTCTTAGAAAAAATACTCTAAATTTGTGCCATTTTTCATCAAGATCTGAGCGTCGCTCTTGAGTTATTTCCCCTGTTAGTAAAGTTCTCTATAATGACAATTCTTCCCAATATTTCATGCTTCCTTTGATAAATCAAACCTCCAGAAATAAATCTTCGATATGATGACCTAATCTTCCACTTAGAGTTGGTTTGAGGCTTTCATCGACTTACCATAACCGCAAACAAAAACAGAAGTCAAAAATAGCAGCCCGAAGCCGGGACTCGTCATTGCCTCCGAAAACAGATGTATTAAACTATTTGAACTACTTTTTCGCCCATTTTTCTACCTGTTTTATGGAACAGCGGAGGAATTAACAGCCATAAAAGGGTACGACGTAAACGCGCGCCCCTCTTCCGACCTTTTATTTTGACTAAAAATTAATTCATTGCGAAAGTGATTGGAAAAACAAGAGTGGATTCCGCTTTCTGATCGTTCAAGTTCAGAGGTAGACGCTTATAATTAACTCAAGTTTGTTGCGTCGGGCGCGAATTAGTTATTAGAGGCGAACGGTAATGTTGTTGTACGTCAGCGGAAAACTTTTGATTACAATTTGAATGTTTTTAATTTTGACGATTTTTTGCACTCTTTTGCTAACATTGGCTTTGAAAATACATTTTTGATGACTTTTGCACTCTTTCTTGCTAACATGTGGCTGAAAAGGACATTTCAAGGGTAAGTATTCAGAATGTGACGCTCAGAGTTTGGTCAACTTGCAGGAAACTTTGGTTAATTTTTTCGAAGACAGAATTCTAGTTTGCGTTTGGCAGAAACGACCGAGATTTTTAGGTCGAAAGTTGTAAAAAATGTAACGTTTTTTTGGCAAAATTTGACATGAAAATTTTCACGCTTATTTCTAATGTCGAGATTACAAAAAAAGTCATTTTTTCTCACAAAGATACGGCCAAAAATTGTTTTTATCTTTGACCGCATTTTATCGTACTCTCTCGACCACAAAAGCCGCTGAATATCTCGGCCTCATCTGCAAAGCGCAAGCCAAAACTTTCAGGCATTGACCTGTGAACCATACCAGATGTGTACGGAAAAAAGTAACCGGAAATTGTGAGCGTTGCACTTCAAACAACAGTATTAAAAATAAAAAATAGTACAGAAAAACAGATGTCCAACACAAGTCAACCATAAATTCATGCATACTTTTCATACATAATGGATGATTTTATTAGTTTATTATTTTTACGGATTGGTCAATGTGATGGAAGCAAACATAAAACAAGTGACTATTATGACTATGCATCTACATACAACGTTGTTATATTGTATATCATAATTCATCTTACCAAAAAACGACGGTACTTTAAACGAAACTCGGCTAACAGGGGAAGTATTCCAAGTGCGACGCTTAGATTTTGATGAAACTTGGCACAAATTTAGAATATTTTTTCTAACAATATTCTAGTAAGCTATATGCAAGATTCTTAGCTCGCGTTTTGCAGAAACAACCGAGATTTTTAGATCGAAAGTCGGCGAAAATTTAGGACTTTTTGCCGAATTTCGGCACGAAAATTTTCATGCCTACTTCTACTGTAAAGGATAATGTTTCTATAAAAAATCAAAGCTTTCCGCACGAAACTGCCAAAGTTATGGCCAAAAAGCGCTTTTCGCTTTTCTCTCTGACCGCTCTCCACGTTTAACCTGCTCTCTCGGCGGCAACAATCGTTCGATATCTCGGCGTCGCCCGCAAAGCGCGAGCCAAGACTTTCAAGAATTGATATCTAGTCCATACCCGACGTGTGTGCAAAATTTAAACAAAATCTGAGCGTCGCACTTGGAGTACTTCCCCTGTAAGTCGAGAACAGTCTCTTATTACGACAGAAAAAAATAATAGTTATACGTTTTATACTCTTTTATTATTAACCAATTACACATCTGCCTTTCAAACAGTTAGTGAAATTTGGGGTACCACTTGTAGCGACTCATGCAATCCTTGCAAAAACAGACGTCGAAGTTGGATTGTCGATGCTGAGAGTTGCCTTGCGTTTGAGCCGTTGTGGTAGTTTCAGCGGGCATATAACGGCTTGGCGATGTGAAATTCGGAGACTTCTGAAAAAATAAATGTAATCTCAAAGACATTATGGATATTTTAGAGAAAATAAATTATATACCTTGACTTTTTCCACTTCCACAGGCGGCTTGGTTTCCGCGTTCGAATCCTTCTTAGTTTGCGGTGGCGGCGTTGAACATGGACTTGACAAATCGGATGGGCAAGAATAAAACGAATCTCTTGTTGTCTGGTTGTCCGCCGACGATGGTCGTGAAGTGAGGCTGGGCGAGACGGATTTCCTGGGACCCCAAACATCCAGGTACTCAACAAACACAAAGTTATCGCCAAAGTCTAGAGCCATATTTCGGATAGGCGGAATCTACACGGGGATCGAAGGATAATGATTTTATTTTGATGAAATGGGAAAATCGGAGAATTTTCTGTGCCACATTTTCTGTCATTCTTTTTCTGCATGATGATTGCGTTGCTTTTCAAGCGGCCAGTGATTGTTGCGTACGTTCAATTTTTACTTATGCATATAACCCTTCATCTATAATATAATAATTGGAGACGATATAAAAATCAATGTCAATAGGCTCTAAATACACATTGTTAGGTATCAAATAAATATAGATTCAAAAATTTTTCAGTTAAAAAATCATAAGACCACTAAAATTTAGTCTTACGAGGGAATGGTCTGAACTTCCCCCAGCGTTTGGGAAAATGACTAGTACAGGCGGATAGAGCAGGTCAACTTTGGTAAAAAGAGCCATTTTCCAGCTGCGGAATAAGCCCGGCCGACGAGAAAAATCGACCGAAAGTTCCACAAAAGTTTCCTCTTTCTCTTCCCTCGGAAAAGGAGAGCGGTGTCCAGTGGTTCGGTTAGCCGAGTGGATAAAGCATCCGCTCGATATTCTTTTGGGGGTTGGTTCGATTCCGGGGTCTCGCGAAGGACCGTGATAGGGCTTTGATGAGCAAGATCAAACTCTGACCACAAAAAAAAAATATTTTGTCTTTTTCAAAGTCAAGTCTATCACAAAACAAGTACTAGTCGGGACAAAAAGTCCTGATAATTTTGCACTGTGCGGATTTGAACGTTTAGGGTTGTCGCTGCGAAAATCGCGAAAAAAAGTGTTTTGCACGGTGCATTTGACCCGAAAAGGGCATTTGCACAGTGCATTTTTGTTTGTTTTTGCCTTACGTCGCGCGCGATTCCCACTTTTCGGAGCGACAAATCGTTTTTTTTTCAGAGTGCGACCGAAACGGAGAAAAATCCGCACAGTGCAAAATTATCAGGACTTTTTGTCCCGACTAGTATAACGTCTACGTTCCATCGCTTTGAAGGTTCGGAAGCACCGAAAAAATTCATTTTTTGACGATTATTGTTCTGGTGTAATTCCCGTATAAAACGTATAAAAATGGCAAAATATTTTTTGGGTTGTTAGAGTTTGATCTTGCTCATCAAAGCCCTATCACGGCCCTTCGCGAGACCCCGGAATCGAACCAACCCCCAAAAGAATATCGAGCGGATGCTTTATCCACTCGGCTAACCGAACCACTGGACACCGCTCTTCTTTTCCGAGGGAAGAGAAAGAGGAAATTTTTGTGGAACTTTCGGTCGATTTTTCTCGTCGGCCGGGCTTATTCCGCAGCTGGAAAATGGCTCTTTTTACTAAAGTTGACATGCTCTATCCACCTGTACTAGTCATTTTCCGAAACGCTGGGGGAAGTTCAGACCATTCCCTCGTTAATAATCAGGCAGTCTGATTCATAAAAAAAATTAAAATTTGTTGAATAACCATGCATTTTGATTACAAAGAATTTCGCAGACATGCGATTAGCTGCACTTTTATGGGCCTTGTCGACGACAGTATTATGCGCTCAAATCCATGGATGTGACTTTGAGATCCGAATAGAATACGTTGGCCCGGTTGATCAACCGTTAATCGTTCAGATTCAAGAGCCTAATGGAGCTTTATCGCCAGAGTAAGTGTCCAGAGTAATATCGATGTGAAAAATGTATTTTCCGTTATAGATATATAAAATAGTGTGTTGCTATGTAGCTATGCCCCAAATGTACTCAAGATCATTGCAGATTCCACTTCCAACGCCGCGGAGATACAGCGACTTATCGAGTAAGGGGGACCTGTAACACCAGGACATATATCCGCGTCTATAAGCCGTCGGACACTTGGACAATTGTTGGGAGGATATTTGAAACGTCCGGAGTTATGACTGGGAGAGGCTATACGGAATATAAGGTGAGATCAGCAAAGAGTAAAAGGTTTTCAAAGGATTCTCTTTAATTAGTTGTCGTTGGAACTTAATTTGCCTCAAATTTTGCGTTCACCGAGAATTTTGTCTGGATGAAGTCTAGTGTTCTATATCAGCGGGCATATCAAGTGATCTCTAACACTTTTCCCAAGCTTTTGTAAAAATCAGAAGACCACATTTGGCAACAAAAAATATATAAAAAAGTTCCCTTTTTAGCTTCTTTCCTCCGGTCTTATCTTCATGCACAACTCGTACGGAGTTCCTTGCGTTTTCGGGACTTGGGGAACTTGCGTCCGCAATCGATTCAACCAGCCCTTGACCAAGTACGATCCATTCGCTCGGCAACTGTAAAATCCCAATCTTGAAAAAAATTTTGTCATTCTTCGACAAACTCCTTGATAAAAATAATACTGTGAATATAATTAATCAAAAAATTTGTTATCTTTTTTGTTGGTTTCTATGGCGACCGCCCCTTGGCCATACGGCCGTACGTTGGCCACATTACTTTGCGCTCATTTACACCTTGCAAGACCCTATGGCAATAATTTCGCGGCCACCCGCGAAGGTGTCAATGCTAATTACCATACGCTCGACACCAAGATACCATCGACAGCGGCGGGATAATGGGATTGCTCATTAGGAACCATATTTATATCTTCGTTTCAAGGTAAAGATATCGTATGTCGATGTAAAGCTCTGCGGGTGGCCTCGAAATAAGGCGAATGTAGTTGTTGACCATGGAATGCGCTACAGTTCAGAGTGGCAAATTTTACATTACTGCTTTCCAATGACAAATAATTGTAAATAACAAAATGGCATTGTTGGAGGATACGATGGTGGTACGACCAGCAGTTGATGACATTGTGAATATCTTGTATGCAGTAGCTGACACAGACGTATTTACATTTTGTGCGGGTGGTCCGAATATTCATTTTCATTGCCCTGCGGCCATGATATTCATTACGTAATGAGTGGTTGCCAAGGCAACGAAATTTTGGATGCGAATTCTTTGAGTAATAGTTTTTACTACATTTTGAAGGCTTGATCAAGACATTCAAGAACAGACATCCAATTTTTTTGAAAGTTCGCTACAGTTATGACAGAAAAAACTACAATTGTCCATGTCGCAGCAGAAAAAAATCAGCAGAAAATCATGAAGATACGCAACGCCTCAGAACTTCCTTTTGCGCAATAAACAGAAAATCAAAGATAAATCAAAATCAAAATAAGCAGAAAAATACGCAATGGGCAGTATATAAGCAAGAAGAATTTTATAATTTTCATCACATCATTTCCTTTGGATTAATATCAGCTTCAGTCCAATTTCCAAGATGTCCCAGGAGTTTGCTGATAACTTTGTGTTCGCGGAGTTCCTTGATGTTTGGGGGCCCAAGCCTTCTCGCGCTTCGCCTTCTGTGATCCCCAGCCCCGTCCCGAGCCAAGGCTTCGACTCCAGGCCATCTTCTACCTCGTCCGCGCCATCGGGATATTCATCTTATGAATGCCCCTCGCCTACCTATTCGGAGTGGTCTACGGCGTCCGAAACTTTATTCCAGCCTACGCAGTATTGTGCGGTCCAGCCTCAATACATTGGCCAAACCGGCTATTATAATGTAAGTTGATTTTTTTTTGTTAATTTTGAATATTTTAGCTTTAAGGTCTTACTAATACATTATATTTACAGCAGCCTCAATATTATTGCCCTCCAGCCAACGCCCAAACGCAATACCCAATGGGAATGGGCTCATATGGAATGCCGATGGCCTACCAACCTCAGCCAGCGCCCTACCAGCCTCAGGGCCATCTCTGTCAACGCGACGCCAACTACGATGTCTGCTTTTGTCGACATTGCATGCAGAAAAGCCGCAAGCCCTACAGGCATAATTAATTTAATTCCGATGATTTAAATATGATTTTTAACTCGTTTATCCATTTTTTATCATTGTTCCCGGTATTGTATTAATAAAAAATATTATAAATAATCTATCGGCTTATACTTTCCATCATAAAAAAACACTCATCATTTCATTGTATTTTACCCATTTCTATAAAATAACACAAAAAAATAGCCTTAAAACACGTAAAAAATCTTAGCGGTTTCAAATCTAACGAAGCGTGAATTTGAATCAAGGAAACGAGGGGTTTCCGCGGCCCGATCAGAGAGAGTCGGCTAATTTGGAAAAGGGGTTCTCTACCAAAAATTTTTGCAAAATGAAAAAAGTCGTTTTGGTCATTCGGGGATTTGCGGTTGAATCTTTGGTCGTTAAAATTTTTGTTATTTTGGGGCGGCTTCTTGAGATTATAAATATTTTGCAATTAACGTCTGTAAGCCTGAAGGTTATCTTGTACTTCAGGTTACAATGAACCTCAAGATCTTTGTCATCGTACTTCTGCTCTTTATAACATCGGAATCTCGTCGAAAACAAGGTCGGGGAGACGATGGCAACAAGAACAAGCTTGGGATGGGATCAATTCAATCGAAGTGGAACGACGATGAAGAGGAGCTAATAAACAATAATATCGGCTATACGCCTCTGACTCAAGCTCCCTTAACAACAACCACTACTTCGGTTACCACAACTACTACTACTTACCCAAATTAGTGAGCCATAATTTCGATTACAACTTTATGTTTTAGCAACGGCATCCGACCGGAGTATCAAGAAGTTCCTCCTGCAGAAACAACTCCGATTCCAGTGGTTATCCCTCCAACAACCCCGGAGCCAGAGGATCCGGAGACAACCGAAGTCCCGAGGGATGATAAAGCTACAGCTCCGAGTAAGTGATCGCCGGTATACCTTTGTAACGAACTATGAAGTATAGCTCTTGAGGCGTCGAACAAGACCATTTTGTGGATCGATGCAACGTACAAAGCGGAGGATAAAGGGATGAATTTATCGACGCTAGCGGAATGCAAACCATGGATTGAGTATTGGAATGAAAATTTGAATTTGACGGTAGGAGGCCTTCAAAAGACAGCCTAAAATATTTTTACAAAGCAATTGCAATTTCTCTTTGGTTTAGTCAACAAATTCTACTGTCGAGTTGTCCAATGAAACACTGAAATCGACAACTGAATCTGAGGACTCCTCGGAGGAATCCGAGAAGGTCGAAAAGATGGAATTTGAAGTCATTGACTCTAGCTCTCGACTAGAAGAAGTTGGCCTCGATCCTGAGCTTCTAGACGAATACGAAGCCATTGGAGTTGTCTACAAAGAAGTTTGCGGCAACCACTCCCGGCAGCTTTGGTATAGTGACCCTACAATGGCGAGGAAGATTGGAATTGACGAGAAAAGCACAATTTGCGACCCTTTTAAGGTAAGTTTCTTTCACAGCTCCTTGAATATTGACCGTTTTAGGAAGAGCTACATCCAAATGCTGAGACACTGACAAACTTGGCGATACAGTTGAACGAGGTCATTAAAAACTTTACAAAGAATATTACTGTGACAGAAAAAAGCAACGAGAATGTGACGACGTTGAGGCCAGAAAATCTAGAATACACTACAAAAACATACGACGAAAACATGATGGGAATGTTCAAGGATTCGGTAGGTTATTTGGAAAGGAGTACTTTAAAAATGCCATTTTACTTATTGAATTTTCAGCCTCAATACGAAATCCAACAAAGAGTTGTAATTCGTCGGCACCGACGCGCCGGTGACACCGTAGTAATTGAGCAGGCAGAAGAAGGAACCACTGCGGAACCAAAGCCAAACGAGGAGAGTCCGGATCAGGACTGGCTTGAGGACATTGCGGTCGAAGAGAGGGAGCTGTTGACAGTCGCAAAACAAAAATTAGGCGACAACGTTTCGATCGAAGAAGCGTGGATTCAAATCGACGCAACGGATGAGACAAAGTAGGAGGCAAATTATATATATTTGATTGGTAAAATACGTAGGAATAAGTTCTTTGTTTTGATATTTCAAATCACCTAACTTGTTTACTTTCAGCCCTCTGATGTACATTTTGTCAACTGATGCGGCCAACGCCTTGAAGCTGAAGATTGATCCTCATAGCTTCAACCGATATGAAAAAGTGGTCCTGCATTTGCCTGGGATCTGCGCAGATTATGTTCCGACAGCCGTGGATTCGTTCAATGCCAGTGATTTTGAAGGTAATTTGATGTTTATCCTTCAGTCATGAGGGCTCTACTCTTTGGCGATTGATATGGGCTTCACGGATCGAAACCTTATGCTTCTGCCCAGTCACCAACATTTTTACTATAAAATACGTTGATTTTCAGGTATTGAGATCGAAGGTCCGATTGGAGTAAACATAACGGCCCTAGAGCTTGCCGGAGTCAACTTGACCGAACTCGCGGAAAAGCTGAGAAACGATACGGAAGTGGATGAAGTTTTGACCAGGACCAATGCTACAAGGTTGTTCATAAAAGTTCACAAGATATTTTTATTGTGTTTAGAACCCTCGGAGGTAGCTATATCATCCCGGTCCTACAGAAAAATCAATATGATGCTTTCTCGGCCCCAATCGTTTTCCAAGGATCGGCGGTGGTTGTGAGATTCGGAATCTACATCGAGTCAATGAGCAATTTCCAAACCTCAACGATGGTAAAGGAGTTTATACCTTACTCTTCATAATATATCATGCTATTTGTGCAAAGTAATTTCAGGACTACGACATGGATATATACTTAATAATGTCTTGGCGAGATGCACGGCTCGTCAACCCATATGGAAAACCAATATTAGTTAAAGAAGAAGATATTTTGGAGAAAATCTGGAGGCCCGATCCATTCTTTGCGAATGCCAAAGAGGCCGAATTCCATGAAGTCACATTCTTGAACTTTTTGATGAGAATCTTCAGCGATGGCATCGTTTTGTACGAAACAAGGTAGGTTAACACACAGGAAAAAAATTTGAATAAAAAGAGTTTGCCTGGGTACGCGACTGTTGAATCAAAAACGAATGCTTTCCATTACAGTGGACCTGATCCAGTGGTAAAAAGCGTATCATTTTGCATTCGGGAAGTATCAAAAATGTGGCAAAATGCTTCCTTCTTCAAGCGAAAAAGCTTTGTTTTGAAGGGCGCGCCCTTTTTTCCTCACAAAAAGAGCGGGCGCGCTTTTGAAATCTGAGTTTTTTCCACCTGTAGAGGGAGGTATTTGGCCACTTTTTTTGATGCTGCCTGGAAGCAAAATGGTACGTCTTTTGCCATTGGATCAGCTGCCCCACTGTAGGCATTTTTTTAGAATAAAGCTGAAGCCAGCCTGCAACTTGGTCCTATGCAAATATCCGCATGACAAGCAAACATGTGAGCTCCTCATCAAATCTTGTAAGTTCTACAACCATTTTGGACCATTTATATTGCACTTCTAGTTGCCTATCCCGTTGAAACCGTTCGATTTGAATGGTTTACCAATAAAATTGACGCCATTGACAAAAATCCTGATGTAAAATTGCCGGAACTTTACATTGACAGATACGAACCGACTGTTTGCAATAAGTCTCGGAAATCTGGAGAATTCTCCTGCCTTAGGGCGTTGTTTCGTCTCAAGCGTGACGTCGGTTTTCACGTGGCTCAAACCTATATTCCAACGTCGTTGGCGTTGATGTTCTCTTGGGTCGGAGTCTGGCTTCCCGAGGAGTTTATGGAGGGCCGTATTGGTGTGGCCATTACCGTGCTTTTGACTCTGTCCACAGAGTCCGCAGGAGCGAGAGAGCACTTGCCCAGTGTGTCGTACATGAAGGCCATTGATCTGTGGTTTGGCTACATTACTGGCTTTGTCTTCTTTACCCTGTTGCAGACATTGTTTGTCATCGGCTTTGACAAAAGAGCTAATCAGTTGGTAAGGAATGACGTCTGCAAAAGGCAAAATACTATTTTTTACTAACAAGGGAAGTACCACAAATGCGACGCTCCGATTTTCTTTCGATTTTGTACACGTATCGGGCATGAACTAAATATCAATTCCTGAAAGTTTTAGCCCGCGCTTTGCAAGCGCCGCCGAGATATTCAACAACTTTTGCAGCCGAGAGAGCATGCTGAACGTGGAGAGCGGTCAGAGAGAAAAACAATTTTTGACCATAGCTTCGCTGGTTTTGTGCGGAAAAAAAATATTTTTCATGGGAACATTACCCTCAATGAGAGAAATAGGCATGAAATTTTTCGGACTGAAATTCGGCAAAAAAATTCAAATTTTCGCCAACTTTCGATCTAAAAATCTCGGTTGTTTCTGCAAAGCGCGAGCTGGGATTCTCGCACATATTTTGGAAAAAAAATATTCTAAATTTATGCCAAGTTTCATCAAAATCTGAGCGTCGCACGTCAAACTGAGATAGACTCAAACAGTACGGTGAATAGGTTGGCAATCCGCGAAAAAAGACCCAAAAAACTTTTTGTCGGGGAAGAAATGGGGATTCTTTGGGGCGAGAGAGTACGTTTTTGCGCGCCTTTTTCGCTGACTTCTCTGTGAAATCAAGACGAAGTGTAAAAAACCGATAGCGAAGAGTCTATTCTGGTCACCGGACTCCTCAGTTTGACGTGCGTCGTACTTGAAGTACTTCCCCTGTAAATTTGAATTTGACCTGCTTTCTATTCCAAAATTTTAGAGAAAATCGGCGAACAAAAAGCGAACCGACCTTACCCAAGAGTACAAAGATGCCTTGGTCCACAAGGCCGAAAGATACCATAAGACTGGAAGGTAAGAACAAAGTCATAATCCGACCGGTTCAAACTTGATTCCAGATATCTGGACAACTTCTGTCGGATATTCTACCCTCTCACCTTCCTCTTATTCCTTATCATGTACTATTTTGTGTTTACGGAAGGCCGACAGGACGATTGTATTTCGCAAAGATAGGCACTACAGCCAAATTTTTGGTCGATCCAGGGATTTTCAGCTAATAAAGGTTTTGACTTTTGTAACGTCGATAAATATTTCATTTCTACAAAAAAATGAGCCCGACTTTACCATTTTTTCGTTTATTTGTTGTTGCAAACAACAACGCTTTTAATTAGATCAAATAATATAAGGCGAATGAAAAAGAGGCTCCGGCAATTTGTGGAATATACAAAATAACAATCAGACAAGGTGGAAGAGGAGACGTTACTTGTGCAGCTTCTTCTGGGTGTTCTCCCGAACGAATTGCGTGAGTTTGATGGCGAACCAGCGAGGGTATTTGATGTGAAGATCATGACCGCCTTGGGCGTGCACTTCCACTCTGAAAGTTTGAATACTAAGGAAAAGAACGTCCGATTTTACAGATCTAACAATCTACAGTGGGGGCCTGATCCAGTGGCAGAAATGTATCATTTTGCATCCGGGAGGTATTAAAAATGTGGCAAAATGCTTCCATCTCCAAGTGAAAAAAACTTCTTTTTGAAGAGACCTCACAAAAAGAGCGGACGCGCTTTTGAAATCGGAGTTTTTGCACTTGGGAAGGGAGGTATTTTGCCATGTTTTTTATTCCTCCCGGACGCAAAATGGCACTTTTTTTGACACTGGATCAGGTCCGCCACTGTATGTTTCATACGGCTTTTTAGATCGCAAGCACGACAAATATAATTCCGGGAAGTATCAAAAATGTGGCAAAATGCTTCCCTCTTCAAGTGAAAAAACTCCGATTTGAAGGGCCCTCACAAAAAGAGCGAGGCATTTTGCCACATTTTTGAAAGTTTCCGGATGCAAAACGGTACGTTTTTTGCCACTGGATCCGGTCCCCACTGTATTAAAAATTAAAATTGCATACTCTTTTTTCAGAAAAGGGGCTTTAAGCGTGGCGTTGCGGTTTTCTTTAAAGTTCGCTAGCAAAATTTTTGTGATCTATGTCAATTTTAATCTCGGAAAATCTTAGCTTTCGGTTGTCAAGCTGAGCAAAGAAGTTCCCCAATACTTTTTTCGAGAGATTGTTTAAATGAAGAGAGTCTGTCAATGAGGATGACTTTCCATATTTTTTAATGTTGCGCTCTCCGTTAAAATAAGGCCTAAATTCTCGACGAAACTGAAAATTTACACATGTGGTTCCTTCACTTTAAAAAAATCTACTAATTTTTCCGTAACCAACAATCCGTTTGCACTTTTAAAGAACCAGTCGTTCCTAAAGATCAACAGAGTTCGTGGTTAGATCATTGTAAAAAGTTGCACTTACCTTGCATTCTGCAATTTGTCGGTCATGTGTTTTGGATCGAGAATAAATCGGTCGGTTCCCCCGTTGACAATCAGGACTGGCTGCTTTACTTGACTGAGGATCATGTCCGATGGGAAGCGCCCTCCCAAATCTTTGTAGACTCTGGAATCATCAAAAAATTACAATTTTTAAATAAAAAAAAGAAATAATAAATTTACATTAGAGTGGGGGACCTGATCCAGTGCCAAAAAACGTATCATTTTGCATCCAGGAAGTGTAAAAATGTAGCAAAATACCTCCCTCTCCAATCAAAACGAACTTTTTTCAGTTGGAGATGGAGGCATTTTGCCACATTTTTGGCACTTCCCGCCTGCAAAATGATACGTTTTTTGCCATTGGACCAGGTCCGTCACTGTATTCAACTTACGTTGAGACCAGATCGCATAGCGCGGCCCACTGTTCCCGAAGGAATTCCTCCGAGTAATGGGCAAGGTAGGTTTCTTTGGCGTTGGGCAGCCATTGGTCGGTATTCCGCATCCCCTTGAACGCCATATCGCCGCGGAAGTCGATCTGAGTGCTCGTCGATAATAGGATTACACTGTTGCATTCGCGGGGCGCCAACTGCGCGAGGTGAATGGCTGTTCGGCCGCCTTCACTCCAGCCGAGGCAGGAGAAGGGAACAAGGTTTAGGTGCTGAAATGAGAAGAATAGAGGCTTAGTAAGTACAGTGAGGGAGGGTGCTGGTCAATTGGCAAAAAACGTACGATTTTGCATCAGGGAAGTATCAAAAATGTGGCAAAGTACCTCTCGCTACAATAAAAAAAAACTCCGTTTTGAAATGAGCGCCCCTTCCCTCGCAAAAAGCGCTTTTGAAATCGGAGTTTTTTCGCTTGGAGAGGGAGGTATTTTGCTACATTTCTAATACTTCCCGGATCCAAAATGGTACGTTTTTTGCCACTGGATCAGGTACCCCACTGTAGGTGTCATCGATAAAAAAGTAAAATTTTGATGATTTTGCTAGTGTCATCAAAATTTCAGCTTGAAATTTTTGATACCTTCTCCTTAAACAACCTATTTTCAACATAATCGACTCACTTTCATAAGAGCAATCCCAAATTTGGCGTCCTTTTTGTTCAGTTGAACTTCCTGCTTACGGTCTGGCGGCCGGCTCTTTCCGTAGCCTGGGGGATCAAAGCAAATGATTGTGGCAAAGTTGGGGTCGAACGCCCTTAGGACATTTTCTGGGAAATCTTTTTTGTAACAGCCTAAAAATTCATGGTAAAAATTCATAATATGAAGTATAAGACTATTTAAAATGCAAAGTTTTGCAATAGGTAACGTAAAAAGCTGACCAACTCCACCACAGATGAACAGAAAGACGTATGGACCATGACCGTAGCGGCAATAGCCGATGGGCAAGTCGTTTATCTCGGCGTACGCCTCGATAATCGGCTCGGGAATGTCTGAAGGGGGCTTGGCAACTTGGCCAGTCTGTGGTTGACTCTCCGCCACCAGCATTCTGGTCATAAATCGCTGAAAGTATGGACAATATCATATCATTTCATAATATAAAATCGTTTTTTGACACGAAATAAATTTCGCCACCAATGGCAACAAAATTACGTTTAAATCAAGGTAAAAAATGTCTCACGCCAAATTGGAAATCCCTCTCCGCGCAATAAAAAATGCAACGAGACATAAGCGGTGATGTAATCACAAGACACGAGTAAAACTTTGTTATACCTTGACCACTGGCGCGCCCTTCCTTTTCACCTCGCTTTAGCCGCTTAATCGCGCAGACTGAAGGCTCTTGTGATCCGTGCGATTCATCCGCGCGACGAGCGTGACAAATTGCGTTACGTCATGCCATAAACAAGCCAATTTAAAGGGCAAACATCAACGTGAAACAATAAAAATTAACGTGAATATTACCATGTTATTGTAGAGCATGGAAAGGTCGTTACCGCTTACAAAACTACTATAAAGAAGGGGGGAAAATCAACGTCTTTTTCTTTACCATCATTACGTCGGTGGAGTCCAGAATTGGGCGAGAGAAAAAGCCCTCTCCAGAAAACCTGCTCGAGTTTCTTTACGGTTCAGAGTTGTGAAAGCGGCGGTTTAATGTATCAAGGCCCCGAATAGCGGTTGGAAAGTTTTCTGTGTCTACAAAATATAGCAACGTGATTTTCTGGAAGACTCATAGACTTTTCAACTCCACAATGTTGAAATCTAGACCCAAAAAATGAACTGAAAATTGAGAAAAATGGAATGCACAAAATTCGTTTAAAATTAGGGTAATTCGAAAATGTAGGATGAACTTTTAGAGGAAAACAAACATTTTTATTTCCGACCTTTTCCAGCAAATGTTCAAGGCTAGGTATTTCAAGTGTGCTTGTGTTTCACCCAATTTTACATGCGATTTGAAAGGGGCAGGACAACAGTATTGAATAATTTCAACAGCCATTAGTTTTTTAGACAGTACACTTACAGTGAGGAAGCTAATCTAGTGGCAAAAAACGTACCATTTTGCATCCAGGAGATATCAAAAATGTGGCAAAATGCCTCCCTCTCCAAGTGAAAAAACTCCGGTTTCAAAAGCGCGCCCGCTCTTTTTTTGAGAAACAAGGCCGCGCCTTTCAAAATCTGAGTTTTTTCACTTGGAGAGGGAAGCATTTTGCCACATTTTTCATGCTTCCTGAATGCAAAATGGTAGGTTTTTTGCCACTGGATCGGGTCCCTAACTGAGAGAGAGAGCCAGACAAAAAACATTTTTTTTTAATAATTTTTTATATGCCGTAGAGAAAGACGTTGTGTTTTATGCAAAGACTACAATTCCCACATCTAATAAACTCTGATTTTTTTCACGAAGCAAAAAAGTTTTAAAATTCTTTTGAAATATAATACTTTAAATTTCCACAAAACCTCCCCCACAGGACAAAGATCGTCCAGAAAATTGATTGGTAACACTCTCAAAGACAGGGGCTTTTTTGGTGGTAGAGCAGTAAAAACTTGAGCCAATAAGGTTGTTTTCTTTTGCGCTTCCAAAACTGGTCGGATTGAGGGGTAAAAGAGGGCTCCCATAGCTAACTCTCTTCGTTGGAGAGGGTAAGCGTAGTTTAAATCGGCGTTTTCGATGGGGAATTAGTCAGCAGCCGGCTATTACTATATAGTGGGGGACTTTATCTAGCGGCAAAAAACGTACCATTTTGTATCCAGGAAGTATCAAAAATGTGGCAAAATACCTCCCTCTCCAAGTGAAAAAGCTCAGATTTAAACTCGCGCCCGATCTTTTTGTGAGAAGCTTTTCAAAACGAAGTTTTTTCACTTGCAGAGGGAAGCATTTTGCCACATTTTTGATACTTCGTAGATGCAAAATGGTACGTTTTTTGCCACTGGATCAGGTCCGTCACTGTATGTTCTAAAATTTTAGGGTGAGAAAAGGGGATTTGCGGGATTACAACCCCAGTTTTCAAAGTGATAAGTGCGAATTTTCTCTTGTGATTTTCAGAAACTGCCCAGAACTTTATGCAGAAATTTGGCATAAATTTGAAACCATTTTGACATTTTTAGACACCTTAATTTTTTGGGATTTTGGGCTATCAAACGCACAAATTTCTTCTGTGCGAGGCCCGTCCTACTCACTTGAAATATGACCGTTGACGGCATATAGCCTATAAAACTCGATCTAAATTTTTTTCAAAATAAAATGTGTATCATGCAGGTTAAACTACCTTGCAGTACCTCCATTTTGATGCCATCTACAACTAATAAAAGAATAAATAAACCTCCCTTTCTCACACCAAAATTAAACCCCAATTCCACCGGCGTTCGGCAGCAAAAACTTTAGTAAACAACAAATGCTGAAAAAGAGTGCGATCCACAACGGAAAAGCTGTAAAAACCGACCGTTTTTGACGTAAATCAAACCGAAAAATGCTGGCAATCAATTATCAGCACGCCTTTTCCAGGTTTCCGCAAAAAACTCAACGTGAAAATCACACCGAAGGCCCGCGGATTACAAAAACTGGGCACAGAACGGCTCGGGAAATAGTGATGTTTGGGGAATGTTCAAGGGTCGATTGTACTCGCTTATTAATAAGGGTTTCCAAGCTTCAGAACAAAAAGGGAATTGTAAACAATAAGCAGTGGGGTCGTATTAATTCTTACGCCAAAAATCAATAGACCAAAATGGGAGAAAGTTCTCGAATTCGGCAAACTGTAAAGACGTATTTCGCCTACTTTATATCATAAAACACGTGGAAAGGAAGGAAAAAAATGCTCCGTAAAAATAATCAAAGCCCAAATCACAAAAAAAGTTATAATAAATCGAAAAAAAATTATATCAAACATGTCGTTAGACGACCAAAAACCCCCAAAAACTATTGTTTAGGTCTTACAAAATAAGCGTTTGACGAAAGCGTCAGGGTGGAGAGGGCGAAAAGCAAACGGAGAATTTTCCGACCTACCACAATTAATTAGAAGAAACCCCTTCTTCGTTCAGACCGGAATCGGACAGTTTTCCCTGCGGTTTGCAACAAAGAATTTGATTGTATTTTGATGTTTGTCATTGGAAAAGAGATACCCTGTGATTTTTGCTATTTTCTTTGAAGTTTATAATACTCATAGTGTGGAATTTGTGACCGTAAACTTTGCATATTTTACTGTTTTTAGAAAGGCAAAGGAACCTTCCGTCTGTCGGGAAAATAATGAGGAAAATGGAATTGTGTTGCGGCAAATATTAGGCCGTCCAGAAAGTTCGTTCGTTTTCTTCATTGCTTTGTTTCACAAAGATTGCTGCCCAGCCACACCGCGGGAATGCGGCTATTCGACTGAAAGACCCGATAGACAAGGCCAAGTCATCTTGCCCCACAAGACATTTTTGGTTGCAAAAGTCGTCAAAACCCCACTCCAAGAGCTCAAATGGGAGGTTCTTCAGTATCCACCATACATACTAACGAATGTTATGCCAACCGATTCCGCTCCCTGTCATACTAAATCCGGAGCGAAAAAATGGTCTTCTTCGACGGCGAAGAAGACCTCAAAAACTTTCTGAGCCGGAAAAATAATGAAAAAATAAAAATTAAAAAAAAAACTTACAGGGGAAGTACTCCAAGTTGGACGCTCAGATTTTCTTTAAATTTTGCACACACGTGGGGTATGGACTAGATATCAATTTATGAAAGTTTTCGTGCCAAAATTCGGCAAAAAGTCCGAAATTTTGGCCAACTTTCGATCTAAAAATCTCGGTTGTTTCTGCAAAGCGCGAGCTAGGATTCTCGCATATTTCGTAGAAAAAATTATTCTAAATTTGTGCCAAGTTTCATCAAAATCTGAGCGTCGCACTTGGAGTACTTCCCCTGTAAATACACAGTTTTGTAGGATAGAAAAAAAGCTGTATCAAATAAATATATACCCTTTGCCAAACAACAAACAATCCTTGTAAAAAAAAGCAACGAAAAAAACGCACGAACTTTCTGGACGGTCTAATAAAGTTGCTTTCTTGCTTTCACTCAGCGACGCGATTGGCGCAGCAACATTATGTTCACTATTTTCCCTACAGACTGATATTGGGGGGGATCTTTCTTGGTTAGGCGCCGGTTATCTAATCTAATCTCCCAGAGGCCGGTGAAGGTACGATTTTAGCATCCCATATCCCGTTCCACCCTCTTCGTCATTTCGGTCGTTTTCCGAAGTCGCGACTAGTCGGTGACTTAACTAACTTCCCTTGTAAGATCAAAGTTTCATCTAGCCACAAAATGGCAAGACCTTTCGGAGGAAAACGGTTTAAAGTTCAGGGGTTCTTCGGTCTATTCACCGGTTCTCATCAAAAAATGTAAAATCGGCAAGTGAGAAAATTTACAACTCTTTTGAGCAAGCAGTAGGTGTAAAAGTTCAGTCGCGCGGTCCCGTCTGAAATCGATTAAAGCGGTGTAATGCGCTCTTACTCATCGGCAACACAACTCGGGAAACAGCGATTTGGAAATGGTTTTGGAAATCGGTGCATTTATGGAGTTTTGCAACCTGTTTTCTGACCTTTATAGTGATTCTTTAGATCCAAAATTGATAAAATTCCGAACAACAGAGTTGCAGATTTGTTGACGTTCAAGATCTTGAAAATTTCCTCAACAGAAACTTTGGATTCCCTCATCTTTCTCTTGTTTTCTACATAGTTTTTCGAGCATCTATTTTTTCAGTGGTTCAGTTCTCGAGCATGTATTATATGTATTTTCTAGTGGCTCAAAGCCCAAGTTTTGCTTGCGCAATAGAGCAAAGACAATATTCCCGCTCTTCTCTTGTCTTGCAGCGATTTCTGAGAAAGTTTGTTGCAAGATTCTGCACGGTGCAATCATTTTTCTAACCATGTCGCAACCCTTCGCAAAACTCGTCTTTCCCTCTCTCTTCTCTTTGTTCTCTTTGCCCTTTTCCCACAAAAGAGCCTTCAAAACGAAGAGACGGCAGTTTTTTCTCTGCGACAACACGCGCGCTTTGCGGAATTTTATCAATTTTGTCGCAGAAATTCGTCAACCTGCGACAAGCCTGATTTCGCAGATGATGATTGCAAACTTTCTGCGATCTTTATCGCAACGGAATTGGGAAATGGGGCATGTTCGGGGGCGTAGGCAGGGGGGTAGTTGCCGCAAGGATTATCGGGAGACTTTATAAAATATATTACATATAGATAAACATTATGAAGATTATTTCTTGCTGCAATAACTCAGGATAGAGAAAATTGACGTTGGTAATAGCTAAACATAGAAAAAATGGACATATTGCAAGTCTTCGCCAGGTCTCCGCCGCGCGCTCGCTGAGCGCCCGCCGATCATGCAACGGATTTGTCACGCCTTTTAGACTCTTTCTACAACTTTTTTTGGGTATCCACCTGCCATGCGCTGCATAACGACTGGTTTTGTGTTGCCCGAAAGGCCGTAGACCCGAAAAGGCGGGAAGCAATGGCGAATTAGTCGAAGGCCAAGGCAAGGGGAGTAAAAAATATTCTACATAATGAATGAGTAAGTGATGGGAAGATTAGCAAAATTCGAGCAAGACCAATGATTTTCCACAATTACGCCCAGGCAAAGGCAAAAAACTTTTAAAAAACGATTCCAACCAAAGTTTTTTTGTCACAAACATAACCCAAATATAAATTCCGAGCAAAACACAGTTCACGGGGTCATAAAAATTACTGTGAGGGGCCTGATCCAGTGGCAAAAAGCGTACCATTTTGCAGCCGGGAAGCATCAAAAAATGTGGCAAAATACTTCCCTGTCCAAGTGAAAAAAATTCGTTTTGAAGGGCGCCTTTCCCTCACAAAAAGATTCGTTTTTTGCCACTGGGTCAGGTCGTAAATATTTCAAATTGTTACCTCACATCAGGTCTTTTGTGTCGTCACTTTATTCAGATATACAGGGGAAATTATAGCTCTGTGAATCAAACAAAGCCAATCAAAAAAAAACAAAATAAAACAAAAATCTTAAGATTTGGAATTACATACATAATTCCCCAGTATCCCGAAAAACACGAAACACCCATCAAAAAACCACAAAATACTTGACTTTTTTATGTTTTCAAGCATTACATCTACGGCCCCAATTTCCAAGTTTAATACGGAAGTGTCACAAAGCACGAAATATTCTCGATTTTTCCGGCGATACGTGAAATTTCAGAAAATTACAACTTTTTTATACTCTGACCAACCGCAGTCTGGATGGGGTCCGGGTGCGTCAAAAATGTACTTTTGTCATTACAAACTTGTTGGAAACATTTCGAAAGATGGATGTATATAGGAGTAAAATTGGCGGTTGATGAATCGCCCGGAAGACTTTCGGGTCGCATTGAATTTTAACGGTCTGCGATAAAAGGGCAGAGTTCGTAGGTTTGTAGGGTGGGTGGGAAAGATCAACCTTGGGTAGGGCAATATTGCATAGAGTTTTGCGGATCACAGCGGGGAGCATTTGAACTTTTCAGCGGACTTTTTTGAACAAGGGAAGTACCTCAAGTGCGAAGCTCAGATTTTGATTAAACTTGGCACAAACTTATAATTTTTCTTTACAAAATATATGGGAGAATCCAAGCTCGCGCTTTGCAAAAAGAACCGAGATTTTTAGATCGAAAGTCGGCGAAAATTTAAGACTTTTTGCCGAATTTCGGCACAAAAAGTTTCATGCCTATTTGTATCATAAAGGGTAATGTTTCCACAGAATATCAATTTTTTCCGCGTGAAACTAACAAAGTTATGGCCAAAAAGTGCTTTTCTCTTTGACTGCTCTCCACTTTTAGCGTACTCTCTCGCCGGCAAAGATGGTTCAATATCTCGGTAGCGCTGGCATATCGCAAGCTAAAACTTTCAGAAATTGATGTTTATGCCCGACGTGCGGGCGAAATTTAAAGAAAATCTGATCGTCGCACTTGAGGTACTTCCTTTGTAAGGATCGGCTCGGTTCATGGTTGTATGCATGAGGCTCGAAAAAGGCTCAGTTGGTAGAAAAAATGAGGTTGATGAGGTCCAGAATAGCTTGCCATCTATTTCGCATACATTGATCCTCGTTTTTTGTGGCAAATTTTGGCCTTTTATATGTTACAATAACTCAAAGTAAACAGAACTAACGTTAGTAATAAAGGTAAAATTCGAAAAGTAGACACATTGCGAGTCTTTGCCCAGTGCATCCAACAACTTTGCCAGGCATGCTAGGCACTTCTTACAACCTTTTGTTTGCCTATCCACCTGCCCTGCGGTTCATTTTTTGTTGACCCGAACTGTCGTCAAGCCGAAAAGTTGGTACGCGAAAAAGTCTAGACGAGCATCTCTCTGGGACCTTTACAAATGTGATCGCTTTGCAACCTTCCAAAATAAGACATTTCACCTACAATCCAATAAATTCCAGCTGCCTCGTTTTGAAACAACACCCCAAAAAAATCGAATCGAATCTTCTCTTATACCCATTATCCGCGAAAATGGCGAGTGTAATCTATTCCATTCGTAAACAACGCAACTCCTCGACCCTACAGAAAAACGGGCTTTGCATCGCTGGAAACTTCTTGAAAGCTTAGATTGCTTTCGATAAACACGACGCTCCCTGTTTGAGCCGTCTATTTAGTGTTCATGTATCTTTCCGATTCTGAGAGACTGATCCTTATCGGCGAAGGCGATCAGATAACGCTTTTAAGTATTTTTCGAGTACAGTCTCAGCGCGCAGGACAGCCGGTTTCGGACTGGCACATTTTTGTAGGGTGAAACCGCGTGGCCGAACCGGTGAAAAAATGTGGAGTTGCTGATGTTATCTGTTCCAGATGGACTTTCAGCCTCTGTTGAGAGGAAGAAGGCAGACGGTCAAGGTTCATTGGACCCTTGAGGAATGTGATGCATTTTGGAATGCAATGGGCGGGTCGGTGATGGAAATTGAAGGTGTGACAACCTTCAGTGCTTGAAGTGTGCAATTCAAGCAATTAGTCAGACAGATACTGCCAGAAATTTTCAAAATTTTCATAGAGTAACGGACCTGATCAGGTGGAAAAAAGTACCATTTCGCATCCGGGAAGTATCAAAAAATGTAGCAAAATGCCTCCCTCTCCAATTAAAAAACCTCCCTTATTTTATACTAACATTGCTCTATGGCTCTTAGTTTTTTCGAAATCCAAGGGTCATACTGAGAATACCGTCTATGTAAATACAGTGGGGGACCTAATCCAGTGGCAAAAAACATACCATTTTACATCCGAGAAGTATCAAAAATGTGGCAAAATGCTTGCCTCTACAAGTGAAAAAACCTTGTTTTGAAGGGCCCTCACAAAAAGCGCGGGCGCGCTTTTGAAATCGGAGTTTTTTCGCTTTGAAAAGGAGGTATTTTGCCACATTTTTTGATACTTCCCGGATGCAAAATGGTACGTTTTTTGCCACCGGATCAGGTCCGTCCGTCACTGTAGAGCCACCGGGAAAATAACGATGAGCACGGGAAGAAAAAAGTTCCATCTGGAGAAATTTTGGCCTGTGAATAACGACACTTCCAGAAATAATGCAAAAATTACAAATCCAGTGGCAAAAATGTGCCATTTTGCATCCGGGAAGTATGAAAAATGTGGTAAAATGCTTCCCTCTGCAAGTGAAAAAACTTCGTTTTGAAGGCGCCCTTTCCCTCACAGAAAGAGCGGGCTTTTGAAACCTGAGTTTTTTCATTGGAGAAGGAGGTATTTTGCCATATTTTTCGATGCTTCCTGGACGCAAAATGGTACTTTTTTTTGTCACTGGATCAGATTTTTGTTCTTTTGTTTTCCTTGCGTTTTCAATACAATTTGCAACCATTCCTTCGCAGCCCTGCATCCAACGGAAGGCATGACCAACTAATTGTAGTAAGCATTGGACTGGATAATCCTTTCGACGTATTTTCAACTATTATATTATCTCCTACTGTAGCAACAGAGCAATTAAAATTATATTTGAGCTGCTTTATGTTTCTTATTTTTCACAAAACGAATGAGGTTTCTGTACAGTTAACTCGAGCTAGAAGTCCTCGAAAACGAGGCCACTGCAGCGATGGAGCATAAGATTTCGAAGATGACGAATCCACCTTCAATCGAGGCCAGTATAAGTTCGACCATCAAGACGTAGTTCTGGAAGAAGCCGATATACACACAGATCGCGATAATCGCCAGCGATAACATCAATGAAAAGGCGATAAAGGCCGTCGTCTCCGTCAAATTCCCGCGACGAGCTGAAACACGTGAAATTAAGAGTCAGTAAGATATGGGTGTTTCTTCGTAAGTTTGGATGTTTTGTTGCTTGAGGCAATATTTTCGTTATTTAAATACTTATATTGGTATGTCAATATCAGTGCTTGGAGGCCTTGGAAAATCACAAATTTAGGAAACCTTCGACCTGCCATGGTGTTTCCTTCAAAGCGAAAAAAATATTTCTCAAAGAAGATATAGCCTACAATTACGTCATCAACGTTGTCTATGACATAACATTTTTCCGTCCCATCGAACCTTCATAACCCTCAACTTACCCCAAGAAATTCTCAAGGCTTCCAAGGGTCCAAATGAAAGTAAGATAATGAGCTCGCTGACGTCGGCATGCTTTGGCACATGAAGATATGTAGCTAAAGTACTTTTGAAAACAAAAACCGCAGTTCAACTTACATTTATAAATGTGAATTCCAATGAAAACGAAAAAGAAGACGATTGAAATTCGTGCATTTATGTATAAGAGTATTTCCAAAGGCAACGAAGAGCGCTGAAAGTTTTTGAATTTTTAAAAAAATCAATTTTTATTAGACTTTGGATAAAGGAATAATTAGATTTTGGATAAACTGGAACGCGACTTACAATCTGACGAGATTTCAACAGCATCTTACTCGTATTTGAAATAACCTCAAGCCTTTTCGCGCGGCATTTCAAGAGATTTCGTGGCCATATCTCGGAAATTCAGAGATCACCATGGCAACGGAGAAAGCCAAGGCCGCGAAAAATTGAAAACACGCTGATTGTAGCGTGGAAAGTGCGGAGTCAAAAAAGCCGAACAACAAAAGTCGGATGAGTACGAATCGAGAGCATTGTACATATTTCCTATGAGCACATCCGAGTGTCGTCATCTTCTTTTGTCTTCCCGAAATTATACAACAAACGTACATGAGAAGGGCCTTGACTGTGGTAGAGGGGTAGATTGCGTGTCCGTTTCTGTTGTTGAGTAAAATAAAAAGTTTAAACAGGTTTTAGTAGTGCAATTCATTGTGTTAGATTACTTGTTTTTAAGATATCGTATGCGAGTTTTTAGCTGTGATGAGATGATCAGAAGTATTGCCAAAAAGTGTTTTTCTCCTGAACGCTCTCCGCATTTCGCGCAATCTCTCGTTGGCGACGTTTATTGAATATTCAAGAAGCCAGCTGTTTCTACTTGCAGGGGAAGTACCCCAACGCCCAGATTTTGATGAAACTTGACACAAATTTACAATATTTTTTTCTAAAATATATGCGAGAATCCCAGCTCGCGCTTTGTAGAAACAACTGAGATTTTTGGGTCGTTAAGTTGGTGAAACGTTCACACCTTTGGCCAAATTTCCGCACGAAAAGTTTCATACCTATTTCTACCATAGAGGGTAATGTTTCCACAAAAAATCAATTTTTTACGCACGAAAATTGCAAAGTTATGAACAAAAAGCTTTCTTCTCTCTGATCGTTCTCCGCATTTAGCATACTCTCTCGGCGGCAAAGATAGTTTGGTATATCGGTCGCGTTTACAAAGTGCGAGCTAAAACTTTCAGGAATTGATATCTGGTCTATGCCCGAAGCGTGTGCAAAATTTAAAGAAAATCTGAGCGTCGCACTTGGGGTACTTCCCTTGCAAAATGTAAAAGCAATTCGATTTTTGATGATAATTTTTAGGCGTCGATGCGATTTTCGTTGCGACTGAGCGCTCGCTATTTTCCCGACAGACTGATAAACATCATCAGATTCCTAAATGTTCTGTGTAAAATAGACATGAAAAATTTGAAGAAAAAACGTCAGTCAATAGCTGTACTGCTCTTTATAAAGCATTCTTCAAAGCCAACAACGCAATCCGCCAACTTCTTTTCGTATGTTCACCTGTGGCCTCTGTACAACCTAATTGCTGGTCCTCTCGATTTCATTACTCCTTCGGCTCTCTCCACGCCCAAAAAGAGCAATAATTTTTCGTAAAAATTCGTCTCCGAAACAACACGTCTGGACGTCGGCTGCAGCTGCATGTTCGTTTGCCTAATGCTTCCTGGAATGCCGTGAAATGCGGCCATTGAAAGGGCAAAAATAAAATACCCCTTTTCACAGTAAACTGGACGTTTTTGGGTTTACTCTCTTCCATTTTTAATTTTAGTAAAAATTTTTGAATTTTATTGTTAAAATTTTTTTTGAAGTAATGTAGTTTGGCGTGATGACAAAGATGTTTAAAACGGACTTTTTTACAAAGTGAAGCATAGCCCGGACATTGTTGCGGTGACCATCACCGAATTTCTTCAAATTTGGCTCATAGAACACCCACAGGGCATATATCAAAAGCGTCAAACGTTTTCCCAAAATTTGCATTATTTCGGGATTACTGTAACATTTTGTGTTTTATAAAGCGGCTGTTGTCGTGGACCAGGTGATCGCCCTACGGGTCTGAAACTTCTTATCTGTATGTTTTCGAACATGGCCAACGTTTTTCTAATTGAAACTTTTTTTGTATCTTTTCGTCTTTCGGTAGTACCGTAATCGTCATGATACCATATCGATTACTGTAAAAAATTGGAGCGAGTGTAACAAATTTTTAAACTTGATTATAAAAGTTGGACACCCTTCCCGTAAAATAAGACAAAAAAATCAAAAATAAAAATATAAGTTTTTGAGATATACGCGTTCAAAATTGCTATGTTCGGTTACTGTAGGACCAAAATAGAGACGATCAATTTTTAAACTTTTCCATTAATCGCTACGGTTCACATATTAATAGCATGACATAAGAGGAATGTTTTCAGGTTGAAAAATTAATAATAGAGCTTTTATTTTAGGGTTTATACGAAGGTTACTGTAATTTCCAACTTTTATTAAGTTCGCTAACAATTTTATTGGAATGACGAATTTAGACAAGCTATCCGGGTCAGAAACGCGCATACATCATGGAAGACAGAAATCAGAATCGTAATACTACCTATTCCTGAAATAGTGGGAGATTACGGTAGCCGTACCCACTTTTTTCGCTGTTTGGCCGCGGCATTCTTTGGGACAGTTAGTGTAACAACTTTTGAGCCCTGAAGTTCATTCAGCATCACCAGGGGAGTATTTCAGCAAAAAATCGCGAAAATAAAAACATAAGTTTTTGAGAAAATCCTGGATTACGGTCATTTTAGGGGATTTTTGGGCCGTCTGGCCGCGGCATTGTTTGGAGCTGCGAGTGTAACAACTTTTGAAGCCTGAAATTCATTCAGGATGGATAGAAGAGTATTTCAGTAAAAAATCGCGAAAATAAAAATATAAGTTTTTGAGAAAATCCGGGATTACGGTCATTTTGGGGGTTTTTGGGCCGTCTGGCCGCGGCATTGTTTGGAGCTGCGAGTGTAACAACTTTTGAAGCCTGAAATTCATTCAGGATGGATAGAAGAGTATTTCAGTAAAAAATCGCGAAAATAAAAATATAAGTTTTTGAGAAAATCCGGGATTACGGTCATTTTGGGGGTTTTTGGGCCGTCTGGCCGCGGCATTCTTTGGAGCTACTAGTGTAACCAGATTTGAGACTGGAAATTTGTTCAGAATATATAGGAGAGTCTTTAAGAAAAAAATAGGGAAAATAAAAGTATAAGTTTTTGAGAAAATCCGAAATTACGGTCATTATAGGGGATTTTCTGTCCGGAACTACCGTAATCCGGGATTTTCTCAAAAGCTTATACTTTTATTTTCCCGATTATTTGCTGAAATACTTCCCTGGTCATGCTGAGTAAATTTCAAGACTCAAAAGTTGTTACACTCGCAGCTCCAAAGAATGCCGCGGCCAGACGGCCCAAAAACCCCCAAAACGACCGTAATCCCGGATTTTCTCAAAAACTTATATTTTTATTTTCGCGATTTTTTGCTGAAATACTCTTCTATCCATCCTGAATGAATTTCAGGCTTCAAAAGTTGTTACACTAGCAGCTCCAAAGAATGCCGCGGCCAGACGGCCCAAAAATCCCCTAAAATGACCGTAATCCGGGATTTTCTCAAAAACTTATACTTTTATTTTCGCGATTTTTTGCTGAAATACTCTTCTATCCATCCTGAATGAATTTCAGACTTCAAAAGTTGTTACACTCGCAGCTCCAAAGAATGCCGCGGCCAGACGGCCCAAAAATCCCCTAAAATGACCGTAATCCGGGATTTTCTCAAAAACTTATACTTTTATTTTCGCGATTTTTTGCTGAAATACTCTTCTATCCATCCTGAATGAATTTCAGACTTCAAAAGTTGTTACACTCGCAGCTCCAAAGAATGCCGCGGCCAGACGGCCCAAAAACCCCCCAAAATGACCGTAATCCCGGATTTTCTCAAAAACTTATATTTTTATTTTCGCGATTTTTTGCTGAAATACTCTTCTATCCATCCTGAATGAATTTCAGACTTCAAAAGTTGTTACACTCGCAGCTCCAAAGAATGCCGCGGCCAGACGGCCCAAAAATCCCCTAAAATGACCGTAATCCGGGATTTTCTCAAAAACTTATACTTTTATTTTCGCGATTTTTTGCTGAAATACTCTTCTATCCATCCTGAATGAATTTCAGACTTCAAAAGTTGTTACACTCGCAGCTCCAAACAATGCCGCGGCCAGACGGCCCAAAAACCCCCCAAAATGACCGTAATCCCGGATTTTCTCAAAAACTTATATTTTTATTTTCGCGATTTTTTACTGAAATACTCTTCTATCCATCCTGAATGAATTTCAGGCTTCAAAAGTTGTTACACTCGCAGCTCCAAACAATGCCGCGGCCAGACGGCCCAAAAACCCCCCAAAATGACCGTAATCCCGGATTTTCTCAAAAACTTATATTTTTATTTTCGCGATTTTTTACTGAAATACTCTTCTATCCATCCTGAATGAATTTCAGGCTTCAAAAGTTGTTACACTCGCAGCTCCAAACAATGCCGCGGCCAGACGGCCCAAAAATCCCCTAAAATGACCGTAATCCGGGATTTTCTCAAAAACTTATGTTTTTATTTTCGCGATTTTTTGCTGAAATACTCCCCTGGTGATGCTGAATGAACTTCAGGGCTCAAAAGTTGTTACACTAACTGTCCCAAAGAATGCCGCGGCCAAACAGCGAAAAAAGTGGGTACGGCTACCGTAATCTCCCACTATTTCAGGAATAGGTAGTATTACGATTCTGATTTCTGTCTTCCATGATGTATGCGCGTTTCTGACCCGGATAGCTTGTCTAAATTCGTCATTCCAATAAAATTGTTAGCGAACTTAATAAAAGTTGGAAATTACAGTAACCTTCGTATAAACCCTAAAATAAAAGCTCTATTATTAATTTTTCAACCTGAAAACATTCCTCTTATGTCATGCTATTAATATGTGAACCGTAGCGATTAATGGAAAAGTTTAAAAATTGATCGTCTCTATTTTGGTCCTACAGTAACCGAACATAGCAATTTTGAACGCGTATATCTCAAAAACTTATATTTTTATTTTTGATTTTTTTGTCTTATTTTACGGGAAGGGTGTCCAACTTTTATAATCAAGTTTAAAAATTTGTTACACTCGCTCCAATTTTTTACAGTAATCGATATGGTATCATGACGATTACGGTACTACCGAAAGACGAAAAGATACAAAAAAAGTTTCAATTAGAAAAATGTTGGCCATG